CACAGGTCCTGCCCCTCCACCTAGAGAAGAGCACCCGAGGCAGGGCTGCGTCCCATGAACCTCTTGGCTTCTGCTGGCGGGATGTGATCGTGGAAGACTTGTGGACAAGTACCGCAGCACACCCGCTGTCCCCTCTACGGCACGCTCCACATGCATCTGAGCTTCGCTGCGGGAAGGACGGATAACATGGGCAGCAATGGGACAGGGCAGACCCAGGAAGGCTGATGCTACGGTCTCAGGAGGCACACTGTGTGTGCCACAGTGATTCCCAAACCCAGTTTTTGGTGTGTGCGCATGTGTGTTATGTGGCTGATCCTGCCTCCCTGGGGAGCAACCACAAGACAATCGGCACAACGGGCAGGGAGTCCAGGCAATGACCACCACCACCAGGGCCTTTCTTCTCTTGCTCTGGCTTGCTAAGTGGCTCCACTGCATGCAGCTTGCATGCACCTTGAGTTGCGCTGCTACCTGCTGGCAAACTGTGCTTTGAGCTGGGCCGCTCCGTGCTGCGTTTGCTGGGCCCTGCCAAGTCTCTGTTAATAGATTGAAGTGCCCAAAGTCAGAGATGATGGAAATGATGATGATTGGCATGTAGGCACAGGAGTGAACCGTTGGAACTGTTGACTTGCCTAAATGCCCCGTGGTCATAACACTCGTAGCTCTAAAACATACCATAGTGGGCGTGGACACTATGACCCAGTGAATGACAAAATAATTAAAATAAAATTATCTTTGGCACTTTATAATTCGCTTTATAAGGCAGAACCCCATGGGCCTTCTGCCCTATTGAAATAGTTAATACAGTTCAATATGAATTAAAACAGGGCTTTCAATGATTGAAACTCATTATGTAAGATCTGTTTGGAGAAGGCGTGGGGATCCCCACTGTTTCTCCATTTAACAGCCCAATTCGGTCTATTCTTAAACTCAGAAACAATGAATGGTGCCCATGGGGAATTACGCGAATGCTGTGCCCCACCCATACGGCCCCTACACCCACTATTATCAGTATTACTGACTCCGTCCACTTAGCCACTGGTAAGTACCCTGCAGGCACACACTTGGCTGAGAGTTCTGTTCGGCGCCTGATTCAAAAGCATCTCAGCTGCAGTGTGCCTTCCCCACCGACGGGGCACTACAGCCCTCACCTGGCTACCGCGGGCGCCTCGACCACTCTGCCGCGGCACACAAACTCTGCAGGCAGGACTTCGCCGCGTCCGCCTTCCTCCCCGAGCACAGGCATGCCACCACCCTGACGACAGCCCTCTCCAAGCAGAGTCACTGGACACGCTCATTCAGGACCCTCCTCCCAAGGGGCTCACAACACACGATGGGCCACTGCCCCACACCTGGTACACGGACCCACCACTGCAAGCAAATTTCTGGGCGTGATCCAACCCCAACCCTGTTAAGATATAATTATTGACCCCCTAAGCACCCCCAGTGTTACAATAAGCTGCCCAACATCTTTTTGGCCTTTTGAGTTCTGGTCACATTCCTCATGCGCAGATTTTACTTAAGCTCGTTTATTGCTGCTACTTGCAAGTTGGCCCACCTTGAATGGGGCCCCTCTCGTGAAAGGCTCTAGAATCCATCCAACTGCAGTGTAAGAGGTGTTCCCACGAGTGCCCCCAGGGTTCATGCACTGTGCATGCTTTAGCAACCTCCTCTCATGCCACCTGGGGCCTCTGGATCAGCCACGGTAGCCAAAACACTAAACCCCCAGAACGGCTGTCCTCAGTCCCACGCTATATGCCCCGTGCCTTTAGAGCCCCACCGGCTGGCGGCTCCTGGGGCCCTGTGGAGGTGGGGGTTGTCCCTGAGCCTGGGACTCTGCATCAGCCGCCCATCATGCCCCGGGTCGTGGGGGCAGCACCCCGCAGGGCAGCCACAAGACACGGTTTTGCAGGCCCAGCACCAGGTCTCTTCAGCGCACTCACGCGCACAGCTAGAGCCAGTGGGCGCCGGGGAAGCTGCAGATCAGCAGTGGCGCCCGGGGAACGCGGCTGAGGGCGAGGCCCGAGTTAGTCCTTTCTCAGAGCCAAGCTTCATCCTCATCATCCCGATGTAGCCCCAGTGGGTGGGACCAAGAGGTTGGGTCAAGTGTGCCCCTGGCTATCATGTGCTGACATGAGGCATTATAAGAGTTAGAGGATACTGTAATATTGGGGCAATTAATTAATGATCTGGATTATAAAGACCTTTATATTTTTTTCCTGATTACAGAAGAATTAAATAACCATTATAAAAATGCCAGCTGGGGACCTGGCACGGTGGCTCACGCCTATAATTCCAGCACTTTGGAAGGCTGAGGCAGTAGGATCATTTGAGCCCAGGAATTTGAGACTGGCCTGGGCAACATAGTAAGACCTGTCTCTACAAAAAAAAAATTAGCTGGGTGCATTGGTGCATGCCTATAGTCCCAGCTACTCCGGAGGTTGAGGCAGGAAGATCGCTTAAGCCCAGGAGTTTGAGTCTGCAGTGAGCTATGATTGCATTGCTGCACTCCAGCCTGGGCAACAAAGCAATACCCTGTCTCAAAAAAAAAATTACAATTGTACATAAATGTATAATACAGAAGGAAAATATTGCTGTAATCTCATCTCAGAATAACCACAGTTGTATCTTTTGGATATTTTTTTCAGTCATAGACCTACATATTCACATAAATAGAACTGGGCTCCTTCCAAACATGTTACAACCAGTGCAAGCTTCCTGAAGCTCTCATGACCTTGAAGGTCTTTGGTGGTGTCCACTGATTGAATGATGAGCCCATACTTAGGAATCCATGTATTACAAAAGTGCCATTCTGTAGATGTATCAGTTAATTTTACAATATTGATGGAATTTGCATTCTTTCCCATTTTTTTTTTCAGTTACAATATTATACTGAGCATCCCTGATTCTTAAGGTATTTCAAATCAGCATGGAAAACATGATTTTATAATAGATGGCATTGGGGACCACGGTCTTACGTGTTGAATTAATCCAGCCAAGCCTCAGGCCAGCTTCCAGGGCCAAGTGGGAGAAGCCCCAGTGCCTCTGCTGGAAGTTCCCGCTAAGGGGAAGCGCACACGTGGAACTCGTGTCTGGGGAGTGTGTGAGGTTGACGGGGAGGACTCGGTGCAGCCAGTGGATGCCTGCGAGTTTCACCTGTACGGAGGCTCTGCAGAGACAAAGTTCAAACCTGTCATTCCATCCCGGTGCTGCTAATGACAAGCACAGGGTATTGAGCAATACTTGGCGTTCAATCAAGGAGGATCTCCTTGTCCTTCAATACTTTATTTGCTTTTCACACTAGAGCATTCTACTTCTGACACCTTTGCTTTGCAGTCATCTAAATATCCATAATCTTTTCCCAAAACACATGGACACCATTAGCTTTTGTTCTAATTTTTATTTTAAAGAGTCATTTGCTTCCCCATCCCAAGTTAACTATGACAATGATGGTGGCATGTACAGGTAACAGTATGCTAAAGCGGTCGTTAGGAAAGTGCCATTCCCACACGTGAAGACGACTTGGCGCCGGGAACACAGGGACTCTGAGTCGAGCCTTCACACGTGGGCGGCTGCGGCATGCCGACTGAGAACGTGGTGGAAACTCCCCTTCTATTTGCCTCTCTCTCGAGATCTATTCCTGCAGGACAGAGCAAACAATGAGGTTGTTCTGGAGGCTCTTCTTTCGTAGATGCCGAAGATCCCACTTCCTGGTGAACATCTGTCCCTGGACATCACCCTGGATCTCAAACCCAATGTGTCTAAATGAAAAATTAGCTCCCTCCTCAATCAGTTCTTCTTTTGCACTTCGCTTAATGATGAAATCCTCTTTTCCCTGTCACTCAAACCCAGACCCAAGTTCTGTTTCCCAATCCCTTTCCCATCTATTGCTTTTCTTTCCATTTCTTCCTGTCTAGATAACATTCTTATGATTTCATCCTCCTGGTAACCAATCTTCCTTCCTTCCTGCCATCCTCCCTTCCTTCCTTTTTTAGAGACAGGGTCTCACTCTGTGCCCCAGGCTGCAAGTGATCCTCCTGCCTCAGCCTCCCAAAGTGCTGGGATTACAGGTGTGAGCCAGGGCACCAGGTGAGTTTTTCAGTATTACTGGGAGGCTTTGCATTGCATCCTGGGATCACCAAGACCAGCACACTCTGCAGTTGTTCCCAGGACAGGAACAGTGTTCAGAGGGGAGGAAATGCAGAGGACACAGGATGGCCTATAAATGCTTCAAAGACAGGCAGATGAGCTGGGCCTTGAGAAGGTGTTTATCACTTAGAGGACTCAGGGAAGCTGATGCTGGCATCTGTGTCTTCAGCTAGTTTCTTTCTAGCTTCTTAAATCTCTCCTGCCCTCAAAATCCTTTGTCTGCATTTAAGGCTCTCCTCCATCAGGACCAATCTGTGTTCACAACTTTGTCACTCACAACTTTTTCTATGACTCTTTAGCTATTTCTAAATCTCCCTGTTGAATCCTAATGGGAATCCTTCACATTTCTGCTGTTGAAATCCCACTCCTCCTTCAAGGATTTAACCCATCACCTATGTGTCCCTTGCCATTATAATACCTTCAGCATCTGTCTTAGGCTCTTTCTTCTGCACCTCACACTCTGCTTCCAGTCCTCTGTGTTTCTCCCTTTTCCTTTAATTTCAAATTCTTTTGCCGTGAGCCGAACTCCCTCCTCATTCTGAATGCACTTCTTTGAGGGTCCTGTAAGAAAAAGACAGCCTTCTCTGGGATCCGCCGTGGTCCTCTGGGAACTCACCCTGAAGCCCCCCATTCTTAACCATGGCCTTCCACCTTTCTGGGTGGAGAGAGGCTCTCTCTGGGATGGGAGCAGTAGCAGGAGACTGGATTCCTCTTCCCTTAGATGGAAGGAAGCCCTAAAAGCCCGTCTGAGCTGTCAGGGAGTGGGACAGGATTTTGCATCCCATGTGACACCCACGTGCAGCAAGGACATGGCCATGAGTATCACAGGGTCCATGTGGGGCTGGAGTGGTCTGGTAGTCAGAAATACTGTGATACAGAAAAGTTGGGAAATTCTTTCTTAAGCATTTCTTTTCTGCAGCCTCACTAGCAGGGTCTGTTTCCTGAAGAATGACACACATGGTATTTCCCTCCCTTCTAGGGATTCCAGGAAGCAGAAGGCCAAGGAGCTCACCGAGTTTCATTCTCTCCACATGTAACATCCCTTTCTCTTTACCACAGGTCACGGGAAGATTAGGACACTGAAAATCCATAGCATCTTCCTTAGGTTTTTCTGGAAGTAGAACAGGACAGTTAAGTGTTATTCAGTCTTCATTCCATCTTCCTCTTGAATTCTCCTCTCCATGAATTCCAATAATTATAAATAATAACAATGACAGTGTAAGCGGCACTGGGGAATGGCCTCTGGTTAATTTGCAGGAGTCTTCCACTGTGAGTGGCAGATTAGCTATGTGTACAGAGTGTTCTGCAGCCAACAAAGCCACCACTGCCACCAACACTACCTCAAACCAACATTTCAATGGAATACACGGACTTCCTTGGTGAAAGTGTTTTAGTTTTGCACATGTTTCTGGAGAAAAAGTCTTCATTTATAATCTAATTTCCTGATTCAAACAGAGACTGGGGAGAGTGAGATGACTGGCAGGAGGGTGGTGCCAGTCTCCATTGTCTGCAGTCTGTTTTCGTTTTAGTGCTTTCCTGTTTCTTCCTCTGCGAAAACCCTGGAGCGTTCTAGACTAATCTGCAATGTGCGCATGGAGAGATTTGGCAACTCAGAACCGCTGAGTGGAAATCTGGGGTTCTGATGCAGGAGAAGCCAAGTCCCTTAGGCCCGAGGACTTCCAAAGCCACCCTCCTTGCGCCAAAAGGCAGCCTTCTGGTCTGTTTCCAACAGTCCTGAGCGTGACTCAGCCTCACCTGCCCTCTCAGCAAGCAGGCCGTAAGGATGGAACCCTGTGGCCCCAGGAAGCGGGTAAGCAAGGACAGAGCAGAGAGAGCTCGTGGGAAGGAAAAGCATGGTGGAGAAGATTAAAAAGAAAAGCCCAATAGAGACAACAAATAGCGGAATGGAAAAAAACCTAATTAGTGACCCAGAGACCAACTCCAGGAATTCTTACAGAACACAGGGAAAAAGCACAAGGTGGAAATTGTGCATGGAAAGATGGGAAGGCTGGGGAAAGATCTGGAAGCTTTATGCTATACGCAAGAGGGGTCTGGGGAGGGGTGGTAGGAGCAGAGATGGGCGGCAGGAGGAAAAGTAACAGTCAAGGAAAGAGCAGGGGCAGCAGACACACTGTGTCGTGCACCCCTCACAACAGTGTGTAAGACAGAGAAGACGGCAACTGTTCTCAATTTATGGATGGGGGAACGTGGGCTCCGGCTTGGAGAGAGAGTTACTGGTGGTCACCATGCTATATAAGGGGAGCTGGCACTGAATCCAGACACGCCAGACTCCTGGTCTAGCGCCTTTCCCTGTCATCAGAAATGCTGCAAGGAGGTTTCACATCATACGATCGAGAACAGCACAGGCACCCTGTGTTTAATCAGAAGGGACAGACAAGGCGGGTGTGCCGGGGAGGAAGCAGAAGCTGAGCTAACTGGCAGTATTTGCCTGGGCTCCTGCCTCTGCCTGTGTTTCAGTGTTTCATAAAAAGGCTAGGAGGTATATGGGTTTATTTATTTACTTTTTTAGGACTTGGAATTAGAATATCTAGGTTGGTTTTAGCTCATGTGTTTTTAACTGAATCTGTAAAATGGGCTGGTAAGGCTGACTTATTGTGAGGATTAAATGATGAACAAAGCGCTTTACCAACTGTGAAGTGCTGTACACACTTGTATCGTTATGAAGGCCTCTGCATAAGGTCGTGTGGGTTGTGCGCTGAGCAAGGATTCCACCTTTAAGAGGTGGGGCTCTGAGTCACATCAGAAACAATCAATGCGTTCGCTTAGTACAACAATCTTCCAGCAGAGGGCAGCAAAGGATTTGGTTTCAGGAATCAGCTCTGCCAGTGTACTGAGGAAGGGGCACCTTTTTCTAATCCAAACAAATGCATTATATAGACCCAGATATTCAAGTATAAATACCCCTTCAAGTATTTATACTTGAAGAAGAAGAACGTATTGATTCATCAGTTATCTAAGTACCAGGTGAGTGAGGCGCAGGGAGCTGATATAGAGCCATGGGCAAGACTAATCCACTTTCTGACCTCACAGTTTCCTGCGGTGAACAGGCCGTGCACAGGTCATTAATCACAGTTGACATAAGCGCCGTGAAGAAACAATGCGGGCCTTCACGAGGGCATGTCGGGGACCTGCCCCTGCCTGCCAGACAGAGAAAGCTCCCTGTGGAAGTGACGTGTAAGGTGAGGTCTGAGGGTGTATACCAAAGAGAGGGGTTGTGGGTGCTTTATGGGTGTGTGTTAATCCATCAAGCGCACATTGCGACACATGCATTTCTGTGTGAGTACGCTGCACTGGCACTACTCCGTGTCCTGGCCTGCGGCAAGACAGGAGCTCGATCAGAGTCAGGGCACTGTTGTCTCCGAGGAGGAGTCTGGCTGTGAAAACAGCGCTGAGCGCCCCAGTTGGTTTACAAGCTGCTCATTCTTGCAGACCCGAGAGAAACAAGGTTGGACATGGCACCAGTCTGGGGACCCCGCCTGTGTAGCACCTATTATGCTCCAGGAATGAAAAGAACAAAGGCAAGTAGGGCTGGAGCCTAAAGAGGGAAGAGAACGTCACAAGAGATGACGCTGAAGAAGTAAGATGTGGAAGCAGGAGAACAAGGAACGTCAGAGGAGGCGCAGGAGGGGGAGGACAGCGATGCAGAGGGGCCTGAGAGTGCAGAGGGCAGGGCAGGAGCAAGCCCAGACCGGACGGCAGAGCCCAGCTCACAGCGCCCGACCAACACAGGAGGGGAAAGGAGAAGGCTGGCGTTCTGTGCTTGGATAAGGGTTGCCTTTAATCCCTACAAGAGAGGAATAGAAGTTTCTATCAGAACTTGACTTATGGGTTCAGTGATCTCCCTTAATCATTTTTGGGTCTTTGTACAGCTCTGTGTTAAAGAATCCTCCCAAGTGTGGAAATAGCCACCAGGCGCCGAGAGAGTAGGTTGGGCGGTAGCACTCTGGATGTGCCCCTGTTCGCTGGCACCTCCTGGGGGTGGACAAGAACCTGGGAGAAGGGCAAGGATGGTGGGAGGGCAAGAGGAGAAGAGGAGGGTGGAGCCTTCAGCAGAGCCCAGGGCTCCAGGAGCCAGAGAGGGAGCTCCATGCTTGTTTACCCCTCCAGCCAATATTTTTCTGAAGCCTTATTTTCAAACTTGAACAGATACCTTTCTTCCTCTTCTTGTTTTTAAAAAATTAACAATCACTTATAGCTATAAGCATAGATTTATGCGCCTCATATGTCAACAATTTTAAAGTAATTTTTCCTGCCTTTCTACCAGTTTGGAGAGAGAAGCTATATATGAATCCCTATGAAAGGAAAATGATAGCATTGACTAAGGAAAAATAGCACGCTCATGTTTATAGATACAAAAGCTAAAAATATTACAGAAGCCAAATTTTCACTAATTATGTATCCATATTTAACATAAATGCAGAAGTAAATAAAAGGATGTATGGGATCCACCCGTTAGCTGTGGTGGACATGTCCAAAGTCCGCCAGTGGATGCCTGAACTGCAGATAGTACTGAACCCTATACAGCTGGGGTCCCCAACCCCTGGGCCATGGACCAGTAGAAGCCCATGGCCTGTTAGGAACCGGGCCACACGGCAGGAGGTGAGCGGCAGGTGAGTGAGCGAAGCTTCATCTGTGTTTACAGCCGCTCCCCATCGCTCGCATCACGGCATGAGCTCTGCCTCCTGTCAGACCAGCGGCAGCATTAGCTTCTCACAGGAGCGCGGACCCTACTGTAAACTGCGCAGGCGAGGGATCCAGGTTGCTCGCTCCTTATGAGAATCTAATGCCTGGTGATCTGAGGGGAGCTGAGACAATGATGTCCTCCCCCTATTCCCCCACCCCTGTACCATGGAAAAATTGTTTTCCATGAAACTGCTCCTGGGTACCAAAAAGGCTGAGGACTGCGGCTATATCGACTATATTTTCTTTATTTGATAACCAAGACGGCTACTGAGCACCTAACAGGCAGGCAGTGTACACAGCGTGGAGACGCTGGACAAAGGATGATTCACACCCCGGAGTGGGACGGAGAGGGACAGTGTAAGATTTTATCACGCTATGCGAACAGTGTGCAATTTTAAACTTATGAATTGTTTATTTCTGACATTTACCATTTGCTATTTTCAAACCACGTTGGAAGGCGAGTAACTGAAACCATGGAACGTGAAAGTGCTGATAGAGGAGGCAACATACAGCATTATAAATATTACAAAGAAGAAGCTTTCTAGGGAACAAGGACAGAACGTAAAGCAGGGGTCAGTGCTGGGTGATTCTGCTCCCAGGGGATATGTGGCAATGTTTGGAAATTTTTTATTTGAGAAGCAAGATTGGGAGGCAGATACTCCTGGCCTCTCATGGGTGCCGCTAGGGATGCCGCTAAATGCCCCAGGATGCACAGCGTGGCCTCCATAGCAACGAACTATTCAGCCCCAAATGTCAACAATGCTGAGTTGAGAAACTCTGGCATAAACCATGCTGCTGAAGATAGACTGATTTGTCCATTAAAAAAAAAATGTTTCCATAACCAAAAGCTTCTCAAGTAAGTTAAATGACAAAAACAATTAAGAAAAATGTCAGAAAGTATCATAAAGTGTTTATTTCCCTGACTGGTTAAACAAAAAATGACTAGTACTATATAAAAATGGGCGAATATGAATAAGTGATCCTCAAAAGAAAAATTCTAATAATGACAAAATTATTTAAAAAAACAGGTAAATTAGTAAAGATAGGCTAGATAATGCTGCGGTAATCCATGATCTTCCCAAATCTCATCAGTTTATTATAGCTGTCAGCAAATATGGCCTGAGGGCCAAATTGGCCTGCTGCATGTTTTTGTAAATAAAGTTTTATTGGAACACATTGATTCCCATTTGTTGTGTCTCTGGCTGCTTTCACAATACAAAAGCAGAGTCGAGTATTTGTGATAGAGACTGTATGGCCAGCAAAGTCTAAACTATTTATCTTCTGGCCCTTTTGGGAAAAAGTGTGCCCAGTTTTGATTTACAACAACAAAGGTCTACTTCTCCCTCATGCTACTTGTTCATCACACATTAGCTGAAGCTCAGCCCCACGTCCTCAACAGTCCTGGCTCCTGGTGACAGAGCAGCCTGTCTACAGCATTGCTGATCTTGGGACACAGGGAAAGAAGACATGTAGGCCCTTAAAGCTTTGGCCTGAAAGTGAGCCTTTCACTTTGGTCCACATTTTTTTGGCTAAGGCAAATCACATGGGCACTCCTGAGTCCATAGGGCAGGGCTGTATAAACTTCTGAGGAGGTGGGGCACTGGAGTATTGGTTAACAGAAATACAACATACCATGGCATGTTTAATCACCTGCATAGTGCAAAGAAATTCAAAGGAAAACATCAGTGGAATATCATCCTTTGCCTTTACGTTTGGCAAACAGAACAATCTTGTTATTTCTAATGGTGCTGAAGGTGCAGGGAAAAGGGTGTCCATACAATGTTAATGGGAGTGTAACTGACAATAATTTTGGCAATTTCACAATCAATATGTGCTAATTTTAAATATGCAGACTTGATGATCAAGCAACTTCACTTCTAGAGATGAACCATTAAGAGATAATGCTGAAGATGTGTCCACTTTGAGGATTGGTGCTATTTTCATTACTGAGTCGGCCAGAATCAAATGAGTCTCCCGTGCTCAGTAGAGTAGTGGTGACTCTGTTAATAGAAATGAAAACATCAGATACTGGGGAGTGGCCATGTGAATCCACATGGCAATGCCAAGGTGAACTGCACCCGGAGAACACACTTCCTTCTTCCAAAAACGACTCTCACATCAACAGGGCCTCGCTTGTCTGTACTTCTCCCTCCTTCTACTATCGACTTCACATGTGTACCCAACCCTGTACCTGGTCTAGGACAGACCCTCCCACATTGAGCCATTCAGATGGCAAATTCCATCATCAGCCTTACCGTTTAATCTTGCCTTTTGGGCCCTCGTCATGATCTTTGAGTTGTAGGTTGAGTTGTTGGTCTTCCTTTGAGTCACCTGACCCGCCACTGGGAGCTTTTCTTGGATGCCATGTCCAGGTGAAGTTGCCCCTGGACCAAGCAGTGATTTGTGAATAGTTTAAATTGGGGTCCCCTAATTAGTGACCCCCCTTTTCATAACCCCCTACGCCTTCAGGAGATCTCTGTACCTCATTTTTATCTTGCCATTTCTCTATAATTACTTCTCTCTTTTCTTGTGTATATCTCTCTTTCTCCTCCAGACTTACAACACTCACCATACTTCTTCCTAGTTCTCTTATTCCTATCAACTCCTCTTTTTGTCTATAATTATAGGTATATCAATCAGAGTACAAGCTCCATAAGCACACCCTTACACTCAATCTATCTTTGTTGAATGAACATATAACAGGCACTAAACTTTAAAAAATATCAGAAGTACATATTTTTCATTGTTATAAACGGTAAAGGTTTCCCTGACTATTCAATCAATAGGTTTCAAGGGAAGAGCAGATGCTGGTTGGAACTGAGATGTCACTGCTCGGTTGAGGACATTTTGGAGACTTAGACAAAATCTTGAAATACAGAATTTGTTGAGAGGAAAAGGGGATTTCTAAGTTCCAAAAATTACCTCTACACACCAAAGAAAAGCTTGGAGGTCTGAATGTCAAGTTTTCCTACAAGTTATGGTTACTGAACACTCAGCAAATGACAGAAAGTTTCCTCCAGCCCAGGGAGGAGACAGGGCGGCAAATGGGGAGGAAGAGGCCACGGGAGAAGAAGGGCAGCAGACCAGAGTCCCTTTCCAGTTCAAACCCCAAGGCTGAGGCATGTTGGGAATAAGCAGAAAAACTGGAGGAATTTCCAAAGCAGTGAGGCTCATGTCTTGATTCAAGTTTGGGAGGTGGGAGGAGATTCGTTCCCAGGGTGGCCCATGTCACCATCAGGGCACAGAATCCAGAAGAATCCCCACTGCCTGGCATACCTTGGCCCTTGGTAAATAATTTAAAAAAAATAAAGAAAAAGGGAAGGAGAAAGGAATGGGACAAAGGAAGAGGGAGAGAATTCAGAGCAGAAAAAGAAAGAGGTGATGAAGGCCATAGAGAGACAGCACAGGAGCCATAAAAATGCAGTTTTTTGTTTCCTTTTCTACAAATAACACAGGTTTTGTGCATTGGAGTAAATGCATAAATGCAGGTATGTAAGCAGGCTTGAGCTGACTGAGGTGGTTTTGAACACTGTGACTTCAAAGCTAATTTCAGTTTGGGGTTGGGAATCTGGGTCCTGCTTGTAGACTCAGCTTTCCTGTGTCTGTTCGTCCTGGCTCTGCCCCTGGACTGGATGTGACCCTAATCTCAAAACTGTCTGACGCCTCATGTCCATCTCAACCCCATTCCTTCCCTACGAAAAGAGAAAAGAAGGCCATGTTTGAACCAACTTGGTGCTGTGCTGGATTCTCCCTTCTTTTGTGGGGAGGAGTCCTTTGATGGGGTGGCCTAGAAGACAGCACGGGGCTGGCTGTGCTCCAGAGATAAAGGGTGTCCCCATGGCTGGAGAGGACCTCATGCTGGCCAGTTGAGTGAGGACTCTGATAAATACCAGGGGAGTAATGACTTCACTTTTCTTCCTTACCTCTTGGGAGACTTTTTTCCTGTCTTCTTCTTGGACTTGACCATCTTTTTATACTCTTTTCTAAAAAAACAAAGTATATAATAATAATAACCTTTTATGGCTACAAATATTGATCTACAACCTGTGATATCAATATTTTTTAAGTAAATTTTTTCCTGCTTTCCCATCACTTTGGGAAGGCAAGAAAACCATGTGACCTCTGTGAAAAAAGTATTTTACCTGGAAATGAAAAAGGATAGAATAAAGATGTAGCAGGAATAACTAACATTTAAAATATGCCATTTTAAAATTAAATAGCAGTTTTTTTTTAAGACTAGACAAAAATATAGAAAGAGGCTGTTATAAGCCATGGATATTAAAAGGTTTTCCTAACCAAAACTCAAGGCCAGAAGTTATACAGTTAAAAGATAAATAGATTTGAATGTTTAAAAAATTTAAACTGTCCACACTTCAAAAAACACCCCCATCATATTAAAATGAAAGCAAAATGAGAAAAATTGCGATATATGTAACATATAGAAGGTTAATATCCTTATTAGATAAAGCAAAAGATGAACAGTACGCTAAGAAAATAATCAAAGAACATAAATTAAAAATGCTCATGAGGAAATGATGATGACACATTTATTAATATTTAGAAATAATCTTTATATCACTAATAATGAACAAAATGTATTGTTTAGTTTCAAGGATGCCCAAATATTTAAAAAGTGTTATCACATGTAGTTTCAAGGATATAGAAAATGAGTACTCAAATATTGTTTTGTTTTTTGAGACAGAGTCTGGCTTCGTTGCCCAGGCTAGAGTGAGTGCCGTGGCATCAGCCTAGCTCACAGCAACCTCAAACTCCTGGGCTCAAGCAATCCTCCTGCCTCAGCCTCCCAAGTATCTGGGACTACAGGCATGCGCCACCATGCCCGGTTAATTTTTTCTATATATATTAGTTGACCAATTAATTTTTTTCTATTTATAGTAGAGACGGGGTCTCACTCTTGCTCAGGCTGGTTTCAAACTCCTGACCTTGAGAAATCTGCCCGCCTCAGCCTCCCAGAGTGCTAGGATTACAGGCGTGAGCCATGGCACCCGGCAGATTGTTAAAGGGAACATAAATCATTACATTTTCTGGGGGGCAATTTGGTAATATAGAAACACTTTAAGATATACGGACTCTAACCAAGCAATCTCATGTTTAAAAATCAGTTCTAAGGACATTATTAGACAAGTGTGCAAAGATAAAACACACAAAAACTTGATTTCTATTTTAATATAAAAATTGCAAATAAGCTAACTGTCCATTAATAGGTGATTACTTAAACAAATTGTGCTTAATCATAGACACTAAAGTATACAGAGACCTTCTTTTTTTTTTGAGACAAAATCTCACTTTTGTTGCCCAAGCTAGAGTGCTGTGACGTCAGCTTAGCTCACAGCAACCTGAAACTCCTGGGCTCAAGCGATCCTCCTGTCTCAGCCTCCCGAGTAGCTGGGACCACAGGCATGCGCCACCATGCCCAGCTAATTTCATATATATATATATATATATATATATATATATATATATATGTTTAGTTGGCCAATTAATTTCTTTCTATTTATAGTAGAGACAGGGTCTCACTCTTGCTCAGGCTCATTTTGAACTCCTGAGCTTGAGCAATCCACCCACCTCAGCCTCCCAGAGTGCTAGGATTACAGGCGTGAGCCACCGTGCCTGGCCTACAGAGACCTTCTTTACACTTAGGCTGTTTCCTGGAAGATTTTCCCAAAGAGAGTTTATTTGCATTATCCATAGGATCTAGAAAGTAATGAGAAAGAAAGTAATTTCTGAATAAGCTAATTTTACATTTTTGTAACTACACTCATCTCTGGCAATAGTGAACTGACAAGGGTTTGGCAATATTATTTCTGCGCCTTCCTATTTAATGGAGAATGATGGCTTCTGAAAAGAGTCCTCAGGGAGCAGGATGCTAGTCCTGTGCCAGCCAGCTATTATCCGCGGGATCCTGGACAAGCCAATTAGTCCTTTCTGTGTCTCAATTTCCTCATCTGTAAAATTGTATTAAATCATTCAACCCTCTCCAAGGGTTGTTGTGAGAACAAAATAAAATTATTCATCAAAAAAGTTGAAATATTACTATCTAATTCAGTGCAATGTAGGGGACACTGTTAAAAATGGTAATTTAGATTTTAAGGTGGTAAAATGTAACCCATTTTTACTGACAATAATTTAGATAATTGTTATTTGAAAGTCACAATTGTCATGTGAAGGTTCTGTGAATTTGTGACACAATGATCATGTCACCAACAAACAGAAGAATATTCAGCTGTTTTTTCCCCTCTAAGGATGGTGGTATCAGCTTAGTCCAGAACCGTGAACTATGGTGGCAATGGTGAGAGGTGAATGAACATGCACCATTTTACCAGCACACGCTCAGTCATAGCATTACATACATGTTTATGACAAGCTTTACTCTTCCCAGTTTTCCCAGAAAGGTCACATGAGAAATATGGAGACTGGAACCCTAGAAAAAAGCTTGATCCATGGGTCAGTATCAGACCAAGAATATACTTAGGATGTGCATTCTCAGTGGTGGTGATGTTGCCCCCAATAGAGCAAAAATTGGTTCTTGGGTGGTGAGAAAAATCTTATAATGTACAGATTACATACACACACATATATATTACATAAATAGACATATATTTGTAGTGTTAAAATATCATGGGGAGGGCCATGATTAGGAAATAATTCAGAAGGGCTCTCTAGGACAGTGATAAAGAAGAAACTAGGTTGAGAAATACTGGCTTTGAATAAAACAGCTCTGAATTTGGGATCCTGATGACTGCACTCTGAGACTAGCAATCCCCAATCTTTACCTTGTGTCACCGTTGGTGGTGTGCTAGGTGTTGCCTGGGACTTCTTCCTTTTATTCATTTCTGAAGTGCCATCAGTGATCTCTGAAAAAAGAAAGATTTCAGTAAAAGTCCCCCGGGAAGTTCCATTAGGAATCTCGCAGAGACTGAGGAAGAACCTTGCACACTCTGGAGCTTCGGGCTGGAGGCTTCCTAACCCTCCTAACAATGCATCTACCAAGCAGCTCCGTGCTGCTCCCAGCAATGTGCCTGTCTGCCCCTTGGGGGAGGAGCAGACCAAGGTCTGACAGCAGTGGTTACTCTCCTAAAAGAGACATTCACAGGGGGATGCAGCCATCGGAGCCCCTGAGCCAGACACTCTCAAAGTGAGGTCTGTCAGCTCCTAGGAAGTCCCAGAAACCCTTTCAGAAGATTTGCAAGGTCAAAATTGTTTTCATAATAAAACGTTGTTTGCTTTTTTCACTATTTCCACCTTTGCACACATTGTGCAAGAGCAATGGCAGGCAAAACTGCTTGTACCTTAGTACAAATCAAAGCAGTGTCCCCAAACCTCAGCAGGAATCATCGTTTTCTTCACTGTTACTTGCTCACCATAATTTTAAAAAAAGGTCAGATTCACTTATGTGACTGTTCTTGGTGAGCCAGTAACAATTATTAATTATAAAATTTCTACCCTTGAGTATATGTCTTTTTAATATTCTATATGGAAAAACTTGGGAACACATATAAAGCACTTCTGCTGCATCCTGAAGTACCACGGTTATCTCAAGAAAAATTCTTATGCGATTGTTTGAGTTGCAAGCACACTGTATAATTTAGTGAACCGATATTTGCCAAATGTCTGTGATATTGTAAAATCTAACATTAGTAAAAGATCCATCCAAAATGCAAGATGGCATAATATATTTTACTGTAACAGAGTACCTTCATAAAGTTCATTGATATGGTTTCAGATTCTACATTACAACTAATGTTTAAGAAACTACCACTTACTGTATTTTGGTGTTGTATTAAAGTTGAACATCCACAGATATCTCAAAAAGACTGTTAAAATACTCTACCCTTTTCAACTACAAATCTGTGTGAGCCTGGATTTTCTTCCTATACTTTGAACCAAAGTGACATATCACAACTGATTGCAGTAGCAGATATAAGAATCTAGATTCTATTATGAAGCTAGACATTAAATAAATTTGCAAAAATATAAAGTGATGTCACCCTTTTCACTAATTTTTTTTTGTTTTGGAAAATATATTTATTTTTCATAAAAACAATGTTACTTATGTTAAAGGATAATTGGCTTTTTATTGTTACTTTTAAATGAATTAATAAATATTTTTAAATTATTAGTTTTAATTTCTAGTAAGATACATACAGACATAAACAAGATTAAAAAAAAAGCCCTTTAGGGGTCCTCAATGATTTTTTAAAGAGTATAAAGGAGTTTTGAGACCAAAAAGCTTCAGAGCAGCTGCCCTGGGCACAGCTGTCCCTATTTGTTTCTTCAACATAAACTCCTTAGATGTACTAGATCCTTGCTGTCTCTTTGTCCCTCTTGTTACACCCCATCCTCATTCTCTGTACTTCTGTCTCCTTTTTCTATTGACTTTACATATCTATTAACACCTAACCCTGCACGTGCTCCGGGAGCAAACCTCCCACATTGAGCCATTTAAATGGCAGATTCTGTCATTAGCCTTACCCTTTGATCTGGACGTTTGGGCACATTTAGTTCTTGTCTTTTGGGCCCTTGTCACTACCTTCAAGTTGCAGGTTGAGTTATCCTTCCTTTGAGCCATCTGATCCACCACTTGGAGCTTTTCTTGAGTGTCCTGCCCAGATAAAGCTGTCCTGGGACCAAGGAGTGATTTGTGAATAGTTTAAGTTGGGGTCCCCAGTAGGCCTCCTCCTACCCCAATCAGTGACCTCCCTTTCATGCCCCTAGCTGTCACCCATTCAAGAGATCTCTGTATCCCTGTACTTCACTTTACCCCTATTTCTTTATAATCATCTTTTTTTCTTTTCTTTTCTTTTTCCTTACATAATTACTTTTTGAAATGTCTTGTTTCCTTGTACGTATCTTTCTTTCTCCCTCCAAATCGCCACCTGCTCTCACTCCAGTTACCACTTGTTGAAATCAACCAGATAAATCTGGGGAAATCCCAGAGCACTGGGGCTGATTTCCTGATTTCCGCTTGTGTGACTCCTGAACCATTAAGTGGCAACATCTGAGGAGAAACGGCTATGGCCATGCAGTCTTGTTTAGGTGGAGAGGGGGGCCTTATGAAGCACCTCTCCAGGTTCCCCCAGAGCCTCTGCATGCTGCGGGAGAGACCCCAAAGTTCCAAGTTCCTCTACGGAGAAAAGTGCAAGGAATCAAAGAACTGGCGCAAGAACCCTGCCAAGAAGGCAGTTACCCCGAGGAGGGTCCCATGGAGGTTGAGGCAGAGGATGCGGGGGGGTGAGTCCCATTCATTGTGGAAAGAAGAAAACACATTTTTCACTGGCTGTGGGCTTTGGAACTGATCTCCCCAGGATAACCACTGTCCAGTGGAACAAACCTTTCCGGAGGTTTGTAAGGACACGCACTGTGCAGGCAAGGCTACTGGCAGGCGGACCAGCAGCTTTTCCGGATACCCAGAGGCCACTTCCGGAGGAAGTGGGCGTGGCTAACCGTCTGAGAGGCAGACCAAAGCCGGAAGCCTGCCTTGGCTGAGAGTTTAAACGCGGAAGTTACTCTCTCCTAACCAGGGTGTAAGCTCCATGAGCTTTCTTCTTTCTTTCTTTTTTGTTTGCTTTCTTCCTTACTTTCTCTCTTTAAAAAAACATCTGTACCTTCAGCTTTCAGAAGGGATATATACAGAGTTAGTGCTCACTGCATATTTGTTGAATAACTGTCTCAGTGGTACTTAGAAGACCAGGTTTTTGGTGAAGAAGGTGAATTTAATTTCAGACATATTGAGACTAGTGTCAGGGGACTTGCAATCATAGATGCCCGGCGAGCAGCTGGCTATAAGTTTCTTAAAGACAAATCTGAGTTGGAGATGTTGATTTGGGAGCCATCAGTGTAGAGGAGGCAATTGAAGTCATGAGAGTGGTTGACTAATCTCAGGGAGTGTGAGTTGAATCACCCGAGTAGTTTACTCTAAACTAAGGAGGCCCATAGAAAACACACCCATAACATGGTAAGAGGGCATTGACTTAAGGTTGGTTGTGGTGGCTCATGCCTGTATTCCCAGGACTGTGAAAGGCCAATATGGGGGGGGAATCCCTTGAGGCCAGGAGTTTGGGACCAGTCTGGGCAACTTAACAAGACCCCGTCTCTATAAAATATTAAAAAGAAAAAAAGAGGGCATTGGCTTAAAAGTGGAGTAAGGGAGACAGCAGCTTGTCTCTCCTTCTTGCCCAGGAAGGCCACTAACCTTTGGGGAAAAGACACAGGACTAAACCATTCCTATGAAATACAAAGGGTACCAAGCCTATGATTTTACATACTGGAATCAATTTAAGAGTAAACTAAGTTAGAGAAGAGGAGCTTTAAGCCACTCACTTAGGCTAAGTAGAGTTAACTGTTCCCTCTTGGCTTTCTGGCATGTTCTCTCCTGGTACACCTCCTTCCTCACTGCTCTCTTCCCCTCAGGCTGCTTGGCTGGATTCTCTGGAATTTCTGAGAGCAGGGATAGGTCCTGGCTTCTCTTCTCTTTTCTCATAAATTGGAATACCTTCATTTTACCCATGACTACCATATTTATATCTGTGGACCAGATTTTTCATTGAGTGCCAGACTGGCATATTGTGGGGAAAATAACTTCTCTGATTTCTCAGTGCTCCTATAAAAAGCCCTAGCCTCTTGAGACACAGAAATGTATGCGATATAAAGAAATATTTGCTTTCACTTCCCCTAGAAACATTTTATTTTTCATATACCCTCAGAATGAGATCTATAGCTATTTTTCTAGTTAATTGCTCTGATACAAAAGGATAATACAACTTTTATCTACTGAAATTGCCAAATGGTTATAGCTAGGACTGGCTTCCTAGGTTAAATACTAAAATATTAGGAAAACTGGAGTGGTCTTCCTCTAGGTGTGTATATATCAAAAGAGATAAAGCTCAGAACTTAGAGCATCTCGAGGTCGTAAAAGTTAGCGATACCTGAAGATTCCCTGGCCTTTGGAAAGATACATTTAAATTTCAAATATTATCTCATTTGAATATCAAACCATTTTATCTCAAAGCAGCAAAGTTTCATCAAGAAAGGAGGATGGTTATCGCTCTCCTGTATATAAACAAAAAATCCATCATTCTCCATCCCTTGTCTATGGGTTGTAATCTGCCCTTTGAATAGAAAGATTCCATCAACTCTCTTAGCATTGCTTGTGGGTTTGTGTATGAGAGACAGATGCTGCAGTGTTACTCTGGCTTTTGAGCTGGTTGTGAATATCAATAAAGAATTCTTTCCCCTTACCCAGGTACTTGTGTTTCTGCAGAATTCATATATATAAAGAACATATAAATGCGAGTGGGGTTACATCTCAGATCCTTTACAGTTCTTGGCAAAACACATAACTGGCACAGCTGTGTAGATGGCCAGCAGAAATCTAAATGAACAGGTCAAAAACTGAACTCTCCCCAATATATATTTTCCCCCAAATGCATTTGTATCTTTCTTCAGCAATGGGCATTACCATTTACTCAATCACTCATGCCAGACAATGAAGAGTAGCCCTTGATTTTTCTCTCATCCCCAACTTACAATTTATCAAATCTTGTCAATTTTGCCTCCCAAACTGAACTTGAATTGGCTTCTTCTCTGCATCTCCAGTGCCAGATCCGAATCCAGGCTGCCAGTAACTGTCACGACTTCTACCCCCAGGTACTGCCCTGTCTCCCTTCTTACCTATCTCCAATTCACTCTTTAAATAGCAACAAAATTGGGCTTGAAGGATTGTACCACTTCACTGATTAAATCTCTTCAATGGCTTCCCATTGCATTTAGAATAAAATTCAATGCCCACACTTGGACCTGCAAGCCCAGCCTGAGCTGTCTCCAGCCTCCACCCTCCTTTTGTCCCCTCATCTTACCTCTTGGGAGCTTTTTTTTCTGATGTCTCTTTTTTGGAGTGGACCAGATACTTCTTTTTCTTTTATTTCCTAAGAGGAAGGGGTAAAGATAATCTTTTATAGTTACAAGCATAGATGTGCCGACCTTATATGTCAATGATATTCAGCTTTTGCTTTTGGTCTTCAATCCTCATCAGCTAGGAGGTCACTGGTGATCTTAGGTGATGCTACTTCATGGAGTAATCAGGGAAGAAGGAACTAAAGTGATGGAGGAGAGAAAGAAGTAAACAAGTGGAAATGGGGAGTTTAGGTAACTCATTTCTAGAAGAGTGGTTGTGAAATGAAGGAGAGAGCTGTGCAGGCATTGGGGTGAGATGAGGATCAAGAGGAAGTATTTTTTACGAGCTGTGATAGGCTTAGGCATTGGCTGAGTGTGGATCCCTGTGTGAGAGAGAGAGACAGCTGTGCTGGGCACTGGATTCTGTAAGGTGAGGTGCGAAGACTGCCCGAGAGAAAAAGAATGAACTGGAGAGGGGGAGCAGGTGCAGTTAGGGTTGCAGGGCTGGCAGTGGGAACCACCCAGTACCTTTCTATGAAGCAGGCGGCAAAGTCACCTGTTGAGAAAAAGGAGGTGGTAAGGGGGATCCGAGGTTTGGAAAACAGAGATCAAAATTTGAAGAGATCACTATAGGAAGTGGAATGGTCACACAGCTTGGAGAGATCATTTGTGCTGGAATCATGAAGACACAGCACGTGTACCTGCCCTGCGATGTGACTCTGTCCAGCATCGCCTGCTTTCAGACACAGAGTAGGGAAAGCAGATAAGTAGGTTCCTCTCAGAGCTGCCAGAGAGCTCTAGGAAAAGACGAGAGGAAAGGCAGGTTAAAATAATGGCAGTAGATGACTGAAATGATAGATGCTGGACTCTAAGCTGGAAAGGAGGGGCGTGAAGAACAGCAAATGATGGGTTGGAGGAGGGGAAGGCCAGTGGACTGGTGATCTGAATGAGGCTGAAGGACAGCTGCAGAGAAAACAAATAATGAGAAAACAGAAAGCGATAGTTTTGATTCTTTTTGGGGGGGATTGAGATGAGAAGGACAGAGCAGAGGTTGAACAACAGCTATAGAAGGAGCAAACTTCAAGGACAGGTGTCAAAAAAAGGGAATTCTTAAATGAACTCTTAGGAAGTTGAGCCAGGTTTGAATGATGAGAAGGTCCATGGATTGCCTTTATGCATGGAGGGACAAGAACTGGTGGAGGAAAAAGTCACTGGAAATGAGAAGAGAAGGGTTCGAGAGGCCAGAGCATCGGATGGGTTGTCTGCTGTCCTTGTGTACCTTGAAAGCATCTAGGATGATGGCAGCACTTGAGGTGACAGAAAAACAGCCTTTGAGGTCTGCTGGGGAGTGATGGGGAAGTCAATGGGTGACAGTGATGATGAGAAGGAGTGTTTTAATTGAATGGCTAAGTCCCAAAGGGACTTGGGGAACAAGTGACCGGATGGGGACAGTGGGTAGCAAGGGTGTGAGTGACAGAGGGCAGAGGATGCCCAGTCATGTCTTAGGGGGAAGCTGTGTCCTCTCTGGGGAACCAACTTTCAGTTAAGACGTTGGTGCAACTAACACTCTAAGAAGTTGTGGATATAGCAGACTAATGATCTCAGAACAGGCAACTCCAACAAATGCATATTTCGACTTTCCTAAATGCTTTCTGGTTTGCCTATAGTTTTCGTAAAGGCCTTCAAGGAAGGTACAGTGAATGGGAAGTACAGAAACAAACTGTGGTGGGCATAGTGACTACAGTGACATCATGAGTGTTCATGACAAGAAATGATCAGAAAAACAGAAAGCAACTCTGAATGCACCCTGAAGTACCATGGTTATATCAAGAAAAGTTCTTATGTAGAGGAGAAAGGCAATTCTTACCTTTCTTTTTCGAAGGTGTGATGAATACCTCCTGGGGCTCTTTTGGGTCATTTCTTTCCAGAGATTCATCTCTTACCACTGACAAAAGAAACATATTTTGTTTCAGAGCTCAGAACAGGCTGAAGAGAAAGTGCCAAGGGGAATCAATTAGAGAGGTGTAACCCAGGGTTGGGAATCTGCCAGCTCTGAGGGTTTCCTGGCTCTGCCTTGGTTTTACCAACTTGTGGTTATTGCTACCTGTGTGACTGTCACAGCAGACTACTATGGGACAACTGCACCATAGTGTAGGCTCAGTCTGACCCATTTAGAGAGATTCTCTTACTGGATGGAAGAGAGGTACCAGGGTTCCCGGCAGCCCTTGTTCAGGGAATGAAGCTGAGAGCAGTGGGAAGTGGTGACATTGAGTTCTCATGGCCACTATGAAGAGGAATGTCTTTGTCATATGAAAAATGAGTGTTATTGTTTAGATGTCTGCAAATGGATATTTTAACTGCTCTATCTATGATTATTGCACCTTGAGAAATAGTGAACAAGGCTTAGTGCCTTGTATATTTCTGTACACAAGGACTATATGAAGAAAGCAGGAGGCAGCCTGTACTTGCTAACACCTGTTAACAGCAAATATAAATAAAACTCTGCTAGTTTTTGCTGCACAAAAGACAGAAAGACTTGAAGCCATAACAGACGCAGACCCATCTCACATAAGGCCATTGTCACCTTATCTGCACGGTGCTGAGATCTGTCTCCAGTCTGCCTGCTCAGGAACAGGTAACTGAGGCAGGTGGCAAGCAGCCATTAGACCCTTGAAATAATTTCTTACTTTTCAAATTCACTTAATAATACCTACTGTTAAAAATCCAAGCAATATAGAAATGACTAGAGTTGAAGGTGAGAGTTCCACATAGTCAGGGTGGGACTAAGAAGAACCACTCATATCTGCTGCATCAATTCCCTGTTAGGGCCATACAGTGATTTTATTTGTTTGCTTTGCATTTTGGTGGAACAGTTTCGAGCATTATCTTATTGAAGTGGCCTTAGCACAGTGGCTGAGTCCAACGGTCCAGTCTTGACTCAGTTCCCTGTGCTTTCCCTCTGGGGTTCCCGCCACAACCCCCAGGGACTGATGGACATGGCAGATGGATGTTCCCCCTTTGCAGACACCTCATGACATTGGAGTCCTAGCCTAGCAGGTACTGGTGGGCTGCTGTCCCCCATCATCAGTGGCCCCCTCCAAGCCTACCTTTTCCAGGCTGGCCTCCTTTGCCCTCCCCAGGGACTCTGTATCCATTCAGAGCTCGGGTCTCCTGCCTGTCTAGGCTTCCAGGTGCTGGATGGGCGGCCAGAAGCTGGCAGAGTCGGCAGCTGAGAGCAAGGAGGACAGCCCTGTGCCCAGAAGATCTGAACAGCTTTTCTTCTTGGTAGACACAGAAGAAAGACGAGCTTAAGTTACCCAAATCAAGATACCTGGCGTCGGGCCTGAGGGAGCGCGGGGCATCTCCTGAGGGTCTTCTTCATCTTTTATTTGAGGGGTCAGGTTGTCACTGGACACTGAGCAGAAGAAGAAAAAGAGTTACAGATCCCAGGACCCGCAAGCAGGGACCAGTGAGGAGGAAAGACACAGTGACTGAACAACAGGGCAGGGGCAAGGGTGGGATAGAGTGGGAAAATGAACAGTCATTTACTCTCAACTAGCCACTTGTTAATTTGATAACTGTGCTTATTTTTTTCTCTTGAAAAGCTAGAAGATGGAATCTTCCACTGTTTTTAGCTTCCTGATTATGTCAACCTTTTCTGGAAGGTATGTATTAGAAGAGTGGAGAAAACATAATTTGGATCAAGCAGGACCCCTATTCTCAGTACTGGAAGAGCTTACAGTTCATGGTATCATTTTTGACAATTCCCAATAATATGCCACTCTTATATATATAATGTAATCAAGCTCCATTATAATGATGGTTTGGGGAGGACAAATGACACAATTTTAGAAGCTAAATATTGGGCCCAGCAGACCTTTACACAGTTTATCATCTTTTCTAATAATTTTGATAATGTTACTCTTAGAATCCAAACCATATGAAAGTAAAGAAGGTTGAACCCTAACGGCCCCCATGGTCAGGTGGGGGCCAGGATCAGGCAAGGGTCGCCAGAGCAGGTGCTGCTTGTTACCTGTGCATTTGGAGCAGTGTTTCGATTATAGGTTCGTTTTGCATTACCCAGTTGATGAATTGGCCCCCTTCTTTTTCTTTGTTTTGCCCAATTCTTTTTCCCGGGGTTCCTGCCACAGCCCCTTGGTTGGCAGGTGTGTGTTCACCCTTCACACTGCCTTGAGCTAAGCTAAGTCGGCCCCAGTCAAGGTTACCTTGTACAGTGTCAGGGGCAGGGCTGGGCATCTTGCGTGAGTCCTCTTGCTCATTCATTTTGGATGTTAAGTTGTCATGGGTCACTGAAGGGAGGAAGAAAAATCATCACAGGTTACAAGGACTGGGTGTCAGGGAGGAGGGTGGATGGTAAAAATGCCTGGAGCAGATGGAGCCCCCAGGCCCAAAGGCAGAGGTTGGGATGTCCCAGCAGTGGGACGCAGGTATTCTGGGCTCTGGGCCTTACGCAGGCCCCTGGAAACACTCATAATCCTTCTTGAAAAGGGCTGTGGATGGGTGGATGGGTGCAAGGGAAGGACCAGATGAATAAAAGATGCGACCCTGGGGTTGTAGGTATTGTGGCACAGGTGCCCTAGGCTGGGCTGCACAGGTGTTGGATGGGGTCTGTTTCTCACCTGCAGTTCTCCTTCCTTCCTGCATGAGTCCAGGGAGAGACACGGCGGGGTCAGAAGAGCTGGGTGGGCCGCCCGGGGTCTCATGGCTTTGCTGCGAGGATGCCCCGGGCTCGCTGCCTCTGGACACACAGTGTGGACAGCTGCGTGGAGGGGGTGGCGGTGGGGGCAGCAGCGGCAGGGGCTGCAGGGAGCGCCCTTCTGCTGGGCCGGGTGGCACTTCGAGTAGGCTTGGTGTGGCTCTGCTCCACTGTCCATAGGAATTGGTAACTGTGATTGGTGAAGGAACACACATCAGCACCCTGGAGACTCAGAATTATTTGGGGATGGGAATTTCTTAATACGTGCTTTCCAACAAGACGGGGAACATAGAGTTATTCATTCTTCCCAAGGTGCATAGAACCGATGCCTTGTCATCATCATCCATTTGTGGCCCCTTTCTATCTTATTTATTTGATTCGGGGCACTCAGTACTGCAATAACTGCATTTACCCCTGATCTACCAAAGTGGTTTCACACAAAAAGTTGAGTTTGAGTTTGTACCCAGGGATAGAATTTAGTCAATGATGTACATGTTATAATTTTAACAGAGGTCTCTATTTTAATAAATGAACATATCATACCTCCATGGGGCAAATAATAAAATAAAGTTCATTAGCAGGGTATATCAGGACCTTCATATTCTGGTTTCTGCTCATTTCTGCAGACCAGTGTCCGCACCTTCTGTCACCCCTATGATCTGGCCACATCAACGTTCTCTCCCAGCTGCAATGCTCCAGGCCCTTGGCTTTCCACATGCTGCCCCCCTGCATGGCCAGTGCCAGGTTTCTCTTACAGTTCTTCTCCATCATTTATTTCAGAAGTAAAGTTGTTTCAACCAGTGAACAGAAAAAGGAAAGTAAGGTTGGATTTTGGAATGAGATCCAGAATGAGATCACGGTTGCAGATCCAGGAAGACGCTGAGGCTCAGCCAGGGGCACAGGAAGGTGTGGGGCCCGGTGGCTCTCAGATGCACTGAGCTCAGATGTACTTTGAGTCCACGCTTCTCCTGGTGCCGCCCCGATGCTGCAGCTGCCTGTGCCTGCAGGTGGGCTTTCCCTCTGCTCGAGGAATCATCCCTCCCTTTGGGGAGGAACCTCCTGATGGTGAAGTGTCAGAGAGCAGATGAAGAGCTGTCGACAGCAGTGATTTCACTAATGAAAATGTCACATCCTGTGTGAACTGGTGGTCCTTCCCTTGTTGTTCTCAAGTAAGTGAACATAGGCTTTGGCCAGTGTTTTTTCTCCAACCTAACTGCCCCCCCCCCCCGCCCTGGCTTCTTTCTTCCCGGCTCTGTCACTGCTCTTATTTCTTCTCCTTTATTTATCCAACCTCTTGTCTTTCTCTGTGTAATTCATTCTCCATTCTTTCTCAGACCCTCTCTTTCTGTGCCTATGTCCATGATTCCCTCCCTTCCTCTTCAGCTACCTTTATTCCCTCCTCCCGCTTTACAATCTGCCTTCCAGCTGTCCTTGTCGAGACTAGTGGTTAAAACCTTGGGCCTTGGTATTGGGAGACCCAAGTTGGACCCCTGGCTCTGCCTCTTAACAGACAACTAACTTTGAGAAAGTTATTTCTGAGCTATAATAATGATCTTACAGGGTTGTCTTAAAGATGCCATGAGATAATCAAATAAAGTATTTGGAACAATGCACTGAAGAAAGGTACTTCTTAACATCTATTTCTCTTCCTCTCTGGCTCTCCTTGTCCTTCCACCAGACCTTGTCTCTGTAACTTTGCATTTCTGTCACCCTACGCATTCCCTAGACATCGTCCAGTATGCTAAAGTGTAGGATTTTCCCTGAACTTGTAGAACAAGTAAAACAGAAATGTTCGTGTCCTCTAGAAATTCCTCTTAGAGAGCTGGTGTGAAAGTTAGCAAGGGCTGCTCCCCCAGCTGCACCTGTGGGGAGGTCTGGCCCATGCCTTCCCGGAGGGAAAGCAGGGGACGGACATGCACATTCCACAGGGCTGGGGAAAGACCCAGACCTCTTTCATGATAGCAACTTCTCAAATGCAAAAAGTATTTACCACTTTTGAAGCTTTTGAAAATCGTCTTCAGATTGGGGTATTCACGCAGGTTAATTTCGCTGAACAGTGTCACCAGAAGAGGCAGGCTAAAGGTCTTCTCCAGTTTGGTGAGAATGTTGTGCACCACTCTGGATATAGGGACCAAATTACTACAGGCTTCCAGAGATTCCTTAAAAAAATGGATGAAAGGTTATTATAAACGATTATGAAGTTGAATGGAGAGTTATTGTACATTTGTGGTTTTCTAAGTTGTGAGACAGCTACTTCTACAAGAAGAAAATCCTCTAAGGTAGAGAGGTCATGGTTTCACATGTTTAGGTTTGGAATGTCACATATATTTGAATGACTAGGCATAGTAATAAATAATTTAGCCTTCTTTAAAATAAGTCTGTTTTGTGAACCTTACTTTTTAGGTACACTGGAGGGAAGAGAGAAATTTTAAGAGAGGGAAGTGGAGTCAAATATGCTACTGTGTTATTGTATCTGTAAGGCTCTGGGCAGGATACTTCAGCAATGGATCTAACTCGTGGTCACGGTGGCAATTCTGTTATTGCTTGTTAGTCTCTGTGCGTGTTCGCTCTCTCTCTCTCTCTCTCTCTCTCTCTCTCTCTCTCTCTCTCTCTCTCCCTCTCTGACTTGAGATGGCCTGAATGTGTTCTAGCCACAGGGAAGTCTTCGAGAGAATTCCTTTTGCTGAGAGGATGGACAAAAGGAGAAACACGGCAGGAGAGAATTGATTGCAGAATGCTTACTGAACACTGATCAGGCTCAGTCAGCTAGGCTGTGGGCACACTGCAGCAGATAAGATCAACATGGTGCTCCCCATATTGAGAGGGTCGGGCACTGTCAGGTGGAGAAGATGGGCATTGAACAACAAACACAAATAAATACCCAATTACAATGGAGAAGAGTGTTGTGGAGGGAAAGTATGGATTGCTATGAAAGAACAATGAGGGGGTCTTAATTAGATGAGGGAGTCAAGGAGGCCTCTCTGAGGATCCCATCTGGGCTGTGATCTGAAGAGGGGTTGGAGCCAACCAGGCCAAGACTAGGGGAAGACTTGCTGGCCCTTCCCTGGTCTGGGGCTCGAGAAACGCTTGAAAAAACACAAAATTATATAAAAAGAGTGCCACTTTTATCCTCAGAGCATATCTCCCAGTACCTGTCTGCCTCACGTGAGAATGACCTGTGAGAAATAAGCTCTTATAAATTGGGGTGATGCCTTTAGTGGGTAGAATGGTGGCCCCCCTCATACCCCAAAGGTCTGCCCATTCAGCACCTGTGAATGTGAACTTATTTGTAAAAAGGGTCTTCGCAGACATAATTAAGTTAAGCATCTTGAGGTGAGATCATCTTGGATTAGGGTGGGCCCTAAATCCAAACATCCTCAGAAGAGACACAAAAGAGAGAAGGCAATGTAGAGATTGGAAGATATTGGAGTGATGTGTCTAAAAGCCAGGGAACACTAAGGATTGCCAGGAGCGCCCAGAAGCTAGGAGAGAGGCAGGGAGCAGATTCTCCTCAGAGCCTCTAGAAGGAACCAACACTGTCAGCATCTTGATTTTGGACTTCTGGCCTCCAGAACTGCAAGAGAATAAATTTCTGTTGTTTGAAGCTACCTGGTTTGTAGCTCTTTATTATGGCAGCCCCCATGACACCCTAGGAACTAATACAGCCCCTATGACACCCTTTCTCCCAGTCATCTCCACCTTCTGTGATAACAAACATGCCTGGGCTGGGCCTTCCAAACTCTAGAAGCCCTGCTGGTTTGTGGTTTGAGATCTCAGTAGTCATGCACACTTGAGGGGCTTCAGCCACCACGGAAGGGGTCAACACGACTCACCTTGTACATTCTGTTGGTGATGAAAGATTTGTCTCGGAGGCTTTCCAAGAAGGGAAATGGCTTGTGTATGGCATATGCGATCTCCATCTTCTGGTAGATGAAGTGCTGAAAAAGGGCCTCTTCCAAGGCCCTGGGCACAGTGAACATCCTATGGAAAAAGGCATGATAATCTGATAAGGGGCTGATAACTAGAATATACTTAGAACTCACGAAAATCAGGAAGAAAAAATCAAATAACCCTATTAAAAAGTGGGCAAAGGACTTGAACAGAAACTTTTCTAAAGAAGACAGAAGAATGGCCAACAAACATATGAAAAAATGCTCAACATCTCTAATCATCAGGGAAATGCAAATCAAAACCACAATGAGGTATCACTTAACTCCAGTGAGAATGGCCTTTATCAAAAAGTCTCCAAACAATAGATGCTGGCATGGATGCAGAGAGAGAGGAACACTCCTACACTGCTGGTGGGACTGCAAACTAGTTCAATCTCTGTGGAAAGCAATATGGAGATACCTTAAGGCGATACAAGTGAATCTGCCATTTGATCCAGCAATCCCATTGCTGGGCATCTACCCAAAAGATCCAATGACACTCTACAAAAAAGACACTTGCACTCGAATGTTTATAGCGGCACAATTCATAATCGCAAGGCTGTGGAAACAGCCCAAGTGCCCATCAATCCAAGAATGGATTAATAAAATGTGGTATATGTATACCATGGATATAATAAAATGTGGTATATGTATACCATGTATACTATTCAGATCTAAGAAACAACGGTGATATAGCACATCTTATATTTTCCTGGTTAGAGCTGGAACCCATACTACTAAGTGAAGTATCCCAAGAATGGAAAAACAAGCACCACATATACTCACCAGCAAACTGGTATTAACTGAGTAGCACCTAAGTGGACACATAGGTACTACAGTAATAGGGTATTGGGCAGGTGGGAGGGGGGAGGGGGCGGGTATATATATATATATAATGAGTAAGATGTGCACCATCTGGGGGATGGTCATGCTGGAGACTCAGACTTGTGGGGGGAGGGGGGAAAGGGCATTTATTGAAACCTTAAAATCTGTACCCCCATAATATGCCGAATTAAAAAAAATTAAAAAAATAAAAAGAAAGTAGAAGCAAAGACCCTGAGGTGTGTGGGGAGCTACTCTGCATTAAATGGGCAACTAAAGACAGGCATTCCGGTCCCAAAAGCGTCCCTTGCAGTCCACAAGGCAACATCTGCTTAAAAGGGTGTAGGAAACAATGACAATTCCCAGCATCACTGGAGGCTGGGAGTGAGTGATAATATACTGCCAAAATCACAAAGGGGCTGCAGGTAAACATAAGGCAGATATTAAAAATGCTGATATTTATTGAGTGCCTCCTGTGTGCCAGACCTTGTTGATCTTCAGAAATCCCTTGCAAGATGGTTACCCATTTGTACTGTTGAGGACGCGGAGATGGAGAGAGGTTTGACAACTTGCCCTAGGTTGCACAGCTTGAGAGTGGTAGAGTTGGGAATAAACTCCGAATTCTTGATTGCAGGCTTATAGTCTTAAGCTTGTGTTCTGTGGCCGTGTTGAGTTAAACAAGATGGCCTGGGCTGTAGCTTAAGCCATTAACTGGCAGTGCTCATGGAAAAGGGGCCACCCAAAACTGGGTAGAAGGATGGAAAACTGATAATATTTAGAAATGTTAATAAAACACAATCTTCAATACAAATGAGCCGACCACAAATTAAAGCATGAGGGATGGTAAAGGTAACTTAGCTGACTTGTTTGATGAGTTCATTTCATATCTCAGAACAGACATATGCCTTTACCCACTCCCAGGCAACATTTGTAAAATTGACTGTAAATGGGTCATGAGAAAATATCAATAAGTTATAATCGGCAGAAAATTTACAGATGACATTCTCGACAAATTGTCAGGAAAGGAGCACTAAGAAAAAGTCAATCACCTTAAAAAAATTCTTTTTTAATTTCGGCATATTATTGGTGTACAAATTTTAAGGTTTCAAAAAATGCCCTCCCACCCCCAAGTTTGAGTTTCCAGCGTGACCATCCCCCACGTGGTGCACATCTCACTCATTATGTATGTATATACCCGCCCCCCGCCCCCCTCCCACCCCCTCCATAACCCAATAATAGTGGATCCTATGTGTCCACTTAGGTGCTGCTCAGTTAATACCAGTTTGCTGGTGAGTACATGTGGTGCTTGTTTTTCCATTCTTGGGATACTTCACTTAGTAGTATGGGTTCCAGCTCTAACCAGGAAAATATAAGATGTGCTATATCACCATTGTTTCTTAGAGCTGAATAGTACTCCATGGTATACATATACCACATTTTATTAATCTACTCTTGGATTGAGTCACCTTAAAATTTTTAAACAACCAAGCAAACATGGATCCCATTTTTCCAATTTCATTTTGTGTCAAATAGAACATTAAACTGTAATTAACAACTATAATATTTCCAGGGATTTAATCCCAGTGGCAGATTGAGCACCCCAGTCTCTTTCTCCTTATTCCCAAATCTTTTAAGAAAAAAAAAGTCATGAAAAGAATAATCCCTAGCACTCTGGGAGGCCGAGGAGGGAGGATCGCTGGAGGTTAGGAGTTCAACACCAGCCTGGGCAAGAACGAGACCCTGTCTCTACTAAAAATAGAAAGAAATTAGCTGAACAACAACAACAAATATATATATATATATATACACACATATATATATATATATATAAAATCCACAACAGCACTGGAGACAAAAAAAGATGCCATGGGAGTCTGCTGTGGTGAGGAAATCTTGGAAGATAGAAAACAGATGGAAGAAAAAAATCTCCTATTCACAATATACATTGCAAAGATCGGTGTAGAGTCAGAGAAAGCCAAAATGAACATTTGCTTAGAAGAGGAAGGGGCCCTAGAACTCCATTTAGGATGATTCATTACACAGCAGAATTCGGAATAGGAAGTCACTGATTTCCTCATTCTTCATCCGTTATGATTCCCAAAGACGAAAGTGAGGCACAGAGAGGTTAAGTAACCAGACCACTGTGTTCAGCAGCAAAGTGGAGCTTGTCTGACTCTATAAAGTCCCATTTTTCACTGTGTAAGATACCATGTCTCATACATGACAGTGCTCAGGTTTTTATTATATAAAGGGATATTACAAATGGACAAGCAAAAGACAAGCATACAAGTAGGGAAAAAAAAGCAAAAGACTTGAACAGGCAGTTAATGGAAGGATAAGCTAACTGTTCAACGAATATATGAAACATGTGTTAACTGGCCAGTTGTCAGAAAGTGCAAATCAAGACAATTTGGTAACATATTGCCTATGAAACTGGCCAACATAGAAAATAATAGCAATAATTTCAGACATTGCAAGTGGAAATATAAACAGGTCCAAACGTTCTGGAGGCTAATTTTGTAGTCAGTGTCAAATGCCCCAAAATATGTATTCCTTTGAATTCCCACTTCCAGTAATTTATTGCAAGGAAATAATCATGAAGGTGCTTACAGAAAATATATTAAAAGTTCCTGACATAGTAGAGAGGAAATTAAATGTACTCTTCTTATTTCTTCTTTTACACCAGCTTCCTAACTACCTCTAGTTGCTTGCACAATGGATAACAGATGAGTTCCGGTTGTGGGCAGAGTGCTGGATCAGAACTTGGGACAGGGTAGAGGCAAATCTCACTTCCATCCACAATAATTTCAAGACTGTCCTTTTTGAAGCACCAAAGGAAGCAAGAAAAGCTTCAGCTTTCTCTGCTGCACTCCTTTTAATAAGAGGATCTGCTCTGTAAAATTTGGATTCAGTCCAAAGGTCGCACTTAAGGACCTAGAAGGCCTCATGTGGCCTTAAGGCCTCAGGTTCCCAGTGGCGAGTGGAGTGTGTCGCTTCCCGTCAAAGTCCTCCCTTTCAACAGTCTCCTAGTAAGTCCCACATACGGTTCCCTATCTCGTTGGAAAACTCTGTTTTACAAAGAGAGAGCCTCAGAGTTTGAGTAGCTGAGTTCCTCCCTGCAGCTGCTGCCAGGAAATTAATTAGAAAAGCTCCGAATCACCGAGAGCGAGGAGTAAAGCCGCAGAGACAGAAACTCACCTGGACGCTGAATTTGCTCCTGCCCCTTTCCAGGTTCCGGGGACTGGGCCCGAGATCACTCGGTGAAGACTGGGCGAATTACAGAGAGATGCCTGCGGGCAAAACAGGAAGTCTGTGCGTTGACACACTCAGTAAGGGGCCAGGCTTCCCGGGAAAGGAAAGTGAAAGTGTTCCTGCCAGCGAGCAAGCCAGCAGCGAGCCCAGCTGAGACCACCGGGCAGGAAGCTAAAGGTAGGGCAGTGCCTCCAGCACCCCCACCCCCACCACCCCACCCCACCTCTGAGGCTCCAGGGCTCCGCTGGGAGTTGCCAACCACGGTCAGCCTGGAGAGGGGGCCGAGGAAGGAGACATATGGGTCCAGCCCCAGGGGCTGTGGGAACTGGGAAATCCACCTCTATTTCTCCATGACTTGTGCTCATTCTGTAGTTTTCGGGGTGATGAACACGTTCTCAAATTGGATCGTGGTGATGTCACACAACTAAATTAACTCGCTAGAAAAATCATCACACTTTAAAACACAAACGAAAAGCCAAAGGGGACATGTCAGAAATAAATATCTAGCATTTGTCAGGATAAGATTATTACATGAGAAAATTGAAATAAAAGGAAGCCCCCACACGAGCTGAAATCAGGCAGAGGTGGGCAGACATCCGGGCAGGAAGGGGGCAGAGAGCTGAGGGGACAGATAAGTGGCAGCCAGGAGCCTGTGGAAGCCGGGACGGAGGCAGAGCCAGGGCCAGAGCAGCTCTCACGGGCAGGCAGGAACACCTGCTTCTTCAGGCCCCTTTTAAAGATCTCTGATGTACATTGGCATGCAGGGTCTATGAGGAATACTAAACTGTAGAGATCTGTTTACGATTAAAGATTAAATCAATAATTCTCAAATGTGCTTATCCCCTGAGTTCTCCTCTCCAGGCCACCCCCAAACTCCTCAGGAAAAAGATGGGAAACATAGTTCTAAGGCTTAAGAAGGCTTGAAACCAAGGTTAACTTGCCTTGTATGCTTCCCATGGAGCTGCAAACAGCAATCCCTCCCAAGTATGTACAGAGCCACAGATCTGAATCCGTAGCTCACAACCATGGGATAACAGACAAGGAGAAAATGTGATGCTAGCAGCTGAGGAGGGCGTGCATCGATGCCTTAGCACCTGTAACATGCATACTATAAGATGCAAGGGATAGCGGTGCTGAGGGATTATACGACTCTTTCATGCAAATGTCACACTTCATGTACCTGAAGCCCCTCCACATCACCTGGCAAACCTCTTCATGAGCATCCCAGAAGCCTGGCAGCAATAACGTCTTCCTTTAGAGCTGTTTAAAGATATACCAGGGAAATGCAATCAATCAATAAATAAAAATAAAAAAAACCAGGAATGGGAAAATAATGTCAATGTTAGATCAGGCAAAAATCATTACATGAAAAAAGATGTGAATAAGGATGAAAGATGTTTATTCTAAGCAATACATGCTCAAGAATGCAGTAATAATGGAAAAACCTGACCATTAATACACATGCATTAATGCTATATGTAATGAGAGTACTAAAATTATGTCTAATTCTTTTTTAGATCAATTTTATTGAGGTATAAAATGCATTTATCTTAAGTGTACATGTTGGTGAATTTTACCAACTGGAATCCTACCCCAATCAAGATAAAGACAATTTTCATCACCCTAGAAAGTTCCCTGTGCCCTTGGCAGATAATCTCCCCCCTGCAACCCAGGCACCAGACAGCCACTGCTCTGCTTTCTATTACTACAGATTAGTTTGCCTATATTAAAAGTTTTCTATGAATGGAAATACAGGGTATGCACTTTTTGATGTATTTTTTTTTTTTTTTTTACTGATCATAATGCTTTTGAGATTCAGCCCTGTTGTTTCGGGCCAGTAATTCATTCCTCTTAGCAGATGTGCTGGCCACCTCTTGCTCACTCTGTCTGAACAGTGTGATGTCACCAGCATAATCAGTCAGTGTGATCAATCAGTGTGATCGATCAGTGTGACGTTCTATGTGCTGTCTGGGTGATCCAGATCTCTTTGAACTATATTATGACAAAGGGAAGGTGAGTGAATATAACCCTGAGACAAAGCTGTAAATATTGATAATATTTTTACCTGTCAAGTGAGAATGCGAACTGTTTCTGGTCCCCCTTTCTAATCAGGATGGAAAGAACACGCTTGCCAAATCCCTGGCCAGACACCATGTACTTAGGCGGAGGGTATGACCGGGGCTGAAGATCTACTGCCCGGGCTGCCTATTTTCTTAGCCTAGTCTTTCAGTTTTCCTGTAAATTCCACGAGTTACCTGGTATACTTCTAGGAAATTGACTTTCTTCCTGAGTTATTTGGAGCTGGTTTTGGTTACTTGGTACCTCCAAATCCTGACTGATAAAAAATTGGGTACCAGAGACTGAATTGTAGGCAGCAGATCTTCAAGAAAATGTAATTAATCTGGGATCCGTTATCTGACATAACTGGACATAAAGTACTAAACATCCCATAGGGTTCAAAGAATTTGGTAGACTTTGTCAAGCAAGGGAAAGTTGGAACATTACATTATAATGCTGGATTGTGATCAAGACTATATACAATTCACTCTCCAATTCCAGGCGTCAGATCCTAGCACACTTAGCAAAAGGCAGAGAAATCTTTCAGGTAGAATAAAAGCATCTACTTGCCTTTGGAAATTGTCACCTATTTGGCCTAAATCTGGCTGAGAGAACAGAGTAAGGAGGCAGGCTGGAGCCTTCTGGGCCCCCCTGGTCATATGGCAGTAAAGGAAGACATTAGGGACCAGGGATGGTCTGAGGGTCCTACATAGTCTTGGCTCGGGCATCCCTTATCCAGGAGAGACTCTGCAGTGAACATAGGGAAAAACAAAGCCATGATAAATAGGAGCTGAAATTACAGGCTCTTGTTATCTGGGCTGACGCATGATGTTGCCAAGTAGATCTTTCTAGTAAACTTGGCAGGAACACCTGAGTCCCAATCTTACTACCAGGCAGCTGAGGAACACCAAAGACCTTGTGCTTATAAACAAAAGAAGCTGGAACATATTAAGAAGTGCCCAGCACAGTAGTGGCCTGGGTCTGCCTGTTGCTTAGAGGCAGAGAAAGGAGAGAGAGGGGACGCCAGAGCAGGTTGGTGTGATCTGTGCCAGGCCTTCTTGGGCCATGCCCCATGGAGGCCAGGAGCAGAGGACAGCTGTGCCTAACAGAAGTTCAGCTTATTGGCCCCTCTGTCCCAGAAAGAGAGACGGAGGGAAGGGAGGGAGGCAGGGAGGGAGGGGGAGGGCAGGGGGAGAGAGGGAAAGAGAGAGAGAGAGAGAGAGAGAGAGAGAGACCATGTATGTATATGCCGTGGTAGGCACAGTGACCCTGCCCTCTGGAAAAGATGTCCTCATCAGTGTCCTGGAGTCTGTCCCAACCAGATTGGTGAGCACCACTTTGTCCCGGCCTCCGGACCCTCAGCACTGCTCTGCTGCTGGCCCTGGGTTCTACCAATATCCGACTCCGATTCACTGTCTGTCTGTCTTCGACCCATTGTTCTGCCTGGATTTCCAGTCCTATTCTATTTGCTCTTGGCTCTCATTTCTTTATCTTTCTACTTTATGCTGATAGAGCATGGTTTTTATTTTTATTATTATTTTTTTGAGACAGGGTCTCGCTCTGTTGCCTTGGCTAGAGTGCCGTGGCATCAGCCTAGCTCACAGCAACCTCAAACTCCTGGGCTCAAGCAATCCTTCTGCCTCAGCCTCCCGAGTAGCTGGGACTACAGGCATGTGCCACCATGCCCAGCTAATTGTTTCTATATATTTTTAGTAGTCCAGCTAATTTCTTTCTATTTTTAGTAGAGACAGGGTCTCGCTCTTGCTCAGGCTGGTCTGGAACCCCTGACCTTGAGTGATCTACCTGCCTCGGCCTACCAGAATGCTAGGATTACAGGAGTGAGCCACTGCACCCAACCAATAGAGCATGTTTTTATAAATTGTTCTAAATCGTTTACAGAATGAGGGCTGGGTGCAAGTGAACAACTTGCATACAAACATAAATGTAATGCACATAACTCCCCGCATCCCTCTGTCCTTCACGATCTAGATAATCTCAGCTCCAAACCCTTTATCCATCCAGTGAGAAGCCTGTCACTCTTCTCAAGATTTCAGAAAAATGATTGACGCTGTTTGTCCCCAGTCACCCCTGGCTGCAGTTGTAAACTACCCACATATTCAAGGAAACTTAGAATTGTGCCTCACTTGGGCTTCTGTGCCAAATTCTCTACACTTTGCCTTTGATTGGAGGAGTTGGGGGGAGACGAATATCTCACCTTTGGCTGCTTTCTGGAAATGCTAAGAAAATCCTCACATTTTATAATGCCAGGCATTTTGGCTCTCGCCAGCTCTGTGTCTGAACACTAGGCCCGCCCTGTCCGGCACAGGCTCACCGAGGGACCTGGCCGGACTCGGAGCCTGAGAGAAGATTCAAAGTGTCCAGCTCTCCCTTGCCCCCCACAGCCACCTCCGCAAGAGGAAGGGACAAACGTGGAGTCACTTCCTCCCCGTATAGACGATGCCACCTCACCTCAAAACAGTTTCCATCCCTTTTAGTCGAATGGACTTCTCCACCCTCTTCCCTAGGCATGAGTAAGCATCCCGGGTCTTCTGTGGACTCACGGGGCTGTCCTCGCTCCTCCTCCCTGGGCTTAGAGATGTCGTAAGATTGGGCGGAGGGAGGACACATGCGTCATGCATCCAAGTCAGGCCGTTGAGGCACTTCCGGTTTTCTTTCCCCTTTGACCATGTCGAAGGATGGGCTGGTGGGCAGGCCGTCTGTAGAGCTGCGGGAAGGCACAGAAGCAGTGCAGGTCACTCCGGGCTCCCCTGGGGCCAGCAGGGGCAGATGGCAGGTGGAGGCTGCGATCTCAGCTCCAGGTAGGTCAGTCATTGTCTCTGCTCCCGTCCATCTCTGTAAGGTCCACTTTTCCGTGTGTTTCTCCTGTCTACCCAGCCTCACTCCATTGGTGCACAGTAGAAGCAGATTATAAAAAATTAATAATGAGGAAAAATCAGATTTTTTAAATTGCAGGAGAAGCGAGTTAGCTGTTGGGGAAACTTAAGGCCACCCTTTGCATCCTCTTCATAATTCCCTGCGCCTGCTGCCTGGCTGGGCTGGCGCTGCTTGAACCCGGTGGCCGGTCCGAGGCTTTGCTGCAGGGCGGGGTGATTCCTCGTGACCTCTGAACCCTCTTATCTCCCCCAGGCCTCCTTTATCCCCACTCCAAAAGATGCTTCTGTCCAAAAAAGGATCTGTTTAGAAAAACTAAAGTCTCAATCAGATGTCTGTTTATTGTCGCACTTTCCCAGTCTGTGTTGTTCTGTTCTGAGCTCACTTGTGTGGCCCCGAGCCCGGCAGTCAGTTCAGGATCTCTGGATACTTGCTAGGAGGAAGCGAAAGCAGATGAGACCCAACTACACATGCAAACAGATGGGGAGTGCGTGTTGTTTTGTGTTTTTCTATTTTGGGGTGTGTTACACGTCTGGTTAGGGAAGGGTGGAAAGTACCTTTGAAAAATGCAAGACAAATACACAGATTCAGTGAGCCCTCCCTCGCTGCAGGTTCCACATCTGTGGATTCAACCAACCGAGGGTCAAAAATATTTAAAAATAAAGAAATAAAAGTAACAATACCACAATGAAAATAATATAGAATTTAAAAATACAGCGTAACAACTAATTGTATAGCATTTACACTGCATTGTGTGTTGTTAGTAATCTAGAGATGATTTAAAGCATATGGGAAGAGGTACACAGATTACATGCAAATACTATATACCATTTTATACCAGAGACTGAGCATCCTCGGATTTTGGTATCCATGGGGGGCGGGGGGGCTGGGGGGGGCGTGGTCCTACAACCAATCCTCCCAGGATACCAAGGGATGACTGTACATTCTTCTTGATAAAAATTAAAGCAATGCATAAGTGTGTGGAAACACTCATCTAACTGGGACTCTGAGCCAAGCCTACTTTTGGGGCTGGTGCAAGCCCAAGAAAGTGTAGGCTTTTGCTGCCAGCAGCAGCAGTGGTGGCACCAGGCTGGTCTTCAGTCCCCAGCGCCATCGTTCCGGCTGCGTGTCTCGGCCATCGCACCTCCTCCGTGTGCTCTGTAGGGAAGGGAAGATGAGCTAGTGGAGCTCCGAGTCCAGCCAGCCCATGGCCTCCAAGCAGGAAAGGATGGCAGTGAGAGGTGAGGGGCACAGGGTAACGCTGACCTTGGAGAATGGGCTGGGAAGTGTTGCCTCTGCTTTTATTTTCTGGAAGAGATTGTGGAGAATGGTATTTTTTTCTCCCTTAAATATTTGGTAGAATTCATTAGTGATATCACCTGGGCCCGGTGCTTTCTTTTTTTCGTAGGGCTATTGATTATTGATTTGAATTTTTTAAAATAGCTATAGGCTGTTCGGATGATCTGTCTCCCCTTGTGTGAGTTTTGGTAGTTTGTGTCTTTTAAGGAATTTATCCATTTCATCTGTTATCAAATTTTTAGGCATAGAGTTGCCCATAGTATTCCTTTGTTATGATTTTGATGTTTGTGGAATTCATGGGGATCACCCTTCTTTCATTCTGATATTAGTAATTTCTATCTTTTTTTTTTCTTTGTTAGTCTGGCTAGAGGTTTATTGATTTTATGGATCCCATCAAAGAATCAGCTTTTGTTTTTTTTTTAGAATCAGCTTTTGGTTTCATAGAATTTCTCTAATGTTTTCCTATTTAAATTTTATTAATTTCTGCTTTAATTTCTATTATTTCTTTTCTTCTCCTTGCCTTAGGCTTAATTTACTCCTTTTTTACTCCTTTTTTCCTAGCTACTCAGGAGGCTGAGGCAGGAGGATCGCTTGAGCCCAGGAGTTTGAGGTTGCTGTGAGCTAGGCCGATGCCACAGCATTCTAGCCCGGGCAACAGAGTGAGACTCTGTCTCAAAAAAAAAATTTTTTTTTAAATTTCCTTTTTCTTTGATCCTAGACCTATGTTGTTTAATCTCCAAATATTTGGGTATTTTCCAGCTATTTTTCTGTTATTGATTTCTAGTTTGTGGTCCAAGAACATACTTTTTATGATTTTTACCCTTCTAAATTTGTTAAGGTGTGTTTCATGGCCCCAAATGTGGTATATCTTGGTAAATATTCCATATGAACTGAGGAATACATGTATTCTGCTGGGGTTGAATAGCGTATTATAAAAATCTCAGATCAAGTTGATTGCTATGCCTGTTTAGATCAAGCATGTCCTTACTGATTTTCTGCCTGCTTGATCTATCAATTACTAAAAGAGAAGTATTGAAGTCTCCACCAATAATAGTGTATTTTTCTATTTCTCCTTGTAGTTCTATCAGCTTTTGCCTCATATATTTTGATGTTGGTTTGTTAGTTGCATGCACGTTAAGGATTTTGTGTCCCTTTGGAGAATTGATCCCTTTGTCATTGTATTAAGCCCCTGTTTATTCTTGACAAATTTCCTTGTTCTGAAGTCTGCTTTGTCTGACATTGCTGTAGCTACTACAGCTTTCCTTTGATTAGTGTTCACATGGTACATCTTTTTCCATACCTTTATGAATAACCTATCTGTGTTTTTATTTTTAAAGCAACTTTCTTATAGACAACATAAAGTTGGGTATTTTATTTTTTATGTACTCTGTAGATCTGTCTTTTAATTGGTGTTTTTAGACCATTTACATTTAAAGTGATTATTAATATAATTAGATTAATATCTACCATGTTTGTAAATGTTTTTATTGAACTTGTTTCTATTTTTTCCTTTTTTTCTGTCTTTTATGGCTTAATTGAGCATTTAATAATTCTATTTTCTCTTCTTTCTTAGTGTATCAATTGTACTTCTTTTAAAACATTTTTAGTGGTTTTCCTGAAGTTTGCAATATATATTTATAGTTTATCATGAACATTTTAAATTACATTGTAACACTTCATGGGCATTGGATACATCTTATAACTGAATGTCACAAATTCTGTCCTTTTTTTTTTTTGTGAGACACAGTCTCACTCTGTTGCCCTGGCTAGAGTGCCGTGGCGTCAGCCTAGCTCACAGCAACCTCAAACTCCTGGGCTCAGGCGATCCTTCTGCCTCAGCCTCCCAAGTAGCTGGGATTGCAGGCATGTGCCACCATGTCCAGCTAATTTTTTCTATATATTTTTAGTTGGCCAATTAATTTCTTTCTATTTTTAGTAGAGACGGGGATCTTGCTCTTGCTCAGGCTGGTTTCAAACTCCTGACCTTGAGCGATCCTTCCTGCCTCGGCCTCCCAGAGTGCTAGGATTATAGGCGTGAGCCACTGCGCCTGGCCCCCTTCTGTCCTTTTTAACAGTGCTGCCAGTTATTTCACTTATCCACATGTTGTAATCACTCAATACATTGTTGATATTATTACTTTGAACAAACAGCTATCTCTTAGGTCAAGTTAAAATAGGAAAAATAAAATTTTATTGTATCTGCATGTATTTCTTCTCTGATGCTCTTTCTTTCTTTATGTAGATCTGAGTTTCTGACCTGTGTCATTTTCTTTCTGCATGAAAAATGTCTTTGAAAATTTCTTGCAGGGTAGATTTTCTGGCAGATAACCAAAAGCCAACAAACTTGTCAGAATGTAGGCTTAGCTTATGAACTAGTGAATATTTTTCTCTGACTCTTTGAATATTAGGAAATTAGAGATTTCTGCCTTTTATGGACTTAAAAGCCATTAATCCAGAGTTTGACTTAAGTTAAAGAGAGCCATTTTCAGCCGGGTGCGGTGGCTCACGCCTGTATAATTTCATTCCTCAGTGTTTCATAGTTCTCCTTGTAGAGATCTTTCACCTCATTGCTTAAGTATCTTCCTAAGTATTTTACTTTCTTTGTAGCTATTGTGAATGGCATTGAGTCCTTGATTTGACTCTCAGCTTGACTGTTATTGGTATATAGAAATGCTACTGATTTATGTGCATGATTTTGTATCCTAAGACTTTGCTGACTTTAGTTATCAATTCCAGGAGTCTCTTGATGGAATCCTTGTGGTTTTCTATATACAATATCATATTGTAGGCAAAAAGTGATAGTTTGACCTACTTTCTCTTTTAATACCCTTTATTTCTTTCTCTTGCCTGATTTTTCTGGCTAGGACTTCCAGCATTATGTTGAATAGGAGTGCTGACAGTGGACACATTTGTTTTGTTCCAGTTCTTGAGGGAAATGTTTTCAACTTTTCCCCATTCAGCATGATGTTGGCTGTGGGTTTGTAATATATGGCTTTTATAATTTTGAGTTATGTTCCTTCTATGTCTAGTTTGTTGAGGGTTTTTGTCATTAAACAGCGCTGGATTTTGTCAAATGCTTTTTCTGAATCTGTTGAGATGATCAAATGGTCTTTGTTTTGCTTCTGTTTATGTGGTGAATTACATTTATTGATTTGCTTATGTTGAACCATATTTGCATCTGTGGGATGAAGCCCACCTGATCATGGTGGATTATTTTTTTGATGTACTGTTGAATTTGGTTTGCTAGTATGATATTGAGGGTTTTTGCATCTATGTGCATAAGGGATATTGTTCTGTAGTTTTCTTTTTTTGTTGTGTCCTTTCTTGGCTTTGGTGTCAAGGTGATACTGGCTTCATAGAATGAGTTGGGGAGAATTCATTCCTCAATATTAGGGAATAATTTATGTAGTGTGGGTACCAACTCTTCTTTTCAGGTCTGGTATAATTTGGCTGTGAATCCATTTGGTCCAGGGCTTTTTTGTTGTTTTGGGGAAGTTTTCTATTACTGCTTTGATCTCATTGCTTGTTATTGGTCTGTTCAAGAGTTTTGTTTCTTCCTGTTTGAGTCTTGGAAGGTTGTGTGTTTTCAGGAATTTGTCCATTTCCTCTATGTTTTCTAGTTTATATACATAAAGATTTTTGTAGTATTAATGGATGATGTTTTGTATTTCTGTGGTATCAGTTGTAATGACTACTTTTTCATTTCTGTTTGAGCTTATTTTGGTCCTTTCTCTTCTGTTCCTGGTTAATATAGCAAGAAGTCTGTCGATTTTGTTTATCTCTTCAAAAAACCAACTTTTTATTTCATTGATTCTTTGTATTATTTGTTTGTTTTCCATTTCATTTAGTTCTGCTCTGACCTTTGTTATTTCTTTTCTTCTGCTGGATTGTACTTGGTTTGCTCTCCCTTTTCTAGTTCTTTGAAATGTGACAGTGTTGTTAATTTGTAATCTTTCTGTTTTTTTGACGTAGGTATTTAAGGCCATGAATTTTCTCCTGAGGAATGCTTTTGCTGAATCTCATAGATTTTGATAGCTTGTGTCACCTTTGTTGTTCAGTTCAAAGAATGTTTTGCTTTCCATCTTAATTTAATTCTTGATCCAATAACCATTCAGAAGCAGATTATTTAATTTTCATGACTTTGTGTAGGTTTGAGTTTTTATCTTGTGAGTTTTTCTCTAGTTTTATTCCACTGTGGTCTGAGAAGGTACTTGGTATGATTTTAATTTTTTTAATTTGGTGAGACCTGTTTTATGTCCTAAGATATGATCAGGCTTGGAGAATGTCCCTGGTGCTGATGAGAAGACAATATATTCAGTAGTTTTGGGGTAGATATTCTGTAAATGCCTGTTAGGTTCTTTTTATTTAGAGTCCAGTTTAAGTCCATTGTTTATTTGTTTATTTTCTGCTTTGATGATTTTTCAAGCTCTGACAGTAGCGTGTTGAAGTCCCCCACGGTTATGATGGTGCTGTTTATTTCCGTGTTTAGCTAGCATAAAATTTGCTTTATGTATTTGGGAGCTCCTTTGTTGAGTACATATATATTTAGGATTGTTATGTCTTCTTGTTCAATTGCTCCCTTTACCATTATATAATGACCCTCTTTGTCTTTGCTTACCGTTATTGGCAGGTCTGGTCATGACAAATTCCCTCAGTGTTGGCTTGTCTGGAAAAGACTTAATTTATCCGTCAGTTGTGAAACTTAATTTTGCAGGATATAAAATTATAGTCTTTAGCTGATATAAGAATGGCTACACCTGCTCTCCTTTTATTTTCATCTTTGTGGATTTTTTTCTACATACTTTCATGTTGAGTCTGTGTGTATCCCTGTGGTTTAGCTGTGTTTCCTGGAGATAGAAGATACTTGGGTTTTTCTTAATCCATTCAGCCAGCCTCTGTCTTTTGAGAGGATTATTTAGACCATTTACATTAAGTCATAGAATTCATACATGGGATTTTTTCTGTTCTTTATGTTGGGCAGTGCCTTATTGCTTTGTTTTCCCTCTTATGGTATTGTTTTATAAGAGTTGTGAGTTTTAGGGGTTTTTTGAGGTTGACTTTACACCAGTGGGTATATGTTGTGCTGATTCATGTATTATATAATGTTGTTCTGAGTACTTCCTATAGTTTAGGCCTGGTTATGGCAAATTCTCTCAGTGTTTGCTTGTTTGGAAATGATTTAGTTTCTCCATCAATTATGAAATTTAGCTTTGCAGGATTTAAAATTCTAGGCTGGCAGCTATTCTTTTAAAGAAGATTGAAGATGGGACCCAAACCCTTCTGGCTTCTAAGGTTTCCACTGAGAAGACTGCAGTTAGCCTGATGGGTTTTCCTTTGTAGATTATTTGCTGTGTTTGTCTTGCTGCTTGCAGAATTCTCTACTTCATTTTAACTTTGGTCAGGTTGATGTCTACGTTTCTTGAAGATGTCCTATTTGCTATGAATCTTTCTAGTGTTCAATGACCAGCTTGTATCTGGATGTCTGAATCTCTGATGATATTCGGGAATTTTTCCTGAATATTCACTCAAATAGGTTTCCCATGCTTTTAGTTCTTTCTTCTACTCTCTCAGAGATACCTATAATTCGAATGTTAGTTCATGTCAATAGTCCCATATCTCTTTTTGTGATTGCTCAGACTTATTTTTATAATCTTTTGTTCCTCTTTGAATACTGGATTATCTCAAGAGCCTTGTCACCAAGCTCTGAGATTCTTCCTTCTCCTTGGTTTATTCTATTGTTGAAGCTTTCTGCTGTGTTTTGAAATTCTCTAAATGACTCTTTCATTTCTTTAAGTTCTGTTTTATTCTTATGTTGTCTAGCTCTTTAGCAACTTTTTCATTGATTTCCTGAAATATTTTTTGGTTACTTTTTGTTGGTTTTCAACCTTCTCTTCAATTCTATTCACCTTATTTGTCACCCATATTCTGAATTCCATTTCTGTCATTTCAGAAATTTGCTTGTGGGAGAGTTCACTATTGTAGCTCTGTTGTGTTCTCTTGGAGGAACATGATGTTTTTTCATTTTGCCAGGGCTTTTTTGCTGGTGTCTTCTCATCTGGCTCCTATTCAGTTGGCTCTGGGTTAGTAGGATTGGAGGGCACTTGTGTTCCTTTGCTGGAAATTCCCCTGTTTAGTTAGGGAGGACTGATTTATGGAGGACTCTAGATTGAGCTTTTGTCAGCCACTCTCTGGTTGACTCATCAGGGGAGGGGTGGGTACAGTGAGGGCTTATAAAATAACTCTTCTATTTTAATCCATTCCCCTGTGATAGCCACAGTTTGAGACTGTGCTGGATTATCTTTTTGTGGGGTGGAAGAACATCCCCCAGCTTGTTGTTGGAAGTTTGAGTTGAGGGCTGCTTATAATCCTCTCCACGGTGGCTCATGAGGGTGGAAAGTCTTCCAAGCAACTAAGTAGCCTGCTGATTACCAAAGGTGTGTGGAATAAAGAAAAAAAACCCCCACCTACTGCTCTGAGCTTCTCTAGGGTTGATCTTTGCTCATATATATTTTTTCCTCTTCCTGTTCTGCTTTGCAATTTCTTTCTATGAAGTCCCTGGCAGGCTCCAGCACTTCTTCCTCTGAAGTACACTTGAGCTATGCCCATGTTCCCTCTTCCTTTATCTGAAAAGCCTTTCTTCCTTCCAAGACAATTTGTCAAGCAGTGTCTCTAGTCAGCCATCTTGCCTATTTGCATAACTCTTTCAGACATTCAGGGTTTCAGATTTACTTTTTATTTTTCCCTTTAGGGTTTTCCCTCCTTATGTTCTGGGAAATTCTCTCCTTTTAATTTTATAACCCTTTTAATTAACTTTTTTTAAAAATTTCAGCAATCATTTTAAATTTTCAGCCTGTTTGTCTTATTTTCTGGTTGTTTCTTTTCTGCATGGCATTTTGGGCACCATATGTTTTCCTGTCTGTATGATAGTATTTATTTCTTTAGAAATTCTCTTCAGTTTCCCACAACATCTCTATTTCTGCTGGGGTAATTTTTTGCCCCTTACTCATCTTGATTCCACTCCTTCATGTTGTAGGTTTCCACAAATGTCCGTGGTCTGTTGTATTTTGTTTATATTTATGGGTGAGGGGCTGACAAGCTAACTTGGAACTCCATTTAATGAGATGGGCTTGCAAACTATGGGCTTTGATAGGGGAATTTCAGATGCCTGAAGGTGAAGGCCTTTTTTCTGAATCATTTACATTTTTCTTAAGAAACCTCCAGTTCTCCTACTTGAATGTAGGTGTTCTGTGTTGGAGAGCAGATTGTTTTGTATTTTGCCTTTCAAACAATTCCTCAGTTTTTATCATTATATCTCTGTCCTAACCGCCACTACCTCTCTAGGAGTCTGCCAGACACACTGGATCCTTTTCTGACCTCTGGAAGGATCCTCCACCTGCAAAAGAAATGGGTGCTCCTCTGACCACTTTTTCTCCTTTAGACTTTGGTTTCAATTTGTCACCGAATTCCTTTCTCTTTGTCATTATAATGTTAATTCCTTTACTTTCATTGGGGACACTCTAGTGAGAGAGGAGAAAAATACTGATCTTCAACCAACCGTCTTTAACCAGAAGTCTTTTTATTTTTAAAAGGAATTCAATGGAGAAATGGTATTTTAGTTTATTCTAATGAATGTTTGGGGAAGGGGAATGTCTAAATGACCCTATTATAGTGGGATAAAAATATTCTGTATGTCAGAGAAATTTGTTAAGGCCGTATTAGCACAGGGAATAATTTATCAAGTAAGAATCAGAATTACAAACCTTTGTGAAGTTTAAAATTACTTTTCCCAGGCATGGCCTCAAGGTCTGAAATCCAGACGTCTTAGAGGTCTCCATATGTCACCTCCACAGGCAAGTTTAGACACAGAGCAACGTGTCCTGGTTTTGAATATTCTCATAAGTCTCCATATTGGATCAGAGAAAAAGAATGACATTCTTTTGACTTATTAATTCAAACCTTGCCATATAAGAGTCTTGAACCAATTTTATGATGCAGAATGCCATTCTTTCCTCTGCAGTTACAGATGGGTGAGGTATATCTCCATTGCATCTTCCTGAAATTTCTTCTCTTTCTGTTAACTAAGAAGACTTGCCGTTTGGTGTTAAGTTTTGTAATATATCAGTCAGTTTTTTTTTTTCTTTCTCTGTAAGTTAAAAAATTTTTATTAGAGTTATTTGGAGAAACAGAACCAATAGGATGTGTATAAACATGTGAAAATAGATTTGTCATAAGGAATTGGCTCATGCAGTTATGGAGGCTGGCAAGTCCACCATTTGATTTTTCACTAAATAAATAAATTCCATTTATTCTAGTATTCTCACAAGGATGGGTAACTTATTTTACCCATGTTGGCTCTTCATTGATCATCATCCGTGTCTCAAATCTTCTGGTCACCACACACCTCTTGGAAACTCAGTATCTATTTCCATGTTGTATCTTTATTTCTTAGGATGGACAAACACAGCCAGAGCATAGAAGACAGCCTGGAGGAGCAGATTTGCCCTGAGCTCATCTTCAGGCACTTCAAAGAAAATAAGGTGGAGATTGCAAGTGCAATAACAAAGCCATTCCCTTTCCTTATGAGTCTCCGAGATCGCTCCTTCATCTCTGAGCAGATGTTTGAAGTAAGTGGGATTTCCTCACGATGGCAAAGCAGGCCCACACTCTCTTATGCAAAACTTTAGGATGCAACTGTTAATGGGAAAAGTCAAACTCCATAAAATAATTTAAAGAGGTTTATTCTGAGCCAAATATGAGGGACTGTGGCCTGGGGAAGCACAGTCTTAAAGATCCTGAGAAAATGGTCCTGGGGTGTTCAGGTTATAGATTGGTTGTATACATTTTAGGGAGACAGGAATTTCAGATAAGATCATAAATCAATACATGGAAGGTGCACATTGGTTTGGTCCCAAAGGTAGGACACCTTGAAGAAGGTAGTGTACACCTTATAGGTGGATTCAGAGATTCTTTAATTTGTAATTAGTTAAAGGAATAAAGTTGTGTCTGAAAGTTTGGAGTCAGTAGAAAGGAGTGTTTTAAGTTAAGATAAGGAAGTCTGCTAATCATAGAGCTAACCACAATATATTAAAGGTGATCTGTTAAGCAAATTGGTGGGTTGCAGGTATGACTTAACCTTTGCTTCATGTGGCCTTAGGTCCTGTTCATAATTTGGTATCTTATTGGCATAAAGAGTCTATTCTGTCAGTCTTATGGTCTCTGTTTTAACATTGTTGTTGTGTCTGAACTCAGTTGTTGTGTCTGAACTCCAAAAGGGACGGGTATAAGGAGGTGTGTCTGACTTCCCTCCCAGCATGGTGGGAACCCAGTTTTAAGGTTTTTCAGGCTTTCCTTTGGCCAAGAGGAGGTCTGTTCAGTCAGTGGGGAGGGGGGAGGGCTTAGGATTTTATTTTTAGTTTACTTAGTGGACAGGCTGAAGGGCCTCGGGACCTTCACCATCCTGTAAGTTAGGAGGCAACAGGAGAAGCAGGCATCATGGAAAACATTCCTTCCCCTGTAGGACATGCTGGGAGGGGGGCACAGCGATGGAGCTGTGGCAGGACAGGGAATGGGAATGCTGCACAGGCATAGAGCATCTTGGGCACATTTGTACAATATACTAATGGAAGCTAAAATCAAAATAAATAAGTGAGCCAGGCACTGATCCATTACAAAGGCCACTTATTTGCAACACTGAGATTTTTGAAGTTGTGTCACTGTAGGATAAATTTTGAAGGAGATGCTTGCTACTCCCTCATCAAATCATGTCTTGCTCTTTGGACATTTCTGGAACCCTAGAATGCAAGTAAATGTCAGCAGTGGACCCCCCTTAGGGATACTGAGGATGAGCCTTCTCCTTAGCTTTGTGAATTTTCTTTGCCCTTTGGCTAGGTTCACAGCAGGGAGGTTGGTTGCCTGGTTTTCTGGAGCCCATCAGGCGGGACAAGTCCCGACAGAGGTTATTGTCCATACAATGGAACAGCCTCTCATGACCTGTTGGGGCCACTCCTGAAACACCCTGGCCAGTAACTCGGAGCCCCAAACAACATTCAACCTCGAACCCATATTTATTATTTAAAATTATTGTCTCCTCTCTAGTGTACAGCAACATCAGAAGGTCAGGTTCACATAATTAGAGTCTCTTTTTGTGGTGGAGGACATTTAAAAAGTCATCCAAATATAAGTGAAATTCTAATATTTCACAAGAAAACAAATGTTCTAAGAGTGTTTTATAACCCATAAATCCGTAGCTACATAATTCTTCATTCAATATTTTTAAGAATTTTCAAGAAGCTTGTAGAAACCTGGTCCCAGTGGCAAGAGTGATGTATGATGTCCTCAGTGAACTGGAGAAGACCTTTGACCTGTCACTTCTGGAAGCATTGTTCAGCAACGTTCACCTGAAGACCTACCCTGATTTAAATGAGGTTTTCAGAAGCTTCCAAAAAGGTAACTATAGCTCTCAACAGCTTTTGGGGATTCAAGTCCATTTCATTCACTGATTAATCCATTTGCTCTTCATTAATATTTGGCAAATATTTTACTGAGTGACTACTTCATACCAGGCACAGGGGAAGTAAGGAATGATAAGTAAATGGTGATATGATAAGTAAGAATGTGAAGAAAGTAAGAATGGTGAAGAAGACACGTGTGACCTGTGTCCTTATGGAGCTTATATATACTGGGCCCCTAAACTCCATTCTGGGCTACAGAGTGAGGACCTTGTCTCTGAAAAAATAAAAATAAAATCCTTACTATGATATAGTGGGAGTGAGTAACGTAAACCAAGTAATCCCACAATGGTTACTCGGCCAGGCCCTGATTTAGGTGCTGCAAAATGCAGGATTGAAGTCTGTACTTTTTTGGGGAAAGGCATGAATTGTGCCCTTTTTTAGGGAATGAGGATGCCCACTCTGATACTTACAGACATGTTCATAGATAAGAAGATTTTCTTTGTATTAGAAAATTTACTGTTCAGTGCAGTCCTGTGTCAACTCGCTTCTCCAAATGAAGAGTGGAGAAGTCAGGAGGACAGCCTTGCACAGACCCGCACCCGACCTTCTGCTCATTTTAAAGGAAGATTAAACAGTATTTACAACTTTCCACTGTCCATCCTTACTTAAATCTTGGGAGGTGCATCTCTGCATGGAATGGCTGCCCCATTCCAGGAGTAACATCGAGTTGGAAGCTATTTGGGACCCACTGAAGCACAGGGTGTCCCGAGGGCTGGACAGTTCCACTGAGCCACTGGAGTAAAGATGCACCTGGACGTACAATTGTGAGATGCAGCCCATGGTCACGGTTGGGGATCTCTAATTGTCCCTTTTCCCTCTCTTCTCAGTGATTGGTGACTTCTATTACCAAATCCATGAAGAAGAGATGCAGGAGGTGCTCAGTATCGAGTCACGCCAGGAAGGAAGTAATTATGCTTTGTTAAAAACTTGTTTTCTCATCTTCTAAGAGGAAAAGAGATTTGCAATCAGAGGACCAAACTCCTGAGTGGTGACTGTGACCATGGGGAAGGGAGGCAGGAGGTGACGGAGAAAGGCAGAGCGGTGGTGGTTTGAGAGTGTTCTTAACTAACCAACCAGACTTGGAATCCAAGAGTGTTGCCAGGCAGGTGTGACAATCAAGGAGATGGGTGACACCCAGGAAAGAACACTTCAGTACCACTGTGAGCCAGAGTTAAGGGGTGAACTGACCGCAGTAACTGTGAGTCAGGTACTCAGTGGATCTGGGAGGGGGTCAGGGTTATGGTCCCACATGACAGTTCCAAAGAGGAAATCTTTGGCGTGTCAAAAGAAGGGGCTGTTATAAATGTTACTCATGATAACAGAAACGGGAGAAATAGAGTGAGTAATAATTACATGCAGAAGAAAACGTGGAAGGAGTACCGCTGTGTGGAAAAGAACGAGAGGAAGAAGAAAAGGAAGGGAGAGGAGAGGAGAGGGGAGAATGAAGGCAGTACTAACACCAACAGTAACACCAGAAACTGTACCTGCCTTTCACCAGCCACTCAGTGTATGGACCAACTCAATTAATGCTCACGTATCAACATGCAATTTTGTACGTGTTTGTAACATAACTACCATATTATCAATAACATGGTAGTTCATATTGTTAGTGATTCAATTATAACCTAAGACACTAATACTCAATATTATGATTTCCTGATAAGTTACTATAACCTCTATAAAGTAGCATCTTAACCCTCATAAGCATCCTATTATAAGGGGTTTGTCATTTCCATTTTTAAGGAGACGGAACTGGGGCACAGGGATATTGTGTGACTTGGGCAAGGTCACATGAGTAAGAATTGGTCCATTTAGGACTCAAACACTCTCTGCCCTACCAGTCAAGAGCAAGGATTCTAAGGCCCCAAAGCCTGGCTTTAGAGCTTTGCTCTAATACCCTCCTATTTGGGAAAATTACTCAATTTCTCTGTGTGTCAGTTTTCTCATTTATAAATGTATAGATATAATAATAAGGTTATTGAAAGAATTACATGATGTATGTGAAGCACTTATAAAACTTCGTGGCACAAAGTAACCAGTATATGCTTACTATTATTACAACATACATCTGACTCCAACAACCAGGCATTTAAGCTGGGCTTTACATTTTGAGATTTTTCACCTCAGATACCCACTGAGGAGAAATAATTATTTCCCAGAATAGAGGAGCAGTGACAGAAACAACCTTCAAGGCCATAAAAGGTTCCCCATCCTTAAACCAATGGTCTACAATAAATTTATTTAATTGTTAAATGTTGATTTCTCTTGGAAATGATCACAGTAAGAAAAACCCCAAGAATATAAACAGCCTTGTGAAATACCATGAATATTGTGATTTCATTTGGATTTATACCTAGGCTACTATATATTTTTAAAATGTATTAATACATTTATATAAAAATTGGATCTATTTTAACGATATTCTTTTGAATAAAGGCGAGTCATTAAAAGTATAAAATGTACGCTGAAGGTACAATGTCTATCAAAATATATTAGAGACTCATCTACTACCGAGGGTGGTGGGCATGAAATAGGGTGGATGGAAGGATTCATGATAGTTATTAGTGAAGAACAAAAGAGGTTCATTGTGAGGGGAAGGGGAAAGAAAGGCTTTAAGATTTCTAATGTGATCTAGGGATAACCTTGCCAGGAGCTGGAGCCCCAGAGCACCTCAGTGACGGGGAGCAGATGGACACAAGGGAAGAAGATTCATCTCATGACCCAGATGATGAATTAAAGACTCAAGAAACCACAAATGAATGTGCCCAAGAATCTGAGCAAGAAGGTGAGGCTGGCTGACTGTCCAGTGCTTGTCCCCATGCCTGACCGTGAGTGCTTGCAGCACACCCAGGGAGGGGTACGGGCTGTGCCGTGTGCTTGTACTCAGAAAGGAGGCCCTGGGGAGCCAGGAATGAGGGCAGAGGACTAGACCAGTGCTTGAGGCAAGGAGACATTTATTTACCAAGAAAGGGTGTCTAATTTCTGTGGCAAAGGGGAAAGAGAGAGGGAGAAAAAAAACACAGAGAAAGAAGGTAGGACACTGAAATAACATAGGTATAGAGAGAGCCAGAAGGGGAAACTATGGAGCAAAGAGGAAGGAGCCACAGAGAGGCTCACTGGGGAAGAGAGACAGAAGTGCAGGTGACAGGAGTGGCCAACGAGAGAGACGCACTCAGAGTCAAGGATGCACAGATACCTGCCTGGGACTGGGAACCCAATTGTGAGTAGAAACGTGAGAAATGCGCAGAAGTAGAATGAATCATATAAAGATTGAAAAAGGGGCAGAGCAAACATGGGAAAAATAGACCTGCACTCCTGCTACACACCATTCATAAAAAATAATTCAAGTTGAATTACCAATCTCAAAGTTAAGGCTAAAACTACGAGGCTTCTAGAAGAAAACAGGAGAATGTCTTTGCAAATGTAGGGCAGGCGATAATTTATTATATTGACACAAAAACATGGACATAAAAGAAAAACTTGGCAGGCTAAACTTCACCAAATTGAATACTTCTGCCTATCCAAAGACATTATTAAGAAAAGGAAAAGACAAGCCGTAGACTGGGAGAAAATATTTGCAATGCACATATCTAACGATGGATTGTACCTGTGATATATGAAGAACTCCTACAAATGAATGATTAAAAAAGACACAACCAATGCAAAAAATGGACAAAAGACTTAAACAGATGCTTCAGGACAAAAGATATAAAACGGTCCATAAGAACATAAACAAAGTATACGATATCACTAATCATCAGGGAAATGAAAATTCAAACCACAGTGAAATGCCATTCATCCACTAAAATTAGAAAGACTGACAACGTCAAATGTTGATGAGAATATGGAGTAATTGGAACCCCCATCCCTAGCTGATAGGAAGTGAAATGATAAAGCCACTTTGGAAAATGGGCAGTCTCTTACAAAGTGAAACCTAACCTATGACTCAGCAGTTTTACTCCTGGGTATTTACTTGAGAGGAATGAAAGCATGTGTTCACACAGATTTTTACAGGAATGTTTAATAGCAGCTTTATTCATAATAGCTAAATTCCGGAACCAACCCAAATGCCCATGGATGGCAGTATACATAAACAAACTATGACATATTTATAGAGTATAATACTATTCAGCAAGAAAAAGGAATGAACTATTGGTATATGTAACAACATGGATAAATCTCAAAAACATGTTGAGCAAAAGAAGCTGGTTGCAAGAATACATATTGCATGATTCTATTTATCTGAGTACAGACAAGTACAGTCCCAGAAAGGAAGGACCTGTTGATGGTGACAGAAATCAGAATAGTGGTGGCTGGAGCACAAGGAATTTTCTGGGATGGTGGAAATGTTCCAGATCTTGACTGGGATGTTGGTTTCACATTGATTTATACTTGAGACATGTGCATCTCAATGAAAAAGAGGGCAGCAAGGCTCTCTTGGACCTCAGATGGGGTCCTTGGAGCTTGAACATTGGAGTTCAGGTTGAGCACACTGACGTTCCTCCTCTGGCCACTGTCTGAGTTTGGTCATTCCTGTGTTGTTCCCCTACCTTAGCCCTCTATTACTTCTCAGTCTTTCTCCCCTCACACAGCCACGTACCTGCCCTTACCTGCCAACAGGTGTGAGGGAAAACATGAGAAAGGATATCTGAGCTTCTGAATAGATGGAGTCTCCATTGGTGGAGAACATAAAAAGAGAATATGGAAAAGGTAGTCAGGAGGCAATACATGACAGATTACATGAATAAATTCAGTTTTCTAAAGGAACATAAAATCCTACCCTCGTAGCTTGGGATGGGGGGTTTATTTTCAGTTAATTTCACAGAACCATTAAGAGAAAGTCAGGCTCACGTGGGAGGTCTTCATTACAAAGTTGGCCAGTGGGGAGTCCCTGGCGCTGTGGTGCGAGTGCAATGGAGAGTTTCAGAGGAGGGGAGAGAGGCGAACCTGCAAGATGAAATTGCACAGGGAACAAAAATTAAAACAGTATTGGCAGACAGAAGGTCAAGGTAAGGTGGAAGAAACAAAGATGGAATGGGGGAAAGTGTAAGACACAGCAGTGAAGAGATAAACTGAAAAAGCTGTCAAGGATCAGAGGTAAAAATGGAGAGGAGTATGTGGGAAAAGAAAGATGAGAGGAAAATAAACAGCAAGAAACAGGGAAAGTCAGGGAGAGGTGCAGAGGCACCTTTGTGGAGAAAGAGTTAAACAAAAAAGGTATAAAACTAGTTGTGAATGAAAACAGGATAAAAGAAACAGACTGGGACATTGTAGGTTTGAGGTAAGAGCATTGGATATCAGCAAGTTTGGGCACACATGTTGGCTCTATCAGTTGTGAATTTTCAGATTAAACCAATTATCAAAATGATACTTGCAAAATGTCTCTCCCTGAGCAGTCCAGTGATTCCCAAGCACAAATGTCCCCTCTGAATTATCTTCAGAGCACATTTATCTATGGACCTGGAGACCATTACCGAGAGGGCTGGTAGAGATCTACACTCGAATTTTTCAAGAACCTTACACCTGGCACTTCCAGAACTGAAAGCAACGCCGTCATTGCTCAAGCTAGATCCAACTCTGCCTCAGTGTTCTTTGTCCCATAGTTTTTCAAGTTGGAAACCTAAGAGTTGACGGTGACTCCTCCCTTGCCCTCAAATGTATTAATATGCCTATTGCTTACCCAGCATAGTCATTGCTTCTCCAGATTACCTCCCATCTGTCCATCAGATGGACAGATTACCTCCCCTGCGTCCCCAAGGCCAGGTGTCTGGTTCAGATCTCTGTCTCCTTCCTCAAATCTAGCTCCCATCAAATGCATTATTTGCACTTCAACAAGGACGATTTAGATTGCATCAATTTCCTACTTACCTTCTCAATACCTTAAGGATTAAATGCGTTTTTTTTTAAGAGGCATCCAAGGTCATCCACAACGGGCCACCTGCCTTTTTCCTCAGCCTCATCACCTGTCTCCTAAAATATTACTCCAAGGTAGAATAAAATTCCCCCAATGATTTCAGTTGTTACATCTCTTTTTCAAACTGAGCCTTTTCATAGTCTCTTTGCCTTCTTTAGAACTGGTTTCATGCCCCACTATGCTTCCCTTTACCCTGCTCCAATGTGGTTAAATCTTCTTTAAAATATGCTGTGTAACAGAGGCTCTGCTTTAGAGAAAGCTACAAAGGAACAATTAAGGGACAAAGGGTGGGAGAGAAGAACAGTATCCGAGAAAGCAAAAGGAAAAGCTGCAGGAGCTGGGAAGAGAGAAACACATCCAGAGAAAGAGAGACACCCACAGGGAAAAAACAGGCAGAGGTTAAGAAGGTGGAAAGAAATGAATAAGAAAATGAGAAAGTGAAGGAGGTGCACAAAGAGGAAGATTCTCCCATGAAGGGTGCATCATTCCCAGCCTTTGGCGAAGGTTACTGGAGCAAAGTTAACCTTTGGGTAAGGTTGTCTGGGGAGTGGGCACACTCCAGTTTCTCAGGCTTTCTTGGTTTCTCTCATTATTTATTTTCTTGTTGTGATGCTTTTCCCATCATAAATGGAGACAGCTGAGGTATTGCATTCTTTTCTGCAGAGAGCAGTAATACCTGTCCTGAAACATGTGACATGGAAGAGCCTCAGGAAGCCTTGAGGTCCCCGCCAAGTTGTGGGCCAGGTAAGCAGGGGAAGATTGCTCTCCCTGACCTCGTAGCATGTTAAAAGGTGGAATTCAAAGCTGATGTTTCCTGACGCATTTGACTCTGAGCACACTCCACAGTCAAAGATCCAGTTTGTCCTAGAATTCCGTGATTCCAGTAAATGCTCCTAAGTGCACGTTATAGTAGAAATATGCTAGAGTAAGATGATATCTTTCATGCCTACTAATAGTAAAAACTTGAATTTATCCTTACCCACCCTTTAACTAGAGAATGAAAACTAAGTCTTATTCTGTTTGTTGTTATTATTTTGTCCCTAAGTATGGAAGGCCCTCAAAAGAAACATGTTCCTTCAGATTAGCTACTCACAAATCTAAATTTTAATTTTTGTCAAATATTTTCTGTTATGTTCCTGTCTCACCTAGTGACTTCTCAAAGAATCTTGGCAAGCAAGATGTCATTTTATCTCTATGACTTAAGAATTTAGGCGGGCAAACTGTGCGTTATTCCTATTTGATAGACGGGGAAGTAGAAGCACAGACGTGTGCAGGGCCTTTTACAGGCCAAAGGAGAGAAGCAAGAGCAGGGATCAGCATTCCTGACCACTCACTGCAGTGACGATTGTGTGAGGCTGGCAGAGGATCAGGGTGGCCGGGCTCAAGGAGCCGAGTTCACTCAGGAGACCCCAGGAATCCTGCAGGCTCCCAGGGGAGTGGAGCAGGGCCAGTGCAAGGGGACTGCTATCCAACAGAAGTATTTCAGGGGTGGGAGCAAGGAAAAGCAGAGAGAGAGAAACAGTAGGACTGGAGACTGCCAAGTGGGATGCAAGAGATCTAGAAGAATGGAACCAGAAGAAAAACAGCAACACAAGGAGGAAATGTGATGAAAGGTGTTGAAGAGAAATAAATGGAGAAGAGAAAGAGAAGGAATCCTAGAGAGTCAACGAGATGTACAGTGCTTTGTGGTTTAGAAGCAACAGCGTGTGGTGACTGAAAAATGAGGAGAAGGAAGGTTGTGGAGGGATGACAAGAAGGAGAGCAGGCAGAACGGGTTTGAGTGGGGCTCCGGAGACGTCTTTGGAGAAACCATATTTTTCTTGCAAGGAAAAGCTCACCTGAGCGCTGAACACCAGATTGAGCAGGAATGTCCTGAGTTCTGTCCTCTTGTCACTGTGTCTGACTGGTCGTTTCCATGTTTCTCTTCAGTTTCCTGTGAGCAAGTAGCTCTCCAAAGGACTAATGGGGAAGATGCCAAAGAAATACCTAAATCGCTGCCAGATGGTGGGAGAGGTAATTGTGATTTAAATGACCAGTGACTTCATTAGGTTTGCTTCCCTGCCTGTATGCAAGGGACACTTCCCTTCCTTCCCTCCCACCCCCACAACGCAGGCAGATGTGTCCAGCCTCTGGATTGTTTTCCCCAGGTGTATGGGAGGCGATGGGGAAAGGGGGGCTAAGTCCTTCAATGGAGGGGCTCCTGGGTGGAGAACTTAAGGGTAGAGAGTAATAAAGACGCAGATTGGAGGCACCAGCTGGGGTTGCCTAAGCAGGCCCAATTTTATCTAAATGAATATGGAATCTAAATCCTACCAGGATGGGGCTTGAGAAGACAGAGATAATTTTAAACTTACTTGCCAGGGATTGTATAGGAATAATGAAATACTATGGATAGGAGAGATATAGTGGAAGTGAGTTAAAAGAATAAACAGGGAGATAATGGGGCAAAGAGGTAAAGAACACCATGGGGGAAGAAGACAGAAATGCAAAGAGATGGCAGAAGGTAGGGAGAGGATGCCAAGTTGAAGAGATCCAGGAGTAGATTCATGGTGCAGGTGCGGCAGTATGTGAAAACAGGGTTAGAGGGAGAAAAAGGAGAAGCAGAGAAAGGAAAGGGGCCTAGCAATGTGCTAAAAGAAGTGGAGCAAATCTCGGCTGGTGAAAGCACACCTTTATTCCCAGGGAGCAATTCTGCTCTGAACATCAGAGCTCAGCATGCCACACCCAGGTATGTGCCCAGGTCACGGCCAATTGTCCGTTGTGTTCCTATTTCTCTCTTCAGAGTCTTGGAATCCTACTGTACAAAAGGATGAAGAAGAATCAGAAGAAATGCCCAGGTTAATACCTTATGATAGAGAAGGTAATTGGGATTTAAATTACCTGTTATCTAATTAAAGCTTTATTTTCCCATTAACATAAAGAAACACCTGTTCTTTCATCTCCTCCTTTCCTGTCCATCTATCCATCCATCCATCCATCTTTCTGATTAAGACTTTAAGGGAAAATATAATGCTGGTGGGAGGGGAGAGAAGCCATGGAGAGGCAGAAAGCATGGGAATGGAGCCTGCCCTTTGGGAGAAGAGAGATCCAGAATAAGAGAGCTAAACAGATACTATTATAGAAAGGGGGTACAGTATCACTGAAGAAGAAAAAGACATAGAAACAAGAGGCAGGAAAGCCAGTGGGAAAGAAGCCCAGACAACGGAAGAGCTGCACAGCTAGGAAGCGGAAGTGTGTGGAGGCAGAGCTGTAGTTAGGACTCTGAGAAGTAGAAAGAAGGAGAAGGAGATGTAGCAAGATGGAAACAAAGTGGAACAAGACTGTGCAGCTCTTAGTGTTTGGAACAGACGCATTGTCCTCCCATCTTGGATGGCACAAGCATGCTCAGGTTGGTTTCCAGGCCAGCCTCTGTGGTTCACCATTTCCTTGTTTCTCTGCAGAGACCTGTGATTCCCAAACTCCACAAAAGGCTAATGAAAGAGAACCAGAGAAGGAGCTCAGTCTAGTGGCAGATGAAGGAGAAGGTAATTATGATTTAAATTCCTAACCATGTCACTAAATCTTTGTTCTCTAGAAGGCACAGAAAGAAAGAGCTCGCCTTTCTCCCATCCTCCCCTTCACTTCTTTACATCCACATGCATAGAGATGGAATTATGTCCACTTTCTGTTTTGTTTTTTCCAAAACTGTGAGGGAGACAAAAGGTTAAGGTGAGCTGAGCCCGTGTGTAGAGAAGGTAGGGAGGCAGAGGACGCCGAAGGCAGGCCAGGGCACCAAAGGAGAAATGCCTGTGTGGTGTTATTCACTTGCATCAAACCTAAATATCAGCAGGTTATGGCAGTTGAGGCCAGGGAGCTTATTTTCAGCCGACTTCTGGAAGTACCAGGAACATGGACCCGAGGTTTGGGAATGATCGAAGGCCTGCAGTTGAGAAAAGTCACGTGGGAGGCCCCTGAGATGGAGCTGACAAGGGAAAGGGCTGTGGTGCTGTGGTCCACGTGAAAATGGAAGAGCTTCTGTCAACCTGGGAGGAGAGATCTTTGAGAATGAAGAAAATATATAAAATAATGGAAATTTTACAGGCATCCGGGAGGGTAAGCTAAAACCCAGAAAAACAGAGCGAGTCTCCCCACCTAGCACGCTGATGGGCGGCTACACCCACAGACCCATGTGCCCTGCAGTGTGCCGTGTCCTCCTTGGCTTTGTGCACCAGCTGGCAGGGCGTGCTCCCTGCCCTGCAGACCCATAGGCCATGCAGCAGGATGTGGCCCTTGGTTCTACGCACCAGCTGGCAAACCACGCTCCTGTGGCCCCGAGGGCTGACCAGGAGAACAAGCCCCCTGACCCTGCATGTGACAGTTGGCAGGCCGTGCCCCCATAGGGCCACACAACACCACACCTGTAGTCCAGCTCTCCACCACAGACTCACTAGACACAAGCCACTCCCCGCTGCATACCGCCATTACACCTAGATGTAGATGTTGTGAATGTCCACACCCCTGACCCCAGTGGCCACTGCCTACATAGCCTCACCAAACAGCCACTGCCACCACTGTGGAGAGACCCAGGCAGAGCAATCTCCTACAGTGCCCACCTCCGTGGAAGGGACACACCCAGTCGCTCGCCTAAGCTTCTAACAGCAGCCTAGCGACCAACCCGTCACTCCACGTGAGGATCCCCCAGCACTGGCCCAGGTCCTGCAGACAACTCAGGTATCCACCAAGGTCCTGCGACCTGCCCCGCCACTGACTGCAGCCCCCTGATGCACCCAGGAGCCCCGGAAGATCCCATGCCCTGCTCCACTGCTGGCTGCAGTGCTGTGACATGTCTGGGCATCTGCCAAGGTCTTGAGACCCACCGAGCACTGGCCAAGGTCATACCCGCCACCTCTGAGGAGGGCAAGGTGGTAAAGAGCAGAGTCGGGGGTGCAAGAGAAAAAGATAGGCGTGGAGAAGGAGACAGAAGCACATTGAAACAAAGAGAAGCGTCTGGAGACACTGACAGCAGGACACAAGTGCAGAGATGGAGAAAGTGGGCAGAGGAGTGGGGGAGGGGAGAAGGAGCGAGAATTAGGTGTGCAGGGAGGAAGTGAGCTGGTGGATGCTTCTCAGCCTTGGTGATAGTGACTGGAGTGTGTCCACCTACAGGCCAGGTGAATCCAAAGGGCAGAGCAGGAGGGTCTGGGACAGGGACAGGCCCACCTAGGGGATGCTCGAGCTCCCCACGTCTTCACCAAGATTTCCCCTTGGTTGTATACTGAGACCTCTGAGGGATTTCGTTTCTTTCTGCAGGGGGCAGCCATGCCTGTTTGGAAATGTGTGGCAGAAAAGAGCCCGAGGAAGCCTCGAGCCTCCCGCCCACATGTGGGCCAGGTAAGAAAGGGGAGGACTTCTAGCAAGGTGCCAGAAGTTGGAATTCTGAGCCAGTGTTTCTCGATTGATTTTTTGCTGAGCATACTTCACAGTGAAAGAATCCAGTGAATCATGAGATTTTTCACATTTTCTACACATAGACCTTTTGGGAAATGCAGGGAAGAATCTTTATAAAGTCCACATTTCACGGAATGGGTTTTATTGTTTGAACATATGTGTTCAGATATTCATGTGGTAGTTGAAATATTCCAAGGCAAGACAATATCTTCTTCCTATTTTTCATGCCTAAAGTATCAAATTTAATACCTTAGTATTACGGTATTTTAACAAATAAGATCTGATACCCTCACAAAACCTTAGGATGAGGGCAGGACAAGTGGTTGATCCTATGAGGAAATAAAGGTCAGAAATGTGTGCAGGCCTTTCACAAAGTCAAACTGTAAAGGAAGATCAGGAAGAATAGGTGTCTCACTGTAGAAGATGATTTTGCCAAGACAAGCAACACGGTCATGGCAGGTCACATGGTCCCCCAGGTATGTGGACAGGAGCCGGAGCAGGGAGAGTTACTGGGGGAAAAAATCATTAGGATTATCTCTGGGGAAACAAAAGTCCAAAGAGCAAAGATGTAAGAGAAGCCAGGGAGAGAGCAGGCTTGATACTCAGAGAGGTATACAGAAAACTTTACACCATAACAGCAGAAATATGTGGGAACAGCCTGTAGAAAGTAGATGTGACAAAAGCAACCTCTACACGTGGAGCAACTTTCTGTAGACAATTTTCAGACTCAGATGTCCCCAGGAGCAGACTAGTCCTTGTAACACAGTCAGTAAGTAACACCTTTCCCTCGGCAATCTTGCTTGCTCCCCCGTATCCTAATGGTGCTCAGATATATGTGTGTGACCAAACCAGTCTTCTCAGGTCATTTACCCAAGTGCCTGAGGCATTTATCCAAGGACCATGTCAGGACCATGTTCATCAAACTGAAAACTTCCAGAATTGAAGCCAACAGCTTCTTCCCTGAAATGAGAACCTCTGCTTTCTACATTGCTCACTGTCTCGGGAGTGGACACCTTTCATCCCATTTTCTGGAGCCAGAAAGTTAGGATTCATCCATGACTTCTTCCTCCCTTTCAACCCTATACTTCATCCATCACAAGTTCTGTTGATTCTACCTTCAAAATACATCCCACCTGTCCTTTTCTCTCTGTGGCCGAGCAAGCCAGATCTCTTTTACTTTTTACCTAGACAAGAATAATAGACTTTATCTTCTTTTATTCCTCTTTTCTGGCCGACTCTCCTTGAAAAAAAATTGTAAATCAGATCACATTCTTTTCCCACCGAAACCCAAGGATTTTGTTACTTTAATGACTAAACCACGTTTCCTTCCTGTGGATTGCCAAGGGCCCCCACCATGGGGCACCTGCCTATCCGTCCAGCTCATCATTTCCTCTCCTGCCATGACTCTCAAGTTAGCATAAACCTTTTCAATAAGTTTAATTGTCAGATCTCTCACATCTGTCCTTTGTACTTTCAAGATTGTCACAAATTTGAACACAAATCTAGGATTGTCATCTTGACCCACTTATCTCCCTGTCTCATGCTCTGATGTGGCTATGCTCTGTGCAAATTATACTACCTCTGGGATGGATTTCCTGATCCCTAGTTCTAGAAAGATATCCAGAAACAAAGACATAGGGAAAGGCAGGGTTATAAGAAAAGAAGAGCCACAGGAGCAGAGGAGACAGAAAGACAAGTCAAAGGGAAGGGCCAGGAATCACCAGAAGTAAGAAACAGGAGGAGTGATGGAAGGAGGAAACGTTCAGAAGTAGGTAGAAAGGAGAAAAAATATTTAAAAGCAACTTAGGCATACAGAAAGGGAGCAGGAGACAGGAAAATGTCCCACAGTGGTTGAATTGTTCTCAGCCTCTATTGATAGTAGCAGAAGTCATGTGAACCTCTGAGTCAGGTACCCTCTGGGTGGGGGGATTCCTACCGAGGATATACTTGAGTGTTCTAGAGCCTCCTGATTTTCTCATTATTTATTTTTTCTGCCACATTTGCTCCCTGGGTTATATACTGAGACTTCTGAGCAATTACATTTTTTTTTTCTTTGCAGAGAGCACTGCCTGTTTAGAAGCCTGTGCTGGAGAAGAGCCCCAGGAAGCTTTGAGCCCCCTGCAAAGACTTGGGCCAGGTAAGGAAGGGGAGAGTTTCTGGCCCTGGGCTGCAGGGTTTCAAGTGGTGGACACAGAGGTGCTTCCTGCTGAATTCTTCTCTGAGCACATTCCGGCCAATCCTTAAATATAATTCTTTGCACTTACACTGGCCTTTTGAGGGAAACACAAGGAGAAGTTCTTGTAAATTACATTTTGAACATCATGACTCTATTGTTAGAATATATGAGTTTCCTATTCATGTTATAATAGATAAATACCAAGAAAAGACAGTATCTTTTTACTTTTCACTCTTTCTGCATATTTATATTAAATACTCAATATTGTGATTTTAACCCTTTTATACCCCTTATTTTCTATAAAGTCCAAAAGCCAAGTATCTATCTAGTTCTTAGTAATGGTATTATTATATAGCCATAACCTTGGAAAGGCCTTAAAAGGAACATAGTTCTGAGATCTATCTACTTGTCAGAAAGAAAGAACCGTCTGCAAACTCAAGTTACCATGTTTATCCAATATTGTCCATCAGGTTATTGAGTTACATAGCACTTTCTTCTTTTCAAAGTACTTTGGCAGGGGATATTTCCTTTTACTCTCACAAAATGTTAGGACGTAGCCAGGCAAACTGCTGTTATCTCTTCTTATACATAAGGAAATGACATCATAGAAAAAGCACAGTTGTCTTTCCCTAAAATCAAAGTAGGAAGGAAGAGCAAAGACCCATGTCCTGGGTATCTCACTCCAAGTGATGGCTATGTGGGCTAGGAGGAGGGTCACCATATGGTCACATGGTCAGAGTCCACAGGGGGCCCTGAATGCTCTCAGGGGTATAGAGCAGGGCTTGATGCAGAGAAACTTCTATTTCACAAACAAAGAATATTGGCAGGGTGGAGAAGAAATCAAGAGAAACAGAGAAGGAATGGATCATTCTATAGAAATTGGGGAGAATTAGAAGAACAGAGCTAGAGAGAATAAGCAGAAAGAAAGAGATCACGATCACCCTGGAGAAAAAAATATGTAGAAAAGCAAAGAGATGGGAGAAGTCGGGAAGAGTGGAGCTTACAAAATCAAAGATGCCCAAATGCTCTCCTAGTGCAGAAGCATAAATATTTGGAGGTGGGCCTATAGGTAGGCAACAGAAGTAGGGAAAAGGTGGATAAGATGGAAAGAGGCAGAATAGGGTTCACTTGGATTTCAGGTGTGGTCCTTGGAGCAAACATTTTTCCAAAGAGTAGCTCACCTGTTTTCTGAACTTCCTGGATCTCCCTGAGCACACTGAGGTTCGTCCCTGAGCCCCCTGCATGGTCTGTCATTTCCTTGTTTCTCCTCAGTGTCCTGTGGTCCCAAAGCTCCCCAGGTAACTAATGAAGAAGAACCGGAGGAGGTGCTCAGCCAGCTACTGTGTGATGAAGAAGGTAATTGTACTTTAGTTTTCCCATCAACTAAGCGAATCTTTATTTTTCTGTCTACAAGGAGGAAAATCTCCCCCTCTTCAATTCTAATCTGCTCCCTTTCACATACCCGTACAGAAGAAATGTGTAGAGCCAGTGGAAAGGGTCAAAAGTAGGAGAAAATGAAATGTTCAGTAAGGCAGTGAGGTGGTGGTCTGTGCTTAGCCTCTGGTGACAGTGACAGGATCCATGTTAACCTCTATGTCATGTGGATGTAAAGGCAGGAGGATCTGAGGGCAGGAACATGTCCACCTAGGAGTTACTTGAGCCACCTTGGTCTTCCCGGTTCTCTCAGAGTGGGTTTTCTTGCTATCCCTCGGTCATACACTGGATCTTTTAAGGGATTTTATTCTGTTCTGCAGAGGACAACAGTCCTTGTTTAGAAATGTGTGATGGAGAAGAGCCCCAGGAAACCTTGAGGTTACCACCAGAAAGTGGGCCAGGTGAGGAAGGTAAGGATTATCTGGGTTTCAGGGTGTCAGGGCACTGAATTCTGAGCTGATGTTTCCTGGTGGATTTGACTCTGGACACACTCCACAATGAAAGGATCCAGTTAATCTCTGAATATCATTCTTCATATTTACCCTGGTCTCTGGAGGAAATACAGGGAGATGAGAAACCTTGAGAAACTCCACAATTAAGGAGTTTTGTTGTTTGTTGGTAGATATTTATATATTCAGTTATGGTAGTGTCTTAGCCTGTTTTCTATTGCTATAACTGAATACACAGACTCAGTAATTTACAAAAAATAGAGGTTTATTTAGCTTACAGTTCTGGAGGCTGGGAAGTCCAAGAGCATGGCATCAGCATCTGGTGAGGGCCTTCTTGCTACATCATGATATGGTGGAAGATATTACATGGTGATACAGTGCAAACATGCTAGCTCTGGTCTTTCTTCCTCTCCTTATAAAGCCAGTAATCTCATCATGGAGCCCCACCCTGATGAACTTATCTAACCCTAATTACCCCCCAAAGACCCCACCTCCAATCAACATATGAATTTGGGGATTAATTTTTCAACACACGAAATTTGAGGGACACATTCAAACAATAGCAAGTAAAAATATGCTAGGATGAGAGAGTGCCCTTTTGCCTTCATTTTTTTTCACATATATTAATACTATTATTTGGATTTGTATGACAATTTCTATTCTAACTCCTTCTCTTCTATAGAAATCAAAAATCTTAGTATTTCTCTGCTGCTTGATAATTTTTATCATTTTGTCACAAACTTGACAAAGCCTTCAAAGAAGTGGTATCCTATCATCTAATTGGCAGAATTCAGATCAACTATTTACAAAGCTAATGCTATGTTTGATCACTTCTTATTATGTCACTGGATCATACAGTATATATATATTTTTTTCAGAGTACTTTGATAAGTATATTATCCTACCACCCTCAAAAACCTTAAGACTTAGGCAGGGAAATTGTTGTTATTATTGTTTTGAGGAACCAGAAACACAGAAGTGTACATGATACAGGTGTTTTATAAGACCTGAGAGGAAAAGGAGAGCAGAGCCCAGTGTCCTGGATGTTTGGTTACAGGCTCTCCATTTTGTGGAGCTGGCATGAGTTGGGATTGGGTCCCATGGTCAGAGTCCAAAGTGGAAACACAAAGGGCCTTTCAGGACCCAGAGGAGTCTATTGGAGTTCAATGGAAAGAGACTTTTATGTAGAAATAAAGAATGCTTAGGGAGAGACGAGGAAAAATCATCAAGAGTTAGAAAATGTGTAAATGTAATCTACTATATAAGATAGGGGATACCCACAAAAATACAGCTAAAGAGATAAACAGAGAGGCAATGTGAAAAATAGATGCAGTGCATCATTTAGGGAGAAAAAGATGGATAATCAGGGAGACAGGAGATGTCAGGGAGTGAGAGTTAAAGGTAAGCACAGCTGCCTTCATAATATACAATAAAAACATATGCACTATTAAAAGAAGAGACTACCACCTAATAGCAAACAAAAGGCTGAATTCATTGCTTTTTCAACTAAGGGCCATTTATGCTGTGGGTCATGCATCTCTGAACACACACTCTTATTTTAGAGTGTTTGGGGAAGTGCGGAGTTCGGTGATTGGTGGACCTTCAGAAGTGGGATTGTTTAGGGGAGAGTTGACCTTTAGCAGTGAAAGCAGGGGGACTGGAGTGTGGCCGTTACTGGTTGGCTGACTTTCAGAAGTGTGGGGAAGTGAATAGCTGGCTGGCTTTCAGAGGCATGCATACTGGTCTGAAGGTATCGTTGATTAATTGAGATAATTCTGGTTGTTATTTGTTCATATGGTCAAAGAGCAATGAGTTTTCCTAGTAGTGTAGGAAACTTTAAAAAAAAATTATTTCAGCATATTAGGGGGATACAAATGTTTAGGTTTCATATACTGCCTTTGCCCTGCTGGAATCAGAGCTTCAAGCATGTGCAGGCCCCAGATGGTGCACACTGTACCCATTATGTGTGAATGTACCCATCCCCTCCTCCCCCACCACCTGCCCGACAACTGATGAATGTTACTACTATATGTGCACATAAGTGTTGATCAATTAATACTAATTGATGGTGAGTACATGTGGTGCTTGTTTTTCTATTCTTGTGATATTTCACTTAGTAGAATGGGCTCTAGCTCTATCCAGAACAATACGTGAAATGCTAGATCACCATTGTTTTTTGTGGCTGAGTAGTACTCCATGGTATACATATACCACATTTCATTATTCCACTCCTGTATTGATGGGCACTTGGGGTATTTCCAGTGAACAGAAAATTGCTGATTTTTTGCAATTGTGAATTGTGTTGCTCTAAACATTCAAGTGCAAACGTCTTTTTTGTAGAAAGTCTCTTGTTTCTTTGGGTAGATGCCCAGTAATGGGATTGCTGGGTCCAATGGTAGTTCTACTTGTAGCTCTTTGAGGTATCTCTATATCACTTTCCACAGAGGTTGTATTAGTTTGCAGTCTCACCAGCAGTGTAGGAGTGTTTCTATCTCTCTGCATCCACGCCATCATTTATTTTGGAACATTTTGATAAAAGCCATTCTCACTGGAGTTGAGATCTCATTGTGGTTTTCATTTGCATTTCCCTGATGATTAGAGATGTTGAGGATTTTAATTATCAGCTTCCCCTTTAGGAAATCCCTCCTCCAAAGCTGCAGGAGGGATCATCAAGTATTGTCCACATCCAAAATATCTTTTCCGGAAAAGGACACTAGAAACAAAATTCTAAGATTCCCCTTCATTGATGATTGAGAATGTTATGACTGTCTGTGGAGGATGACAGAACAAAGAGAAAGTAATATTTAATAATTAGTTAATCGAATGGCAGAAAAGTGTTGAATGTTTTCAATTAGCAATATAATTGCACTGCATGCAATATCGTCATATTTAAAGGTGATCCAAGTACAGAAATCTCAAGAAGCTCTGACTAATGTAGTCATCTGTAGTTGTTTTCAGGCAACTATTAATACGATAAGCTATGGCTACTAGCAATGGGCCTTTCCTTTTTTTTTTTCCTTTTTTTTTTTTTTGAAACAGAGTCTTGCTTTGTTCCCCCAAGCTAGAGTGAGTGCCGTGGTGTCAGCCTAGCTCACAGCAACCTCAAACTCCTGGGCTTAAGCAATCCTCCTGCCTCAGCCTCCCGAGTAGCTGGGACTACAGGCATGCACCACCATGCCTGGCTTATTTTTTCTATATATATATATTAGTTGGCCAATCAATTTCTTTCTATTTATAGTAGAGACGGGGTCTTGCTTTTGCTCAGGCTTGTTTCGAACTCCTGACCTTGAGCAATCCACCCGCCTTGGCCTCCCAGAGTGCTAGGATTACAGGTGTGAGCCACCACGCCTGGCCAAGCAATGGGCCTTTGCTATTGGCCCTGTTTTGAAATAATACCCCTAGAGCATGGCATGTTTTTTATGTGCACAGGAAATAAAAGGATTATGATAATATGGAAGATCCAGTGTAGGTGGTTGTTGAAGGAGTATTTTAAAATCATGAAGGTTTGTTCAATTTCTGTGTTCCATGAGAATGACTGGTCAAATGCAGGGTAGACTTACATTTTAGGGAAGATTTACCTCCATTGTCTTCAAGACTTGGTTAATCTTAGAAGTCCTCTTCTTTGTCTGTTAGTCTTTGGTTTGGGGTAATTTTGGATATTTTGTAACCCTTCCTTTTATAATATCCTTTCTTCAGTCAATAGATCATGGCTGAGAAAATAGCTTGTTTTGTTTACAAAACTGGAGTGAGAACTGAGGTCACAGTTCTGTTGCTGGTTATTGGCCATGAATCACTCTCAGTTCCAAGAGGCCCCTCACATTCCTTGACACATGACCCCAACATCTTCAGGCCAGCAGTAGTGTGTGGAATCCTTGTCACACTTTGAATCTTTGACCAAACTCTGCTTTTAAAGGTCTCCTGTGATTAGCCTAGGCCCACCCTGATAATCTCTCTTTCTTAAGGTCAGCTCTGCCATATAGCATAACCTAATCATGGGGGTAATATCTAGTTATGTTCACAGTCCCTGGGGTTGGGGAAGAAAATCTTTGGGGGCCATCTTAGAATTCTGCCTGTCACCAGGGGGCTAAAGGCATTCCCTAGAAAATCACTGTCCAGATGAGCCATTGATTTTGCTAAGCAAATAATGTTGGCTATCTTCATCGACTGGGACATCAAATAAAGCTGAACATAATTGGCTTTAGTTGTGACAAAAGGGATTATAGAAATTGGGTTCGGTGCTACAAGGAAGTAAGGTGTACCTATTTTCGTTTATCGCTTGAAGATCTCGAATCATGCATAGCGCAGGTATACTTAATGTTCAGATGGACTATAAATAGACCACGTGAAAAAGAATTTTCCAGGACTTCTAAAATTAGTCTTTCCAAGCATTTAATCTGGTAGTTTTATTTGCAGAGTAGATCTCTACCTATTACATATATAGTTTTTTTTTAAGAAAAGAAAGGAGTGTTCCTTATATGATGATCCAAAAGGTGTGGTTACTGGTTGGGAACATTTGGTGATTTTTTTCCTCTTCTTTTATAGAGCTACATATTAAATGTGTTGCTTACTTTGACATGTCAAAAGTTCTCCATTGTAACCCAAAGTCATCTTTAGTGAAATTTTGCCATTTATTAAGATAAGGGCAAGAGTTCGAACCACAGGGAGGAAGTGAGGGTTTTGTCAGGAGGAGATTGTGGCTTTGGCAAAGACGATCCTATGACAAACAGCAAAGAGGCCACTACATTTGGGTGTAAGAGTGAACAGTGTGCTGCGCTTAAAATGGAGTATAGAGTTCACCAACCAAGCAGAGACTAAAAAGAGGACACGTGATCAATTACAGGATAGTAGCTGACTCTAGATTATATACTAAACAAAATGGTTTCCTCTCACAAATCAACAAGACACCAAGGGCCCTTGTGAAGGTTTTGGTGAGGGACCCAAGATCAAGTGTGACCAAAGATCTTTGCACAATTTGGTAATTACCTAATGGACTCACATCCATTAGTGTTGGGGACTGGCTTGGCTTGGAGACTTATCAGACCTTGGCCACCATCTCTTTGGTTTGGATTGCTATTTTCTAACATTCAGAAAGCACAGGAAAACCAGGGACAAACACACATGAGACAAGACCTTTTAAAAATAGACAAAAGAAAAATGAGAGTAAATGAAGTAGTGGAAGAATAAACACATCAATGGAGAGAATATACACTAAATGCTGTACCTCCAAAGCACAATATTTAATTCTTTGCATCTGATTTGCATACCCATCTTTAAATAATAAGATACATACAGAAATAAGGGCTCAGTGAAACAAGTCAGAGCTCAAGTTGTTGTCGAGACAGATTCACTTGGCAGTGGATCAGGAAGATGATCCAAGTTGAGCCCAGGAGACTGGGATTCATGCCTGGTGGTCGAAAGGCCCCACAGAACACTCCCAAGCAGGAGTTTTCAAGATGATCTTGGCAGGAACTCCAGTTTTTGCAGTGAGAGGCTACCACTCCAAATCTGAAGCTAAAAACGATTTATTGCTTGCTAAGCAAGACACTTGGTAGGAGGAGGCACTGTGCTAATAGGACATAATTTCTATGGAAAAAGAAACTGCTGATTTAGATAGTTTGGGAAGCATGTAGTTCAGGGACTACAGACTTTCAGAAGCAGAAGTTTTTGTGACTAGGTTAATATTTAGCCACAACACAGGCTTTCTGGTGGGGACTGTGGCCAATCAGCTGGCTTTCAGATGTATAGAGCTGCCGTGGATGGGCTGGCTTTCAGAAATGTGGTTAGAGATGTAAGTAGTCATTGGTCAATTGGGACTAGTTTAAATAGCTACTTTTTGCTACTTTCAAAGAGCAATTAGTTTTTCCTGGAAAGGCAAGAACTCTTCTTTACTCTCAGGGCTATAAGTGGAAAAATAAAAGTAGGAAAAGGGAGAATGAGGTACAAAACATGGAGACAGCATAGCTCTCTTGGATCTCAAGTGTGATTATTGGAGATTTTGGGTGCAGCTGAGCACCCTAGTGACTGTGTGGGTACAGCTGAGCGCCCTGGTGACTGTGTACCAACGAGAGGTGCGAAATGTGCAGTGTGAGCATACAGGAAACCGCAGCTGCAGACTATCTTTCACCTTTGCAGCTTACACAAGGACTTTGCTTTCTATTTGGGGAAGGGGGGCTACTTCAGTACTTGGGGCTTAGGGAGGGCTTGGGGAGCATAGATAAGCCTGAGGTTGCCTAGCCTCGGGGCCCCTCTCACATCTCCGGGTCCGCCATCACCCAGACTCCAGAGTGTGGATCCACAATAAAGCTGTGCATCTTGACCCAGAGCTGTGTGTGTGTGCCGAGTCTTCTTGCCCTGGGGAGGGCAGCGCAAGTTGGCCCTCCCAGGTAGGAGGAGGCACTGTGCTAATAGGACATAATTTCTATGAAAAAAGAAACTGCTGATTTGAGATAGTTTGGGAAGCATGTAGTTCAGGGACTACAGACTTTCAGAAGCAGAAGTTTTTGTGACTAGGTTAATATTTAGCCACAACACAGGCTTTCTGGTGGGGACTGTTGCCAATCAGCTGGCTTTCAGATGTATAGAACTGCCGTGGATGGGCTGGCTTTCAGAAATGTGGTTAGAGATGTAAGTAGTCATTGGTCAATTGGGACTAGTTTAAATAGTTACTTTTTGCTACTTTCAAAGAGCAATTAGTTTTTCCTGGAAAGACAAGAACTCTTCTTTACTCTCAGGGCTATAAGTGGAAAAATAAAAGTAGGAAAAGGGAGAATGAGGTACAAAACATGGAGAGAGCATAGCTCTCTTGGATCTCAGGTGTGATTATTGGAATAGGTATATTTTTCCCAAGGAACAGTTTATTTTAGCTCAGAATATCAGTGTGCAACATGACAGCCCCGGGGACTCTTTTCTGATCACTGTCTTGGAACCTATGGACAGTAATTTTCTTGTTTCTCATTAGTACCTGGTGAACTAGAAGATCAGCAAGAGAATGAGGAAGGAAAATCAGAAGAGCTTACTTCTAGCCCAGCGTGCTATGATGAACCAGGTAAGTATGCCTTAAAAATAATACAAGCAGAAACACAGGTCTGATAACGAGAAAAAGACAGGGGAGGGAAAAAGGGGAGACTTTCAGGGAGAGTCCAATATAGGGAGGGGCAAGGAAAGCACAAAGTTTCAGAAGAAGAAGTAGGGAAGGGAGGAGCAACAAGGGTGCAAAGAGAGGATCACTGGGGCAAACGAAAAGTCTTCATAAATCACAATTTGGTCCTAGGAGCAGAGCAACCAGGATATGGAAATGAGAAGTGTCCCTGTGTCATGTGTTTCTCAAAAGATGTGCCAGGAGGCCCAGAAGCAAGGACAGAAACTGGCCAAGCAGGCGGCACGATGGGTAAGGCTGCCTGAGGGCTGGGATGGCTCAGTGGGTGCCACAGACTGGGGGTGTAGTCGAGGAAGAGATAAGTGTCACTTTGCCCTCACCTTAGAAAGTCCTCACTCTGGTCCTGCCTGTCAATTGTTAGGAGGGAAGACTTCAGATCTACTGTTCTTATCCCCATACATACTTCTGATGGAAGTCCTCCAGCCTGTCACTGGTTTACATAGTGATTTCCTGTAAAATTTTACGCATAAATAAAAATCTTTAACTCACACAAAAATCTTAAGACTGAAATGGGATAGGATGACTGTTTCTATCCCTGAGAATCTGAAGTACATAAATATGAAAGAGCATTTTTTAAGATCTCAGTGAGAAAAAAAGGAAGACCCAGGGCCCATCCTAGACGCCTAGTTCTCAGTTCAGTAGGTTTGGGTTCCTTTAGAAGGAAGAGAGGAATGATTATGCAAACATCTTTATAAACTCAAGCCTTCTGTAGTATGAATTGTCTTAAGATCTGTAACCTTTATTTTTTCATTTCTGTTTCCTCACCATCACCTGTTATTTTCTAGATACTGTGGATATTGCAAATAACTCTACTTCTAGAACACCCAAGAGGAAAAGAAGTAAGAATAAATATTAATTTATTTGCTTTTGATGTTACAAATAAGTTTTTAATGCCAGAGTTTAATTTATTATTATTATTATTATTTACAATACTGTGGTATTTATAAAAAATGATGACCTCCCCAAAATGTCCAGTAAGAGAGGGGTTAGATTAAATATAAGTGAGAGGATTTGCCTTATAACTTCAAGAGCATAAAGATTATAAAATGAAAACCTTTGCATTAAAGTTGAGAATGTTTCCCAACTTCTAATATAGTATATCATCCATGACATTATTGGCTTCCAGGAATATGCCTTCTCATTGTACATTTGAATTTACAAAACAAACACGTGAAAAGGAAGCATACTGATATATAGCCACAGCAATTCTCATTCACTCTAAGGCACCAGCAGGAGTTAATTTTTCATTAAAATTTTTTTTTCAAAGTCTCCCAAGCCCGTGACCCAAGGCACATGGATAGTTAAAATGTAACCCTATAATCAACCTCCACACTCCTACACTGGTCATCCAGAATTTTGCCCCATTCTTGTGGACTAAAGTTTGAAAAAAATACTTGAATACTATTGACGTATAAGTCTTGGAAAATTATATTTATAACTCTGAATGATTAACTTTATTATCTTTGATTTGAAGAAAAAAAGAAAGGGCATTCCTGGACCAGAAGAAAAGGGACACAGCAGAAAAAAATACGCCAAAATGGTAAGCAGGCAGGCCAGGCATGGTGGCTTACATCCGTCATTTCAGAGCTTTGGGAGGCTGAGGCGGGGGGATCATTTACTCGAGGCCAGGAGTTCGACATCAGCCTGGGCAACATAGCGAGACTCTGTCTCTAAAAAAATTAAAAATTAAATTAACCAGGTGTGGTGGTACACACCTGTAGTCCCAGCTACTCAGGAAGCTGAGGTGGGAGGATCACTGGAGCCTAGGAGTTTGAGGTTGCAAGGAGCTATGATCGCGCTACTGCACTCCGCCATGGTGACACAGAGCAAGACCTTGTCTCGTAAATAAATAAATAAATAAATAAATAAATAAATAAATAAAATAAAAAGACAGTTAAGCAGGCAAAGTGAAGTTACCCGTTATATTCTTGGAGGCCTGCATTCTCCTGAGGGCCAGGATGGCTTTGTAGTTACTGTATCAGTTAGGATGTAGGCTAAGATGCTACAACAGAGAGGCCTTAAACAAAATGGTTTATTTCTCATGCATGTAATAGTCCAGATTTAACAGGGAGGTATTGTCATCTTCAGTGTATGACTTTCCTTCTTAAATCAAGAAATTTTCATTAATTTGGAAAGATGTTCCAAAGAAGACTAAATGAAGAAAACAGCCTGTATATGTGTATATGTGTGCATGTTATAAAAATCTGTATGTATAAACATATATTTTTATATATGAAACTTATACTTGTGAAATTATGTTTTTATATATCTATAAATCCCTATTTGTACGTATAAAATTATTTATCTGCAGATAAACAGACATGGATACATACATATGGAAAGATAAGTGGAAGCTCATCCATAAAAATATATGCAGTGGTTACATTAGGTCATTGGAATAGAAGTGATGTTTATATTTTTATTTGTGGTTTTTAAATGGGTGTGTATATGTTCAATTTTTGTAATGAAAAACTGTTCTTTAAAAGTAATGTATGCAAAAAGAAAAGCCTAGAAAAACATTTTTGAACAAGTTAGTTGTGGCTGTCTCCAGATGGTGATGTTTCATACAATTTTATTTTCTGAATTTTCTGTAATGCATATATATTATTTATAATCAGACCCCTGAAATCTTATTTATTTTAGTAATGATCTAAGGAATTCCTTTCTCTTAGACAGTGAAGAGTAAGTCTCATTCTCCAAATGATTGTCAATTTTGAATCAGTAGTTTTGTATAGTGAAATTTTTGAGTCCTATTATAAAAGTTATTTTCACCAATATATATATATATATATATATATTTTTTTTTTTTTTTTTTTGAGACAGAGTCTCACTCTGTTGCCCGGGCTAGAGTGAGTGCCATGGCATCAGCCTAGCTCACAGCAACCTCAAACTCCTGGGTTCAAGCGATCCTCTTGCCTCAGCCTCCCGAGTAGCTGGGACTACAGGCGTGCGCCACCACGCCCGGCTAATATTTTATTCTACGTATATTTTTAGTTGGCCAATTAATTTCTTTTTATTTTTTTAGTAGAGACGGGGTCTCGCTCAGGCTGGTCTCGAACTCCTGAGCTTCAGCGATCCTCCTGCCTGGGCCTCCCAGAGTGCTGGGATTACAGGCGTGAGCCACTGCGCCTGGCCAATCTATATATCTTATGTTATATCCAGTTTACATGCATGCCCCTTTGGTGCATGTGTACATTTTTATTTGGAAAGAAAAAAAGTAGTCGCATTCATTTTAAGAATGGGTGCTTTGAAAATAAAAAATTATTTGGATTGAATCATTATAATATTTTCATTTAAGCCTGTCTGTGTGTAGATAAATTCTAAGAGAATTCTTTCCAATGTAGAATGAAAAGTTGACCTTCCTAAAAGTAGAAAATGCTCTGGACATCTGCTTGAGGTTCCTTGTCTGGATGTATGAAGAAAGGGGATCCAGAATTGAACCTCGAGCTCCCTCACTTGCTTTTTGTCCAGCCTGTCAGCTGTTGTCTTGTTCACCTCTACATTTTCCCTGCCTGTTCCTAGATAACACCCCAGCTGGTGGTCAGTTGGTGGCAAGTAAAAAGAACAGGAATCTCCGAGGCCCTGCCAAGTTTGGAGGTAAGATAAAGTTTGTGCCACTTTCCTTAGCCCTGCAGGTCAATACGAATTTTGCTAAGGTTTTGAGGAACCTAGATCCTCTTCAATTTTTCACTAGTCAAGCTTCTTAGTCAATTTTAGAGTAGCAACATCTAAAACAGCAAGCCCCTTTGGAGTCGGGGTTGTATGTTGTTTGTATTTATATCATAGATCTTATCTGCCCAGGTTCCAATTTTCCCTCTGAGTTTTATCTGATTTTCATGGAAATTCCTCTGCCTGACATCACTGATTTATTAAAACGTCTGGACTTGGTAAATTGTAAATAGAAAACAAGTTTGTTACTCACTTTTCAAATCTTCCCTTTGGATGAACTCTTTCCTATCTTGGGCAGGTCCCATAGCTTTCCCATTCCCTTTAAATGGCAGTTAAGAGTGTCATGTCAGTAGTTTAGAGTGCTTTCTGACCTGATATTAAAACTTCAGTATTTTCTCCAATTTGGCACACCTCCCCTCCTTCAGCCTGGACCAGCCTCAGTCTGGGATGCATGCAGTAGGGGCAGCATAGTTAGTGTCTTCAATCATTCTCTCTTGGCTCTCCCTCTACTCAAGGGCTGCTGGTCCGGGCCGCAAAGTTTGGGGAGGTTGGAGAGAAAGGAGAGATGAGTGTGTGGAAGTGTCTCTCCTGGCAGGCACTGCTGGGAAATGACATTGGAAATGGAGGATACACAATCATTGTTCCTTCTTCCATGAGGTGCTTTCATCAATTCCATCACAAGGGAAGAAGAGGGGTTAGGCACTACAGCTTGATTGCTCCTGAAACAGTAGCCTTTCTGCTGGGGCCTGCCTGGGAGTGAAGGGGTGAAGGTGGCATAACCAATTCCACCAGCTCTTAGTCTGGTCATGTAGGTGGCCTGGTGCATGGCCTCAGGATGTGGGTGCTTGGAACTAAGGTGACTAACTGAATTTAGCTGCTTGGGACTTTCTCAGTTTTGCCAATGAAACTCCTGTGTCGTGGGTGTCTCCTTAGTCCTGGGCAGACCAGGACAATTGGTCACCCTACTTGGTACTCGTTGAATTGTTCCCAACTATTGGGGCTTGGAGTGAAATTTTGAGAAAACAAGAGGAAATTGAAACTCTGTTGCACTTACCTCTAGAGGTTAATTATACCAACCATAACAATTATTAGAGATAACTTTACATTGTATTCTGATCACCGCGGTATTTAGTAGGGTTTGTGATGGGATTTCATTGTTCTTAAGTGAGTATCATAGCCTGGGACACAATAGTAGTCGAATCCTGCCTTGCTCAGCTGCTTTATTTTGGGAGTAAAACACAGAGGTGTTGTATTATGAATTAGTGGATTTAAGGTCTCCCAGGAATTTACGCTGAAGGGGTTAGCTAAGTATATGTATTCAATAGGTTATAGGAGGAGTTATGAATATATACAAAGAGGTGGTGAGCTCTTACAAAGAGTAAGCTAACATGTACGCGACATGTTAGATCTCCCTATACCAAGCAATTTTAGATGCCTATATCTCCCTAACCATGCAATGTTAGATCTCCCTATACCGAGAGCTCCATGAGCTACAGTGGACTTCAATGTGTTTCTTTTTTTCCCCGAAAATATTAGGCCTAAACAGGCTTGATGAAAAATAAGTCCAATATACCCACCACTTTCAGAAAAGATGTAACCAGATAGAAACAGATAGAGAGAAAATAAGAACGAACTCTGTATTTGCTGGACTAGCCAGAGCTTAAGTGCCTGGGTGGAGTATAGGAGGGGAAAGAGCGGCAAGAATATGACATCTGGATCTCTTCTCCCAGTGCTGTGAGCATGGGCCCACCAGAGAGGAGGGAGGGGTGAGGGAGAGAGACCCAGAGATGTCTTGGCCTTCCAGAGTTCCACTGGCATCTTGAGTGAGGGAGGATGGGAGGAGAGCCCCTCAGAAAGCCAACCTGTGTGGATGATCTTCTACTGCTGGTGACCCCACCTTCCAGAGGGAAGAAGCAAGATGGAGCAAAAACATTACTCTGCCTCATTCAGGACCACATTTCCACCTTTTTAGTAGTTTTCCTTTAGCCCTTGGCTGTTAATACCCCAGCCTCCTACTTTGTTACATAAGTTTATTAAACTCTTTTAGAACTCTTGTTTGAGCACCTATTATCTTGGTTAAATATTAACGGGGTGATAACTTGTAAGATTGAAACTTATTTGATCTTGGGAGAAGATCTAATTAACAATGATCAATATTCATATGGGTCAATGGACCATTTTGGTCTTAAATAAGGGAAAGCCCTATTAGTAACTGTTTGGTCTGTCAACTGAAGAATCACAAGGCTTATAAATTTGGAAAGAAGAATTTCATTTCTCATAAAAGGTTGCAGCCTGCAGGCTGTCCACTCTGACAGGCTGGGACGCAGAGCCTGTGGCAAAGAGTAGAGACAGGTGCTTTAAGGGAGGAGAGGATTAGGCAGGAATTTATGCTGAAGGGCTTAGCTAAGTATATGTATTCAATAGGTCATAGGAGGAGCTATGAATATTTACAAAGAAGTGGTGCGCACATGCACAGTAGGCTAACATGTATGCAACATGTGTCCCATGTTCACTTTGGGGCGGACGCTTAACATTGAAATGTATGACAATGAGGCCCTGCATGTCAAAAGGTGGGGAAGCAGAGGACAGGAAGGCACTCTGCACTGCTTGTATAGACTGGCAGAGCCACTTTGTGGTCAGTGGTCTCTTATCAGGAAGGAGTGCTGGTCGGTTGTTATGTTGAAACTGCAAAAGGGGGAGCAGACAGGAGGTCAGTTGGAATTGGCTATGGAGCAAATCTTTCCAAAGGGCTGGTTTCTGTTGAACCCTCAGGAAAGAAAGCCTACTGGTGGTTAGCGAGGGAAGGGGGTGTGACAAGGTGTGTCTGACCTCTGATCCCATCATGGCTGGAAACTCAGTTTTTAAGGTTTCTCCGGGGTCCTTTTGGCCGAGAGGGGGTCTGTTCAGTCAGTTGGGGGGACTTAAGAATTTACTTTTATTTGTCAAGTCTGAAGATCAGAAAGTAGGGTTATGTTACAAAGTGATAGGTCCACTGGCAGTTTAATTGCAGTAAAGATTCTTTTTACTTTGCTGGCCTAATATGCTCGTAATATGCTTAGGATTTATTACAGGACTGAGTAGCTTGGAAAATATTTCCTCATGGGGTCTACATGACCCGGATCAGATGGTGGCCTTTGGATGGTGGACATTAAACACCAGAAAGACAGAAAAGTTTGTTTTCTTGCCTTAGAAAACAAAACACATTTGAATGATAGTAAACATTGAGATGCCCACCCACGGCCAATTAAGTTGCAAATGGAAGAACATTCTCTGCTATAGCATCTACCAAGTCATTTCTTCATTACTATTTGAAACAGGAGGTGTTGGAAGACTCAATTCTACCCACTCAGCTTGGTCAGGTTCGTTTCTGAGAACCTAGTGTGTCTGTCCAGACGCACATGGACACGGCCCGTGGTCACATTCGCCATCACTTTCAGCACAAATGTACGCATGTGTCCCTCACGGTGAGATGCGTGGCGTATGTCTCACCCGTGGGGCACCTACTCAGGTTTCCTTTAGCTCACAGAATTCTCATTTATTCTATCTCTCCTACTTAAAAAAAAAAACCCTAAAATAACTTCATTTATTTTTTGTGATTTGTCTCATTTTCTCTGAATACTTTCTGTATAGTTTCTGTAATGAGAACAGTCATCTTGTTGATCTCATACGTTTATCGCAAAGCTTAAATAAATTAGTAGATGCATAAGTGTTTGGCCTATATTGTTGCTTGAATATAAGTAAAATGTTAAGTTCAATTAGTGTTTTTTGTTTTTTTGGTTTTTTTTTGCTAACGTGGGATATAAAAAAGAAATATAAGGTGAACCTGAGATTAGCTATCTAATTCTTGGTAGCTTAAAGCTTTTTTGTGTGCATTAGATAGGCTTTTGGGAAGTTACTTTTAAATGCAAAAAGCGCTAATGTGTTCAGTGTAACTGCTCATCTGTGACTGTGATTAAATTTTTAATTTTCCCAGGGGAGGAAGAGAGGGAGACCTAGAATGCTCTTGACTCAGAATAGAGAACCCACAGAAAAGAGTCCGATCAAAAGGTAAAGAATTCTTGAAGTAAAGATTCTTACGTTTGGGGGATGGTCACGCTTGAAGCTCGATTTGAGGGGGGAGGAGGGCATGGGCAATATATGAACCTTAACATTTGTAACCCATACATAAATGCTGAAATAAAAAAAAATGGGAAAAAAAGATTCTTTTTACTTTGCTGGCCTAATATGCTTAGGGTTTATGGCATTTAGGACTGAGTAGCTTAGAAAATATTTCATCATGGGGTCTACATGAGCTGGGTCAGACAGCGGCCTTTGGATGGTGGACATTAAACACCAGAAAGGCAGAAAAGTTCGTTTTCCTGCCTTAGAAAACAAAACACATTTGAATGATAGTAAACATTGAGATGCCCACCCACGGCCAATTAAGTTGCAAATGGAAGAACATTCTCTGCTATAGCATCTACCAAGTCATTTCTTCATTACGATTTGAAACGGGAGGTGTTGGAAGACTCAATTCTACCCACTCAGCTTGGTCAGGTTCGTTTCTGAGAACCTAGTATGTCTGTCCAGACGCACATGGACACGGCCCGTGGTCACATTCGCCATCACCTCAGCACAATGTACGCATGTGTCCCTCACGGTGAGATGTGTGGCTATGTCTCACCCGTGGGCACCTACTCAGCTTTCCTTTAGCTCAAGGATTCTCATTTATTTCTATCTCTCCACTTAAAAAAAACCCTAAAATAACTTCATTTAATTTTATGGATTTGTCTCATTTCTCTGAATACTTTCTGTATAGTTTCTGTAATGAGAACAGTCATCTTCTTGACCTCATATGTTTATGGCAAAGCTTGAATAAATTAGTAGATGCATAAGTGTTTGGCCTATATTGTTGCTTGAGGTATAAGTAAAATGTTAAGTTCAATTAATATTTTGCTAATGTGGGATATAAAAAAGAAATATGAGGTAAACCTAAAATTAGCTATCTAATTCTTGGTAGCTTAAAGGCTAGAATTTAAAGCTTTTTTTGTGCATTTGATAGGCTTTTGGAAAGTTACATGTAAATGCAAAAAGCGCTAATGTATTCAGTGTAACTGCTTATCTGTGACTGTGATTGTATTTTTAATTTTCCCAGGGAGAAAGAGAAGGAGACCTAGAATGCTCTTGACTCAGAATAATAGAACCCCACAGAAAAGAGTCCGATCAAAAGGTAAAGAATTCTTGAAGTAAAGATTCTTTTTACTTTGCTGGCCTAATATGCCAGCAAAGAAGAAAAAAGGGATACACTTTCAATAACCAAACATCTAATTTCCTGTGCTTTACTCTGTATTTTTAGTAATAAACTTACTTCCTAATTGCTTTATGTAGCTGGACTAACTGTTGAGAAATATATTCCATTTAGTCATTTTCCAAAAGGTGTCAGTAGAGAAACAAGTAACTTGGTGATGCATCGACAACCAGACCTTAGGGGTCTGGGGGCCACTGCAGTGCTGCCTCCACTGAACCGATGAACTTCAAGGCTGGAAATAGATCATTGCTATACAAAGGGTACAACCTATAAGTTATTTAGTTGACCTTGCTCTTGCTACACAGAAAACCACAGGTTGCATACCAAGTAAACCAGAGTAGCCATCAGAGAGCTGTGTCCTAAGGCTTTTTCTTCTTCCTTTGACTGTGTGGGCTTGGGCTTATCACTTGACCTCTTTTTGCCTCAGTCTCCTCATCTGGAAAGCAAGAGGGTGAATTAGGCCAACCATCCTTCTCAGTCTATCCTCGTCCTAGCAGTCTACTTTTCTCAAAGTCAGTCTCAGGACAAAGGACAGTTCTCCTCCCCATCATGGCCTCTACGACTTTGGCTGGAAGGGTGGGATTAGCGGCTCACCCTCCTGGAGTTCCTTTGAAGACCATTCATCACTTCCATTCCTTTGAAGACCATTCATCACTGTGAAATCAGGTCTCCAACCCTTGCTCTCCCACCGTATAATCTTCAGATTATTCTAGAGCTCCCCTGAGCTCCTCTCTCAGCCGCAAAGAAAGCAGACACAAGGGAGAAATGAAGCAAAGCAGAGACAAAAATAGAAGGCAGACACCATCTCCGTTAGGTTACCCTGTGGTTACCCTCTCCCGGCCTCCCTGCTCACCCAGTCAGTGCTCAAATGTGGAGATGGGAGGAGTACAGTCTCTGGCTACCTACTGCAGCAAAACAGCATAGCTGGAGAGCTCCCGTCAGAACCGCGACAGCCACTGTATGTTTCATTGTCATCTAAGAATAAGTGGGGCTTACTAGATTGGGAGTTAAAACAGTTTTATTAAAGCCTAATTGCTCTGCTAAAGCATTCTATTTTGTGTAAAATTTGAGGGGTGAAATTGGGGTAGACGTTCTGTGGTTATGCATCAAAATCGCCACTTGGAAGAAAGATTTTGAAACTCTAGAGCTCTGCGGAAGAGTTTCCTAAGGACTCCTCTGTCTTCATAGGAATGACCTCAATAAGGGAGGAGGGGGCTTGTGCATTTGCAAAGTGGGACAGAATGAAGAAATCCTCTCTTTCAGCCTCAAGAATGCACGGAAATGAAACTGTGGATTTTGAGGCTCCTTTACTTCCTGTGACCTGTGGTTCGGCAAAGGGTATTTTACATAAGGAGAAATTGAAACAAGGTGGGTTTCATGGTCTTTAATTTGTAACTCCTATGTAAAGACATCGCAAGAACTGGTAGAATTACTCATGGGGACACACATCATTCAAGGACTTTGAGTCCCAGTTTGGCTTGAGAGGAGAAAGGACTCTCTAAGATGACATTTTCATACTTTAAGAAAGCACACATGTTGGATGCCCACTTCCACATGGCAGTGTCCTTGGGGGTGACCAAAGAGCCAAAGGGAAGTGCAGGAACTTCCATTCATAGAGGGAAAACATCATACATCTTACGTTGAATCAGACATAAAAGGGACCAGGCCCTCAGCCTTTACCTTTATAACCTCTCTCCCTTCTGGATCATTGTCACCAAGGAAGAGCACTTGGCATAGTGAGAAAATCACAAAATTTAGAATTAGGAAACCTGAGTTCCATCCTCAGCTATGCCAAGAGTGACTGTTCTTTTATGATTAGAGAAGGGGACCTTTCTGAGTCTGAAATTTCTTGTCTGAAAAGGGTAACAATAATTAAAAACCTGCCTCCTCGTGTAGCTATTAAAGTTAATTTACATATTGACATAAAACATTTTGTGATTGTGAATTTTGAAACTTTGCAAAAAATGTCTGTTATGATAAACCTCATCTCGTCCCTCTTTTAACATGGCTCTTTGAACACCAATTAATATACATGTTTGCATTGTGACTATTTTTTAAACAGCTTTACTAAAATTCACATATCATACAATTTACCACTCAGAGTGTACAAATCAGTGGGGATGTTTTTGTATATGCATAGGATTGTACAACCATCACCATCATCTAATTTTAGAAGATTTTTGTCTCCCACTAAAGGAAACCTCATGCCATTAGCAGTCAATGCCCATCCCCACCTCACCCCACCACACATCCCTAAACAATCGCTGATCTATTTTCTGCTTTATAAATTTGCCCATTTTAAGTATTTTATATAAATACATGCCCTTTCATGACTGGCTTCTTTCACTTCCCATGATGTTTTCAAAGTTCATCCATGTAGCAGCATGTATTAGTACTTCCTCCTTTTTATTGACAAATAATATACCAGCATATGGCTGTACCACATTTTGCTTATCCATTCATCAGTTTGAGTTATTTTCACTCTCTGGCTGTTATAAATAATGCTGTTTTGAACATTCATGAACAAGTTTTGTGTGAATATGTGTTTTCAGTTATTTTGGGTATATACCTAGGAGTGGAATTGCTGGGTCATATGGCAATTCTATGTTTAACTTATTGAGGAACCACCAAACCACTTCCCACAGAAGCTGCACCATTTTATATTCTCACCAGCAACGTATCATAAAGGCTCCAATTTCTCTATGTACTCACAACACTTGTTATTGTCTGTCTTTTTTATTACGGCCATCCAGTGGGTATGAAGTGGTGTCTCGTTGTGGTTTTGCCTTGCATTTCACTAATGATTAATGGTATTAAGCATGTGAGAAACTGCTGGATAACATTTCACAATTGTTTTTTTTTAATATTGGATGCCCACGATGACAGGGATGGGAAAATCTCTGCTCAATAATGCCATTAAACTGGATGAAAGATGTTGTCATAGAGAGTGTGGGATGCTGCTGTGGTGACCTCCTGAGTCACAGGGCACCGCCCATCTGAGACCTCCGCCCTAACTCGAGGATCTGCCTCCTCATTGTCCCCGAGCCATCAGGAGACTCCGGCCCGGCCCGGCCTCCACCCCCAGAATCCAACAGTGAATTGAAACTCTCTCCTCCTTCGTAATCACTTGCCTTTACTCTTATGGGAGATTTTGAAATACTTTTAAAAGATCACTCTTAATGATAATGATCACTTTCTTCATTTATGAAGGTCAAAGAAATGTGTACCTGCACCAGGAAATCACCCTTGAGAGGACTTTCAGGCTGGGTTTGGGGTCCCTGAAGTCTGAGAGTGGAGGCCAGACTCTCTTGCCATTGATCTTGGTCACAATTTGAGTGGCTCTAGGACCCATGTGGTGGTGGCGGGGGAGAGGGGGCTGTCTTCTGAGCTCTGGGGACAGGGAGGGCTCAGGATCAACTTACCCTGGTCTTACAGGATCCTGGGTGAAGTGTATACAAAGTAAAGGCGGACACTGGCTGACCCCTGGGGAATTTGAAAACAAAGGCGGCCACGCAAGAGCAAAATCCTGGAAGATGAGTGTGCGCTGTGGCGGGTTTCCCCTGCGAAAGCTGATTGAGGTATTCCAGCGACAAGGGGCGGAGGCGAGACGTGTCCTTCTTTGTTGCACTCTAATGATAAGGTCACTTTTTATTCACCAAATAGCTGTTGGTTTATAAATAAAGCCCTGATGCCAGCGAGTTTATCCTCTCACTCAGGCGAGAGAGAGGATTCGTAACCACAGCACAATGCAGCACATCAGTGTGGTAAAGGGTGCTCAGTCAGGATAGATGCAGGAGCTTCCAGGAGGGAAAGGTCATCCTGACTAGGGTGCATGCAGATAATTTGTGCACTGAAAGAAAGTTCTCAGAAAATCAATAGTCAAACGAGTGGAAGAAGGTACTCCAGAGAAAGAATGGCATGAAAACCAGAACCATGGCAGAAGTAGCTCTGCGGATTTAGGTAGACAGATTGCGTGCAAAAAGGCATAATCCCTCCATTAGTGTTGTTCACAGAGAGCTCTAATGCCAGGCTGAGCAGTTCAAACTCATAATCTAGACGGCAGGGAATCAGTGAAATCTTCTGAGGCTGAAAATGGCATTTAAAACAGTATTTTAGACAGCCGTGGGGCTTTGGAATGACTTCATTATCTCTGCACCTAGCAAACCTTTATTCAATCTGCAATGATCAACTCAAATGTTACCCCTCCCTAAATATTCATCAACTGACCTGGTCCCTGGTCATCTCTCCCCTGGGCTCCCTAAGCTTGACACTAAGACCCTATTACACTGCCTTATCCTTCCAACAGTTCTCTTTTTCTCTGTAGACCCCTCTAGCTTTGTCCATTTTTGTGTGCCCAAGATTGATCAGAGTGGCTGACACCCAATAGGTGTGCAATAACTGTATGTGGACTGGATAGCCCTTGTGTGGGGACTCCAGCCAGAGTGTCACTGGTAGGAATGGAAAAGAGGTGATAGGTGTATGAGAGATTGTGAGGAAAAACCTCTTAGGAAGAAGCACAAGAGAAGGAGAAATGGTTCTAATGATGATTTTCCAGCCTCCGTTGATTAAAATCTAGAAGAAGTGCAGGAATACAGGCGAGGAGAGGGAGATGGCTTCTCGGTTAGACACCATGGGTTTGAGCTGTTTGAGCTGTTTGGGTGGAACATCCAGGTAGAAATATTTGGGAGGCAGTGGGAAATGCCAGAATCATAAAACAGAAACAAAGCCTGACCTGGATCTTTTTATCTTTCAGGATGGATTTCTACCCAATCCTCCACGAATACATTGGCGGAGAAAAAAGGTGACTATTACACAACTTTCTACAGGTTCTTGTCACATAACTGATTTTACATGTACAGCATCTTATTTTATGGGCTCTCAATTGGGTGATTATAATTAAGCTTCCACCTTCTCCAGTTCCTTCAGAGTTGCTGCTTTGAACACTATGTTGTATATAAAGCTAGGTCTTTTTTGAATATTAGGCCAGTTGAGGTGGAGATGACAAGGAGCCATCAAAGCCTCCCAGATGTGTTGTAGTAATAGATGTAGATGTTTTAAGGGTGCCAGAGTCGGAAGAGCAAACACGATCATGGAACACATAAAAATATTCCATAACAAGGTGGGGGGATCAGTTTCAACTTGAACCCAGATTTTTTTCATTAATTTCACTGTTTTCTAACTTTAATGAAATCTGATGAAGCAAAAGTTTGCTCACTCATTTGGTACATATATGAAACTGTATATCATTTCATGAAATGGGCAACAAAAACAAACATTTCTTTTCTGGTCCTTCACATTCTCTTCTACCTTTCCATAAAATGTACATGCAGTCATACTCAATGAGAAATTATTTGCCCTTCATGAGGATGGTGCTATTGGGGAGGAAGGTCTTGGGAGGTAGAAGTATTTTGAAGGACTGACCTCTTTGGCTCCACCAGAGGGGCTGTGCAGACCACCTTTTATCTGTGAAAATGATTTTTCTCTCTTCTGAAGAAGGCAACAAACAAATAGGTTAAGCACAGTGTAGATTCAGGACAAGGTGATGTTTCTTTCGAGTCTGGGTATGCATGAGAGTCTGGGGAAGGAAGGGAGGGGAAAAGTGTCATCCTTATACACTTGGTAGAAATGTCCATCGAAGACATTCATAGGCTTCTAAAACAGCTCACGCATAACTAACTAGCTACTAGAATTCATATTCAACTGGCATTTGAGATCTAGGCCTTTAAATTTTCTGGTGTTCTGGCTGATTTGAACTCTCAGCCTCTGGGACATTTCATCCACTGGGTTTCCTGAAGGGAAATTATTATTCAACCTATTCAGTGAGTGCACTAAAGACCAGCATCCCCACCTTTCCCCCGGTGTCAGGAGTGACCTAGCTGGAAACTTCCAGCAACAGAATGGGTGCAACACTTTGCAGCAACAAGCTGCAGTTGCCGCTATATTTTGTGTCTCCTCATGGGCAAGCACAGAAGATCCCCAAAGTGGCAGATCCCAGGATCCATTCCTATCTCCACGGATCCTCTGCCCCTCTCAGAACTTCTCTTGCTTTCAGAACCACTTGCCTTCTAGAAACTTCAGTGTCACTATCAGCACCACATGATAGCTTATTGTCTCATAACGAGGGCCACTTAACCCTTCTGCTGATAGCTACGAGGTAATCTGATAATCTGATGTATACACCCAGAACCGTCACTTACTATATGCTAGTATTTGCTTAAGCAACTCCAGTAGTCTCTAAGTGAAACAATATTCATTTATTCACCCATTCAACATACTATATAATTATTAAGCACATACTAAATGCCTAATGGCCATTTTAGAGAAGATTGAACTCCAGGATTGTTTCAATTTTATTATAAACATGAATGAATAACTAATGAGGTGGGGTGGAGATTCTAGGCCAGTCAGAGAGGCAGGCAGGGAAAGGTCACCTCTCAGGTGATTATTCCTTGGATCACACTTGTCTTTGGCCTTTCTGCCCTGGGCTAGACGTAAAAGCTGAAGCTTCTGTATCACAGAAGGGAAGGATGGCCAGCCATGCTATCGGATATTCAAAAGCAAAATAGATAAATCTAGCGGGTCACCTCTGAAAAGTCACCCAGCCTGGTATTTTCTTGGGATTTCGATAGAGGGGAGAGGAGGAGACCTTCAGGAAGAGGAGCTGCAGCACTGGGGACCTTGGAAGCATTTTGTCTTCAGGGCTGTGTCCCTGGCAGAGCTGCAGAAAGCAGTGGAGTTCTTCCTTGGGACACTGGCATGCCTCCAGAACTCAGGGCTCTGTGATCACTAGGGGTTGAGTCCTCAACCTGATTCCCATTGCGGCCCTGCTGGATGGGATGACAAGTCCTGGGCAGCCAAGGTGACGAGAGTTGCCTGAGGGGACAAGTAGAGTTTTTCCAACTCAGCCTGTGGAAACCAGGGCCAGACTCCCTGCACAGCTTCACAAAGGCCCGCTTTGGGTCTGAGAGCCCGGGAATGGAAACTTCACTGGGCCAAACAGTGGTCCTTTGTAACTTTTTGTTCTCTTAGTAGATAAACAGGTCTATAAAATTAGGTATGAAATAGGGCCAGGTGCGATGGCTCACGCCTGTAATCCCAGCACTCTGGGAGGCCGAGGCGGGTGGATTGCTCGAGGTCAGGAGTTCGAAACCAGCCTGAGCAAGAGTGAGACCCCCATCTCTACTATAAATAGAAAGAAATTAATTGGCCAACTAATATATATAGAAAAAATTAGCGGGGCATGGTGGCACGTGCCTGTAGTCCCAGCTACTTGGGAGGCTGAGGCAGGAGGATTACTTGAGCCCAGGAGTTTGAGGTTGCTGTGAACTAGGCTGACGCCACGGCACTCACTCTAGCATGGGCAACAGAGCAAGACTCCGTCTCAAAAAAAAAAAAAAATTAGGTATGAAATAAAGGGTAGACTGTGGAAAAAAAAACAACTTCAGACAAATAACAAAATTTATTTGAGCAAAGAGAAATTCACGAATCAGGCAGCACTCAGACCAGAAGAGGTTTAGAGATTTAGAGAGTTTTGGTACAGCAGCCTAGACAGTGAGGCTGACATGCAAGTAAACAAAGAAAATATATTTGATTGGTGAGAGCAGAAAGACCCTAATTAGAGGTTAGCTGACAGTTTCTGACTGGCGAAGACTCTAGTTTCATTTTACTGTTTATGCTGAGCTTTGGTTTGCTTACGTAGGAAATTAAAGTGCTGCAGTCACCCCAGCCTAATGGTCTTCCCTACCCAAATATTTTTAACAATTGTTTTTTGAATCTCTCAAAAGATGACTGTTTAAATAAGTGATAGATGCAAACATCACATTCAGTATTGTCACTCAATTTTTTTTTTCTTTTCAGCAGAGTGCAGTGAAGTCTAACAACAATACCTTAGCTGACCCTTATGTAAGTATAAGTTCTCAACTATGACCCCAGAATAGTCCAGGCCTTTCCCCAGGCACATGATCGATGTCATTTCTGCTTTTCCCTGAAGCATGCTCACTCTCAGTTGGAGCATGTCACTGTGTGTGATGAGCAAAGCATAGCAGGTGCATCACCTAAGTCAGGAGGATGGGTCTGGGGTCGGTGTCTCAATGGAAAGCATCCTTTCCATTTGTTTCCATGGAAACCTTCCCATTTCCCCTGGACAATGAGAATTGGAGGCTGAGCTCTAGACCACTGTGGTCTCTAGAGGTGGAGTGTGAAGTGATAATGGGCGGGGCTGGACTGCTAACCAGGGGCAGGAGCAAATGCGAGAGGACAGCAGCATTTTCAAGGAGGCAGTGGGGATGGGAAGGAAAATCCCAAAGATCCACTCAAAGGTGCAGATTCAAGACTGAAGCATCAGCCAGAAGGAACAGGCCAGGCCTTGCTGGTGAGTTCAAGGTGGGCCCTGTCATTAGTCCTGCATGCAGAGCACATGGATCCTTTATGAAGCCCCTGGGGCCAGTCTCGAGGGAGCCATCAGGGTTCTGAGATGGTTAGGACTAAAACCATCACCACTTAGCAAACCATGGGGCATTTTTACCCTAACAGCTTGGAGATGCTCTATAATGTGCAAACCTTCTGATCCCATGGGCCCCATCCTTTCTCTGCTTGCCATGTGGCTTCCTCCTTGGAGTCTGCCAAAATCATGGATGATCCTCCTGTCTAAATGAAACATACTTTGATTCTTTTCATTGCAGTGAGATGGAAATTTTAGGCAAGGTCAGCTTTTTGCACAACTGCAGGGGGCAGCACTCACATGGGCTCTCATGTGGTAGTATTGATACATGCCACTCAACAGAGAAGGGCGAGTCAAATATTTTACACACACTTCACCTCCAAAGCAATACCCCGACAAGATTTAAATCTTATCCTTACTGGTTTTGACCCTTGGCCAACTGAGGGAGTCTTCAGTAGTCAAAGAAGCCCAGGAGTCCAGTGTTTGTGCAGTTTGTTTGGGATGGACGAGACACAGAGGGTTAGGTCTCATAGCCCACAATAAACAATCTGTGGGAGGGAGAGGGAAACTGTTCCAGCAAAGATATCCATACTCATGTTAATAGTCTTTCCTGGGACAGATATTAAGGCTAATCACAAAATTGACTTATAATATCCCCCCCCCACAAACCAGACTTTGCTCCAGATAAATTTTTTTTTTTATTTTTTTTTATTTTTTATTTTTTTTTTTATTTTTACATGTTTCTCTTTCAGGGTACAGATAAATTTTTAGTTAATCTTCCCATGGAATTACCTGAAGAGCTTTCAAAAATATTATTGCCTGGCTCCCACCCTTAGAGGAAATTCTGATTTAATCAGTCTGCACTATGTATGATTTGGATAGGAGGATTTTTTTTTAAGTCCCCAGATGATTCTGATATACAGAATTATCCATTATATGACCTGAAGAAAAATATCAGTGCTTACACCCCAACCCACTCTGATTGATTCAGAATCTCTGGTTTTGGGAACAGGACGGTAGTATTTTATATACGGTCCCCAGATGATTCTAATGTGCGCCTGGTCTGAGAACCAAGGATCCAAAGAATCAAATCTCCTATTAAAAAGATTAGGGATGCAAGATTTTTAAATATTTGTTACTCCAGTCCCACCCTGGCTTTGGGGGATGGTTGAACACATGACATCTAACCCTGGACAGACGAGCTCGACAGCGGTTTATTAGTCACCTGTACTCATACCCCTGGGGGAGGCGGGCACCACACAGCACACGGGGCCATGCAGGGGCTGCACTCCGGAACAGAGGGAACAGCCAGTGGCTCTGGAGGGTGGGGGCCCCCAGTTCCTGAGGGAGGCTGTGATTGACTTGTTTGAATAATTCCGTGGCTGGCAGGGAACTGAAACCTGCTAGTCAAGAATAAGCAGAAGTTGCACATGGTCTCTTTGATGAAACCTTGTGTTTAGGGGACCTTATTTTCAGGAGCAGAGCTGGGGAGCAGCATGTGGACAGGCCATTCTAGGCCCTCCCAGTTTTACCAGATGTCCAGGAAGCACATAACATTGAGCTGTAATTTTAGTCCTCATGTCGCTTTTCCCTTACAGGACAAAGGGCTCAGTCACAGACCAGTTCTTTGTCCTGAATACATATATATTTGTGTATAGTACAGTGCATATGTATTGATCTCTTTATATTCACTCCATAAATTCTGTTGGCGTTTGACTGATCCAGATGGTTGACTAGATATAGGTAGTCCGTGCCTCTTCCATAGAGAGGAAATAGAATGGTAAGCAGATTCGGACATTTCAAACAGATTGTCTGGGAGATAATGCTAAGATTCATCAGCAAAGCAATGGCAAGCACCAAAGGTGGGTAAAGAGAGCATTCGGGACAACTTGCCTAGCTGGGGACTGCCTAAGAGCCAGGAGAAGTTCTTGGACATGGGGAAACAGTAAGAGAGAAACCCATAAAGCTCCACACTCCAAGACAAGCTTTGACACTCTTGGCTACAAGAGAATCCCCCAACCCATGCAGGTCTGCAGCTTAATGTGGAGCTGCTTAGAGATCTTAGAGATTGCCCGGAGTCTGTGCTCCAGAAAGGGAACCCACGTGGAATCCTATAGACATCCAAGCCTAGAGCAGCTTGAGCCGGGCACCATTCCGAGAGCCCAGATACCAGGAACCTGTGGGCACACCTGCAGCCACTGCATGGCTCTGAGGAGGGATAGAGGATCCGGGCTCTCCCACGCACCCCTGGAAAGGTCCCTACAACCCTGCTGTGGGCTGCTGTTGAGATGGATGTGAGTGAAATGAGATATGAGTGAAAATCATTTCCCACAATTTCTCACCCACACTGCTTGCCTGCCCCAGCCTTTCCAGTCACAGGTCCAAGCCACCACTTTGAGAGTTTGACACTGGGCTGTGACCTGCCCTCATGTTGACTTTGGGCTGACACAGCTGCAGCTCCTGCCCAGCCAGGGAGGGACAGGGAACCAGGCTTCTGAACACGCATCTAGGACAATACCCACCATCCTGCAAGAGGGTGCTGTGAGACTGAGTCTCAAGCGAAGTGTACCCCCCACGATTTCCTGCCAATGTGTCAATAGCCTGCCCGAGAAGGGACCTACCATCTCTGGTCACAGCCCCAAGGCACCATTTTGGGAGCTTAAAGCTGGGCAGTGCCCCACCCTCTGGTTGAGTTCAGGCTGAGGCAGCTGCATCTCTGCCCAACTGAGGAGGGACAGGGGAGCTCAAATTTCTATACACACCTAGGACATCTCCCACAGCCCTGCTATGGGCTCCTGTGAGACTGAGATGTGAGTGGACCACATTCCCCAGAGTTTCTTGCCCATGCTGCTCACATGAAAGGGGCCCTGCCATATTTGATTGCACTTCCACACCTTACATGCCAAGTTAGCTAAGGCATGGGGGGGGGTCTTCGCCCGAGGCTCCCAGAGCCAAAGAGCTCTGTGCTCCCTGGCCCCCACCTGGTCATCTGTACCCAGGGTCCATCCACCCCAGAGACAGGCCCAGAGCCCTACAGGCACAGAACCCACAGTCCAGGAATCCCTGCCCTGCCCTTTTCTTCAACTCATGGGGAACTTATGGCTGAGAATGTAGAATACAGTGATAGCTCCATTTATTACATTATATTTAATACTCTTTATCTCCTTTCTAAGAGTCAATTTCATCATTGTGGCATAGGCAAATGGATTTAACACTTTTTTTTTTTAGGATCTTGTTTTATCTGCAAGATAATAAAATTATTCAGATTCCTATAAAAATTGTCACCTCGTTTTGTCGCTCGTCTTTTTGTGTTAGACTCTGGTTTTATAAGGAAAACTTTTCTGTCCTGATATCCAGCCCCTTCCTCCTGAACGTCACTGCAGACTAGGATGTCATGTTCTGAAGTCTGCACTCCATGCTGTTTCTTAGTATCCCAGGGAGAAGCACATAAGTGTCCGTGCAGGTCCATGCAAAGGCAACGTGCTCTAGAGTCCCACAGCGGTGGCCTTCCAGGGGCTCACTGGTCCCAGTGACGTGGATGTTGTTTCCCCTTCTAGCTGGGAAACCTGGATGAATGCGAGGTGTGCCGGGATGGAGGGCTTCTGTTCTGCTGTGATACTTGTTCCAGAGCCTTCCACGAGGACTGTCACATCCCGCCTGCGGAAACTGAGAGGTGAGTGACATGCAGTTCCCTCTCTCTTCCCTCCTTCTACCACCATTCCTCTGGCCACATGCCCCTCCGCCCCCAGAGCGCCTGCTGTGTCTAGATGGGGGAAGGAGCAGGCTGCTTGGGTCCTGGGGCCCAGCGGTATGATCCGGAGAGCTGTGTGACAGGCTGGCAGCAGGAGGTTAATGCGCTTTGTGCTGTCAGGGGCACCTCCTGTGGGATGCCGAGGCTGGTGACAGGACCCGCTCCTCTGCCGCATATTGTTGCTGCCCTTTCCTCCAACTTTTGCATCAGGGACTCCTGCCCAAGGGCGTTCAAGAGCAGGAAACACCAATTGTTTTTACTTTGTGCTTATTCACAAAAGACAGGAAGCATGGCCTGGTCCCACATTTTACCACAGTCTCTTCAGACCCATCCCCCACCCCCAGGTCCCTGTGGGTTAAAGCTCAGTTTCCAACACTCAGGCCTGGCAGGTGGGGCTCCTTGTGCCCCCAGCAGCTCAGGCAGGGAAAGGAGAGCCACCACTCTGGCCCCACCTTCCTCAGACCACCCGCCAGCTGCCACGACTGACGGGAGGGAGCCATCAGTGCGAGACCTCATGGGGGGTCTTGGGCGCTCTGGGAGGTGTCCCCCATGGCTGAGCCCCTCACCCGTTCCTAAAGGAGGACAGTGGCAGCCACAAGAACGGTGGCTGTTGCCAGGGCCCTTGCCCTCTGCTGACCTTATGCCCAACCTGTCAGGACCCCGTGGAGTTGCATCTTCTGCAGGATGAAGGAGTTTTCAGGAAGCCAACAGTGTCACCGGGAATCCGAGATCCTGGAGAGGCAGATGGGGCCCGAGGAACAGCTGGTGAGTCAGATAAGAACCCCCAGGCCTCTCCTTTCTCTTCCCATGTGAGAAGCGCAGACAGGCACAGGGCTGGGGGCATGGCATCCCCAGGGAGCCTGCTCTCCTAGCCACACTGCGATCACACTGAGATAGCACCACAACTTGTTTGCTGAAAAAATAACTCAGCCGTTACATTTCTGTTTCCAAGAGCCACACATGTTGAGGAAACTTCTGGAAGGTGGGTGTGAGCCATGCTTTCTGCCTGGGTGTGTGTATGGGCTCATTCCCTCCAAGTTGCTTTTCGTTTATAGCCTCCTTCTTTTGCAGAAATGCGAATTCCTCCTCTTGAAAGTCTACTGCTGTTCTGAGAGCTCCTTTTTCGCCAATATTCCATATTATTATTATGTAAGTAACACTAGCAAGCCATGATGACAGGCTGCCGTGGCGTTGCATGACTTGTAACGTTAAATGATCTTGATCCCCTGGGGGCCAGAGGGCAAGCTGCGGTTACCTTTACTGTGTTGTGTGTCTGCTGGATTTCATGGGAACCCACGCAGGTTAGACACTGAACGATGCTGGTCACTCTCCTGTCGGTATTTTTGCCACCAGATTAGAGAGGCTTCTCAAAGCCTGAAGGAACCCATGTGGCTGAACAAAATCAAGAAAAGGCTGAATGAGCAGGGTTACCCCCAGGTGGAGGGGTTTGTGCAGGACATGCGCCTCATCTTCCAGAACCACAGGGCATCCTACAAGGTAAGTGGCTCTTTCTGCTTCCATTTCACGTCCTTTCCATTTCACGTCCATTGAGTTGCCCTCATTTCCTGGTGCCTGGAAAGTTTCAGTGTCCCTCCTCCTGTAACAAGCTTGCACAAGCAAAGGTTCTGGAAGTGGTCTTACCTTATACACTTCCGTACCTCAACTGCTATAAAGAACGTAGATTACTTTTCTAACTCTTCATGGAAGTAAACAACAAAAGCCAACTAAATGATAGTCCCCAACTGTGGTAATGGTTTCACTTTTCTGTCTAGTTAGTAAGAAATAATCAAGCTTGTAGGAAGCAGAAGTTACTCTTCGCTGCATGCGTTTTCAAGTTTAACCTGGTTAATGTGACTGGTGTTTAAGGCAAGAGTCCTAGTTAATATTGGTGAGTGCATTGTACATTTCAAAATTGTTTAGAGAGTATATTTCAAATATTCTCACCACAAAAAATGGTAAGTGTTGAGGTGACAGATATGTTAATTAGGCTTGATTTAATTTTTCCACATGGTATTTATAATCCACAGCATCACTTTGTGCCCCCAAATATATACCATTATAAATTATCAATTTACAGTATTTTTATTTTCTTTTTAAAAAGACAAGAGTCCTGATCACTCTCAATTACAAGGTGTCTAATGACACAAGTAATGAGTATCACTATTTTTGTGTTTATTGTTTTTTTCCAGTACAACAATTTTGGCCAAATGGGACTTAGACTGGAGGCTGAATTTGAGAAGAATTTTAAGGAAGTGTTTGCTATTCAGGAGACAAAAGAGAACAGTTGACTGGTGTGGTGGATGCTGAAGAAGTCCAGGACATGGGGCCCCCAGAGTATGCTGCTGCTCACGTCAAACTGGGGAATAGCAAATGCAGAGAGGGGCTTACCCTTAGCTCCCCCTATCTGCTCGGTTGTCAGGTAGTCCCTCCCTGGGGATCTCGTCAACCAGGGAAGATTACTGCGATCACAAGGAAGGAGATTGGAGGTGACACAAACCCAGGCCACATCTCACCTCTTCTCCTGAGGGCTGCTCCAGACAACTCCTATATCCTGCAAGACCACCACAAGGCCACCTGTAACTGTCACACTCTACCTTCCCTCACCCGCCCACAACTGCTGCTGAATTATAAACAGAGATTCTTAGTAGTATTCCATTCAATGACCTCCACCGACCCACGCTGCTCCTGTACTGTACATTCCATACGATAAATCGATGTATTTTTTATAGACGCATCAATTTAAAGATATGAGATCCATCTTTTCGTCCATGCGGAAAACATTGCAATGGTATCGTATCTATCAGTAAATGTGAAAGGTTATAGACTACATGAGGTAAATGGCTGTCCTCTCGAGTCAGAGCTTCAGCGCGTCCGTCCTGACACATGCACATTGCACTATAATGTATATATGCCATCCTTACAGATATTTCTTGATAAATTCATTATTCTCTTTAAGCAAGACTTTATTTTACTTGCTCCAATCTCACAAAACATAGTCCCATCAATACACTTCCACCTGGCTCTTTTTAGCTCTTCCTCTCTTTGGCTCCATACACCCAAGGTCCGCAGCCATAAACTACTTTATATTTTAGGGTTTGCTGTCTCCTTCGAAATTAAACATACTTATGGTTAATATTTATATAATAACTTGTCTTTACGAAATCACTGTAAACAGACCCTGTGAGTTGTAATGCATATGACACCGCTACACAGGTTACCCTATCGAGGTATGCTCTTCCCCCAACGATCTACTATTTTCTGCGGTGCCCGCATCACGCGAAACATCCCTCAGATGGGTCTACACCCCCATCCTTCTTCTCCTTCTTCATCCCCAAGTATCACACGATTATACACCCAACATGACTTAGATTGCCAGAATTCCAGCACACTGTAATCCCCCCATCCTCCAGACATTTTTTACATCCCTGGTGACACAACCCACCACCAACATAACTACTGCCCACACACCATGATAATCGTGATCAGGTACCGAACGTGATGGCGAGTCCCAGGTGAGCTCAATTATGTAGATCCAATTGCGTGAGCTAATGCGGCGGTGTCACCTACGGCTGAGTGAAGGCAGCCTCACTAACGCAGCATTTTCCTGGATCATCAGGGAAATCTCTCCAAGTAGATGAGGAACTGTATAAGCTGCAAATCGAGTAATATTATTATTCGAAGAGCGTCTGGGATTGCTAATCTCGCTTGTTGATGTGATTCTTAAAAGAATGCTGATCATGAATAAAAGCTATGTTATTGTACCTACAAACAGGTACTACCAAATTTATAACCAGTCATGAATTGACAGGCACTTGGGTTGTTTCTACATCCTTACAATAGTGAATTGTGATGCCATAACATTCAGGTACAGAGTCTTTATAATAGAATGTCTTGTGCCTTTTGGGTGAGCCTAACAATGCTATTGCTGGTCGAATGGTATTTCTATTTTCGCTGTTTGAGGCATCTCCAATTCTTTCTACAAAGGTTGCACTAATTTGCAGTCCCATCAGCAGTGTAAGAGTGTTCCTGTCTCCACATACTCGCCAGCATTTGTTGTCTTGGGATTCCTGATACATGCCAATCTCACTGGAGTTAGATGATATCTCATTGTGGTTTGATTGCATTTCTCATGATTAGAGATGCGAGCATTTTTTTATAATGTTGCAGGCCATTATTCTGTCTTCTTTGGAAAAGTTTCTGTTCATTTCCGTTGCCATTTCTTGATGGGTGTTTTTTTCTTGTTAAATCTTTTGAGTTCTAGATAGATTCTTGTTTCAGACCTTTATCGGAAGTGTAGAGGGCAAATTATTTTCTCCCACTCTGTAGGTTGTCTATTAGCTCTAATGATAGTTTCTTGGCTGAGCAGAAGCTTTTTAGTTTGATCAGATCCCATTTGTTATTTTGTTGCTGCGTGATTGCTTGGGGCCTTCTTCTTCAAAAATTCTTTGCCTAGGCCAATGTCAGAAAGGGCTTTCCCAACATCTCTTCTAGGATTCTTAGGGTTCATGCCTTAGGTTTAAGTCTGTTATCCATCTATGGTGATTTTGTGAGAGTGAGAGGTAGGAGATCCTGATTCATTCTTCTCCATGTAGATCTCTAGTTTCCCAGTACCATTATGGAAGGTAGATTCTTTTCCCAATGTAAATTTATATTTATGTTCTTGATCCAGGATTGCCCCAGATCAATCTTCCAGCTCCTGCTGACACATATTGGCAGACCTGCCGCGCTCCTTTGCAGCCTGTACCTCCGTTTCCATGCAGCCCGGACTTGCCCAGTCGGTTAAGCTGAGAGGCCTCTGCAGCGTACCCAACAAAAAATGGGTGGGTGGAGTGGGGTGGTCGGAGCTCTCTCTTGCACAAGGGGAAGGGACTTTTCTGAAGCCAGTGATTCTAGGGGTATCTGGAGCTCAAGTTCTCATGTGTCTCTACCTAGATAACCCCATTCTGATCTAAGGCCCTGACTTTAGCATAAGAGACCATCCTGAGCTTAGGATTCAGTCTTCTGAAGTTCTGCCATTCTTAAGATTAGGCCTGTGCCAGGCTTTCCACACTGTCTGCCTTCCAGTTGCAGGTAGGAGTGCTCTTTGCTTTAGATGGTGATTAATAAATAGATCTAAGCCTGTCATTTATCCTTTTCAACACATCAGTGCACTTAGCAATCGTTGACAACTAGTCTCCATAGTCACTTCTTTCCCCATTTCAAATGCCAGACAATTGCTAGCATACCTCTTCACCTAGGCTATCTCCAGTTTACTACAGGTGAAAGTGTGGGCAAGTGCATGCTTTTAGCACCCTCGGACTATCAATATTCCATCTATCCCCATTTGGCTAGATGGTGATCCAACTCTGGAATCCCATCCTTAGAACTTCTCCTTTAGGCCATAATCCTAGGTTGTTCCCAGAAGCATTTGCCAGAGATGAAGTCTCTTAAGCAAGTAATTTATTGCTGAGAGTTCTCTCAAGAGAAGGGAGTGCAGGAAGCAGCATCAACGTGGGAAAAGCTAAGCCAGGATGTGGTCACAGCTGGACACTAGCCCAGCCCGACTCGTGGGGAGCACAGAGTAGCATCGCACCACTCCTCTGCTTCTGCCTTGAGAGTGTACCCCACAGTGAAGCAGGCTCCGTGTCCCTGGGCAGTGCTCTGAGGAGCAGCCAGCACTCAAGCAGCTGTGGGGAAAGAGCTGGCCAGAAAAAGAGATTGTGCCAAGATACCAATGGCATGGCAGGAGGCCAAAAATACCTTCCCTCTCCCCTTCCTCGCTTCCTGGCTGACTATGAGATTAAATGACATAACACAGATTACTGGGGAACAAAAAATACACATCAGAACCCACAAATATGACTCCAGGAATGGGTCAGATGATTTGACTTTAAGAATGGGATGGCCAGGCATGGTGGCTCACGCCTGTAATCGTAGCACTCCGGGAGGCCGAGGTGGGAGGATTGTTTGAGCTCAAGAGTTCGAACCCAGCCTGAGCAAGAGCGAGACCCCATCTCTACCAAAAAAATAGAAAGAAATTAGCTGGACAACTAAAAATATATATATAAAAAATAAGCCGGGCATGGTGGCACATGCCTGTTGTCCAGCTACTCGGGAGGCTGAGGCAGGTGGGTTGCCTGAGCCCAGGAGTCTGAGGTTGCTGTGAGCTAGGCTGACACCACAGCACCTGACCAGGCACAGAACAGAGACTCTGTCTCAAAAAAAAAAAAAAAAAACGCGACCCACAGTAGATATAGCTTTGGCCCTTGCCAAGCTAATTAAATGCTGTGGCAGAGAAAAGTGTCCCTGCATTATAATTCTGCCCCCTTATCCCAGTTTATATTATTCCTTTTTTTATCATAAAATTTCTTTATTGTTTTAATTCTAAAACAAACAATATATATACATAATTTCTGAATAGTAAACTTCTATTTCTTTCAATTACGTTAACTCATTGAAACTTAAACTGGTTTTAATTATAAATTTTCTATTGTTTTGAATTCAAAAAGAAACAACCTGTACTAACTGTTAAACCTTAATAATTAAAGACTCTGAAACAGTACATTCTATTTGCATTTAATTATGGTATAAAGTCACGAAGTTAAAATGATTGATTTTTTTATTTCAGCTAAACTATGAGGGTGACAATGTTAAGTTACATACATGCTATTCTTCCCTCCCCTCGAGTCAGAGCTTCAAGCGCTCCGTCCCCTGACAATGCACATTGCACTATAATGTATAATATATATATATATAACTATCCCCTTCCCCCACCGCCCAACACCTGATAAAATGTTTTATTGTTTGGTTGTTTCTTAACATTTGGTTAAATTTGTAAACTTGTCTTTACCTAGCAAAGGTTAAGGGTATGCTCTCCCCACACTGCTCACCCACATCCCTCAGATTGTGGGTCTACCCCCCCACCCCCTCGAAATTCTGGGACACACCACACCTTTTGAGCACCAACTATTGATAATCGGATACCAATGTGATGGCGAGTACATTGGAGCCGCATTTTTCTGATCTTGTGTCACCTCACTTTGGATAATGGCCTAGCTAATCCAGGAAATATAAGCGGTGCTAGCTCGTTGTTGTTTAGAATTAGTAATTTACTAATTTAAACATTTTGAGTGGATGCCCAGTAATGGGATTGCTGGATCAAATGGTAGATCTACTTGTATCTCTTTGAGATATCTCCACGTGCTTTCCACAGAGGTTATACTAGTTTGCAGCCCCACGCCTGCAGTATATTTTAAAAATACATTTACCATACTAATAGTTGCATGTCACTCACCAGAGGCTGTGCTAATATGTTCTCATAAAATTACCAATTCTGGCATGACAACTGCAGTTGGGGCTACTCCTTGGTTAAGTTTCTAACAGACACCTAGCAGTACGAACCAC